CGCGTGCCATCTCAGCTGTGTCTGATGTCCAATTGTAAGTAGGTGTCACTGCGCTGGCGGCTATGGGTACAAGTTGATTAGGTTAGGGTTGATTGGGCCGGTCTGTATGATATATAGAGAAGTCTAGACGTAGCGTAGAAGAGTCGCCGTTTGAATATATTCATTTCGATCTAATTCATTCTGGCTGCCAATATCGGGAGGAATACTAGGTGCCAAGCCGGGCACCAAGAATGGATATGAATAATAAGCTACAAAGTCGTATATCCTATTTGATCCCATGTTACACAGGGTGCGGAATGTCTAAGTAATATGTGGGGAACATGGTCGGAATGTGAGCGGAAGGCAGTTAATACCACGACATCCTCTAAACCTGCGGAATGTGGTGGGAACAAGCTGGGAATGTGGCGGTAATGTGCTCATCCTCTCCGTGTTCCCCAACCTCCGTAATCTGGCGCTTCACGCGGTGACGTCCTGTCTCAGCTTATCTCTGTGCTTTGTGCACACTCACCTCGTCTGTCCCTATCGCTTGCCCCCGGCTGCTCCGTAGCTACTCACGCGACCGTGACTTGCGGCTGTTTCCCTGCCAGTGATGACTCCACTTGTCGTGCTTTGTGTCGCCTTGCCTCCGGATGTCATCGTCTGAACACTTGTACTTTCGTACCTGCCTACATCCAGTTTGGCTTGCCTGCTTCCCGGCTCAGCCCGCCCGACCCTCCTCTCCATGCTCATCTTTTCAACCGCAGCGCGAAGAACTGTGAAATAGTGCGGCGAAGGCCATCCAGTTCTTGACCTTCTCGCGGGAGATAGTTGAGTATGGCTCTCTACATCGTGAGTCTTTCCTTCTTTGTTCCCGCTTGTATGGTGTATGGTGGCATGGTGTTCCGGGCCTTCCTGTCAGAGCATTCTGACTGCTATGGATTGGCCTATCCGTCCAGGCCCATTAGCTGCGCCATGCTTAACAACAGATTGCGAACTCACCACCGGCTGTGCACATACGTTCATGCGGATCCGCCCACAACTTTTAATGAGCGTGTAATGTAGCCGCTATCGCCTTAAGATGCGTGTAGTGTACAGTCCGAATATATCACTTTTGCTCAACCGAATGTATGCGATATTGTTCCCCAATGTTCAAGTCACTCTCATCCTGCATGCTTGAGGCTTGTATCAGGACTAGTCATTATGGGCCTCGTTCCGCCATTGCGACGCTTCGCTCTGAAGAGCATGCGAATGCAACTCTCAGTGCGATACAAAATGAGATTGCACACATGTGTACTTAGAACAATCAGATGGTACGTACGAGTCGTTTCACTGTGTCGACATCAATCAAACGAGGTACTCATGAATGCGATAGGTACACGCCCTAATGCGTGACACTATATAGCGGGAAGGGCCGCTCAGAAAACGAGTATATCATAGACGGGTCAAACTCGAGCATTAGCCGCCGAGAGGATGGTCGTACAGATCACCCAACCCCCCGGGAACTTGGTCGCGTCAGCGCAGCCCACTTCGCTCGCCTACCTTGTCACCCGCATCCATCCCTGTCCATTGTGCGCGTCCAGCTGGCCCACGATATCGTTCGAGTTGTGCAAGCCTGGGCGCGCGTCGTCGTCGTCCTCTAGGACGTCGACTCTGCCTTCCCCAGCCCCGCCTCCAAAGTCATTCGCGGCTTCTTTGCCGCCGCCCCGGTCCACAGCTACTCCGCTTCCTGTTATCCCTCGAGCAACGCGGCCGGCGCGGTCTCTCGCGTCTCGTCAAAGGTCCCGATGCGTATGAAGTAGTGCGACGGCGCTGCCCAGTCCAAACCAGCATCCATGGTCGTCTTCTTTCCTGCGAGGGCAAAGGCAGCTGTTGCGCCTAGCGATAAGCAGCACGGCCTATAATCCGACCATCCCGCAGAATCAGGGTCCGCCCTGACTTCCTCCCCAGATTCAAGTGTACGTCGCGACGTCTTCACGTCGGCCTCGATCCTCAACAACCGACCGTCCTCCAAGGTATGTCGGTACTTGACGGAAATCGTGCAGTCGTCGTTGGACAGCGTGAGCCAGTGAGTGGCCGGGTGGCCCTCATCTGGACCTCGGAGTTTGGCCGTGTACCCTTGCACGTGTATAGCATTGCGTGTCGCCTTCGATAACTGGAGACGGATGCTCTCGTGTGGCTGGAGGCGAGCGTTCTCTGAGTGTACGGTGGCGCGCTCAGGGTTGGAGATGTAGGAAGTCCTGACCTGGATGTCATTGCAACAGCTCTCGATGGTCGTCGGCGACAAGGGGAAGAGACCGGCCGGCCGATAACGGCCGCGGCTTGGCCTGGGATAGACCAACACATGTCCGGGATGCAAGAATTCGATGCCGGTATGGGAGGGCGGGACATAGCAGACGCGTCCTAGAAGACAGCGGGGGCTGTTCTTGTGCTCGCACCCAAGGATGGCGACGTACCACTGGGACTCGGGAGTGTCGCGGGGAAATGTGGTTACGATCTGAGGAAAGAGCCGAGACAAGGCTACGACAGGCAGTCTCGTACGGATACCATGTGGGGTGGGAGTGTACTCCGTGGAGAGGACGTCGGTGCGCCCGTGTTGACGGAGGATCACAGGAGAGACGACTGTGATATCCTTGCTGTCGCCCTCAAAACGATTGACAGAGGAGAAAAACAGGAGCGAAGACTCGTATGGTGGACAGCGAAGGTGAGTCGGATACTCCTCTCCGCCAGTAGTGGACTGCTCATGCACATTTGAGCCTTGTTACACGACTCCCCATGCGAACAGGCTCTGATCGGGAATCCGTCCCACGATCTCCTGCAACCGGCGGAAGGCACGCTCGCCTTCACCGTAGAGCGTGGCCATGTTGATATCGAAGATTCCCAGAAGCGAGTACGCCTGGTCTTCCACTCGTGTCGTTTCCCGTTTGGCAGCCCATGAGAATCGCTGTGCGACGCTGAACTCGTCAAGCGATTTTGCATGCGACAGAGCATCTTCAGATGCCCGTAATTTCCTCGATGAGGTCAGCCAGCACGACCTTCGTCCCGATCTCCGTCCAGTCCTCGGAGAGGAACCATCACAGAAAACGGGGCGATGAGCTCCTGGAGCATCCATCCGCGCGCGTGAACCGCCGGCTCTGGCGAAGAGCGGATGGGCCGCACGTCGGCAAGGTGAGCATCGCACTGATACATCGATTTGTTCGATTCAGACAAGTCAAAAGTGCTCGGCCTGTCGGTGCAGCACGAGTCGACGTGAAGATACCGGTACCCACCCTCGCATGCGACTCTGCAAGCCTCTCGGATCTTCCGCGAGAGGCCCAGGCGGCCCCAGATGGGATGATTGCTCTGCACGAAGCTGGACGGGGAGTCGGTGGATGCAAGAGGGGCTATGTGAGGAGTACTCGGCGGAGGAAGGGCCTCCGTGGCGTGCATGCACGGTCTTCCGTTTGCCGTCAATCTGCTCCTTCCTCCAGGTGTGTGACAGAGCGGTGGATCACGGATTCTGCGAGTTCACGTCCACGAACGGTACACCTAGGAGGCGCATGATGATTCCGCGATCTATATGGGTATCCCTCTGTGAGTAGTGGACGACGAAGATAGACGAATGTGTCTGTACGAACCGACAAATATGGTTCGGTAGTAGATGATACCGAAAGGACGTAGAGACGGTGATAGCGGTGCCTTGTCGCCAAGGAGGGGTGGTATTTACCCGCCCATCTCCAAGCCCTAGAGCACTATATAGCAGCAGCTACTCACGTAGATGATTTTGTGCTTGAGAGTACTGCCGGGCCCTGCGTGGAAGATTGAGCACGCTATGTCGGTCTTCCGTGACGTCGTAAAAAATATCGGCCTGACTTTTTCCAAATAACAAGTGAGGGAGCAGCGTCAAGTAGGAAAGACTGGAGACGAGATGAGCATAGAGAAGCTCAGGCTGGCTAGATATAGCGAGACTGTGAAGCAGCTAGTGAGGGCACTGAGAGCCGACGGCGGGCTGATACGAGCGGTAGTGCGCGGCAGATTTTAAGTGGAATGTCGAAACAGGTGGAGACCTTCGAGTGAGAGCATGATGGGCGCGGCCTCCAAGCGAGGAAGAAAGAAGCGAGGCAGCACAGTCGGTGTCCGCACGCAGGCAAAGTCAGTGCGAGAAAACGTGTGACGTCACACTGTCACCGGCACCAACACCGGGGTCCCGCGAGTCCGTCTCCTTGGACTCGATCGGCGATGGCCTACTGCTCGGACTGACCAGGCAGCCCAGCTGCATCCGGTCCCTCTCTGTCTCTCCGTGCTGTCTGCGCCCGGCTCTCCTGTCGCTTCTATCTCCTCCACTGCTCGGTCTCAGGCGACTCCCCGACGACCCCGCCACCTATCGTGCTCTATGTCGCCCCGCCTCCGAATGCCATCTTCTGATCACTCGCGCTTCATCCCACAGGTACTGCACGCTTTACGACCAACGCTCGGTCCCTACAGCCTCACCTGAGGCAGGTAACGGCGTCCTGCCCGCATCCGTGTTTGCCTTGCCTGCTTTGTCACGGACCCTGCCCTCTCCCGCCTTCCCTTCTCATCCCGCTTGTCGCTCCCCCTTACTCGCCTGTCCGACTGCACCCTATCAAAACGTGTGATATAGGGTCGAAGGTCGTATTGGTTCTGACCATCTCGCAGCGGATTGTCGTGGAATACAAAGTGGTGAGTTCACCCTGTTCACCCCTGTCTGCACCACTTATGGTGGAATGGTGTGAAGGGTTGCTCTGTCAGAGGAATGGGGCTGCTACGGAGCAGCGCGGAGCCTGTACAGGCTCATTGTCTATGTTCTGCTTGTTGCATTCGGCCGTGTAGGTACCGATTGGCCCACAGCTGTTCAGTACGCGTGTGATGTGCGGTGTAGACATGTCACTGCCGGAACACCGAATATATGCTACATATTGCATTTCACCACCCTTGCCTCTCTCCGCGTGCTTTGAGCTCATTCTGTTGGGTTGGTGACTGTGGACCTCAATCTGGTTCCATCGCGATGCTACGCACGGAGAACACTGTCTAGCGCCACGTAGAAACGTGCTGCAACATTTGCATCTCCACATGAATCGTCCCGATGACATTTGAAACAAGAGGTGCGTACATACTGTTCTCTATCTCAATCACACCATATACTCAAAGATTCTACAGCCACGGGCGATGATACGTGACTACGTCAAGTTACAAGCGAAAATGAGCCGATGAGACACTACCACATGGGCACCAGATGAAAGAGAACCCCAAATGGAACGTGAATCGCCGAGAAAATCGCCATTCGAGGTCCAAGCCCGCCCCGAACACGGTCGCCTCAACGGAGCGCAGCTCCCTCGCCTCCGCCGTCGGCATAGTCGACACCATCTTGTCCGAGTCCGTGAGTCTCTCCACCATGAGCTTCCGGCTGACCCGAAATGCCGTTCGAGTCGGGTACGTCAGGGTGCGCGTTGTCGTCGGACCCCAGGGTCATGATAACTGAGGTTTCGACCGCCCGAGCGCGACGCCTTGCACGTTTGCCTCGCCGTTGGTCCCGAAAATACCGACGGTCTTCTTCGGCTTCCCACTCGAGCAGCACGGCAGGCGTAGCCTCCTCCACCTCGACAATCTTGACAACCTCCACTATATCGACGCGTGGGAAGTAGTGCGACGCCGCCGCCCAGTCCAAGCCGAGCTTCAAGATGAGCTTCTTGCCTGCGAGGGTGAAGGAGACTTCTTCCGTGGCTAACGATGAGCTCCACGAGAACCGCCGACTGTCCCCCCACCTCACAGAACTCGGATGCGCCTCGACCTGCTCAGCCGAGTCAAGAGCGCGTCGCGACATCGTCACATCCGCCTCGATCCTCAATCGCTGCCAACCGTCATTGTTCAAGGTATGCCCGTACTCGACGGTGATCATGTGGTCGTCGTTGGAAAGCGTGAGCCACTGAGTGGTCGGGTGGCCCTCATCTGGACCTCGTAGTTGGGCCGTGTACCCTTGGGCGCGCAGAGCATCGCGCGTCGCCATCGGTAACACGAGGTTGTACGTCTTGTGTAGCTGACGGCGAGCGTCCTCTAATTATGCGATAGCGCGCTCCGGGTAGGAGATATATACAGTCTTGATCTGGATGTCATCGCGACAGCGGTCGATGGTTGCCGGCGACAAAGGGAAGAGATTGGGCCAACGATCACCGCGACTTGGGATTGGAGAGATCTCCACCAGACCAGGACGCAAGACTTCGATGCCGGCGTCAGAGGGTGGGGCATAGCAGACGCGTCCTAGAAGACAGCCGGGGCGGTGCTTGTGCTCGCACCCGAGGATGGCGACGTACCACTGGGATTCGGGGAGGTCGGGGGGAAATGTGATTTCGACCTGAGGAAATAGACGAGACAAGGGCAAGACAGGCAGTCGTGTGCGGATACCCTGTGGTGTGGGAGTGTACTCTGTAGAGAGGAGGTCGGAGCGCCCGAAACGACGGAGGATGGCAGGGGAGACGACTGCGATATCCTTGCTGTCGGTACCAAATTCACCGATAGACTTAGCAAACAGCAATCCACCGTATCGATAACATTTAAGGCTGTACTCTTCTCCAACAGCAGTCGACTGCCAGTGCACTACGTCAGAGCCTTGGTACACATTCCCCCATGCGAACAGGCTCTGGTCGGGAACATGTCGCACGATTTCCTCCTGCAACCGGCGGAATGCGCGCTCGCCCTCACCGTAGAGCGTGGGCATGTTGATGTCGAAAATTCCCAGAAGCGAGTATGCCTGATCTTCCACTCGCGTCGTCTCCAGTGTAGCAGCCCACGAGAGTCGTTGAGCTACGCTGTAGTCGTCAAGCGACTTTGTATGCAACAGAGCCTCGGCGGGGATACCTGTGACCTCCTCGATGGGGATAATCAGCGTGACCTTCGTTCCAATGGCATTCCAGTCATCAGAAAGGAATATCATGTTGAATGGGGCGATGAGCTCCTGGAGCGTCCACCCGCGCGTGAACCATAGGCTCTCACGGAAAACAGATTCAGCCACGTGAGGGTCGTCGTCAGAGGGGACGTCAGCAAGGTGGGCGAAGCACACCTGCGCGCGGCCGTACCACTGCCACCTCGAGTTGATCGATTGGGATAACTCGGAGCTGCTCGTCTTGTCGATGCAGCAAGAGTCGATCCAGAGGTACCGGTAGCCAGCTTCGCGTGCCACTCTGCAGGCCTCTCGGATCTTCCGCGATAGCTCGTCATCATTCCAGATGGTGCCATCTGTGCGCATGGGGTTCGAATGGGGGCGGAAGGATGGGGAGCTGGGACGTGAGGTGTATCCGGTGCGAGAGGGACCCTCGTATCGCGCCTGCACAATCTTTAGTTCGTCGTACGTTTGCTCCCTCTCCCTCCAGGTGTGTGAAAGAATGGCGAATCTCGTCTTCTCCGGGTCTACTTCCACAAACTGGCATGTCCATGTATCCAGGACGCGCATGACGGTTTCGCAAGCTTTCGAACAAACTTTCCGTAAGTCAGCATAGGAAAATACAGACATCTCCACGCACCAGTAGGTACGGCTCTGTGATCGCTGGAACAAACCGGACGTAGATGCAGCAGGGGACGCAGATGATGATGGAAGAATCCTGAGATGACGGACACAGCTAAAGACTCGCAGGTCTTAGGAACGGGGAAGTTGCAGTAGATTAAGGCTCGCAAAGTTCAAGTCCTTCTAACATGACAAGGGCGGGACGCACGCATGTCACGTGACTATTGTGAGACATCCCTGAGAGACGACGATCAAAGATTAATCCTGCCTCGAATCGGCTTTGAGTCGTCCTCAGATTGTTCCCCCACCTACGACTGCCAGCACTGACCAGGCTGCCTGATGTGCTGTCTCACCCTGTCTCTGTATTCATGCCGTCACGGAAAGCGACCTCGCATATTGATGACCCGAGCGCGGCAGCCAATACATAAGGAGTTGCTCATACATTGCAAGGTGACAGGCATGGTCAGGTACAAATGAAGAGAGATTCTCACTAGCGGAGGTGCTCATTGAGTTTCTCTGGCGTCGAAAGAAGCCCCAACAGCAGCCGGTGGGTGCGCCCTGTTCCAGATCCCCTTGATATCAAGGAATGACGCCCAGATGGTAGTGCTGCCAAAATGCCCGTCTGTGCCGCCGCCACCATTGCCCGTAGGGCATGAAGGCGAAGCTCTACTCCCACCCCACCCTGCAAACACGTTCTAGCGCTCCGAAGCTATCTCTAGGGGCGGGGGCAATGGCTTACATTTCGACTGCGGTTGACACCGGACGCGAGGAGTAGATCACGGATCGCTTTCTAGCAGGTCGAGGGCAATCTGAAAGTCGTTGATGAGGAGAATGGAACCACCCATCACTTGCAGATGTACCAAACCTCCTGCAATGCTTGTGTTGGCATACTGGCCAGACGAGCTCGGGACGAGTGAGATAGAGGTAACGCACCGTACTTTCGCGAGAATTCCCTATATCCAAGCTATGGTGCAGCTCTAGGAAGGTCGAACAGGTTTCCGACAACAGGTATACCGGGCGGTCCTGGTGGCAACCGGCGCCCTTGAGAGCGAACGGCGAACTCGGAGAACTTTCTGAAAACCTGTATGAGAGAGAAGATGAGCACTCCTACGAGCAGTAGGATGGATGCGACGACGAGAGAGTGTTCCATGATGGTGTGGCAGTTCTAGGTCCATATAGCCGGTAGAACCGAAGGTACGCTGAACCATGAGAGGATAAGTATAGGATAGCGTTTGAAGTTGAGATTATAGGATCAATGCGGGATAGCACGAATCGTTTACGAGTTGAGTATGCGGGGCGAGAGCGGGAAGGGCTCGGCCTCGAGGTTCCGGCTGTCTTCTTAGGGGTCCTCCAGAAGAACGCTTCTCTTGTGCCTGCGGACTATCAGGTGACGCGACAATTGCTGTAAGACGACTTCAGGGTGTCTCTGCTTCTCCCTCAACATGGGGTGCTCGGTGTGCGGTAAAAGGGCCACACGCAGATGCACGAGCTGCCAGTCAATCTGATACTGCGGTTCTGGTGAGTCGAGCCCACCTTTGCTATCGACACCTAGCGCTCAACGTCGGACCGTTGTGTGCCCTAGAAGGCCAACATGCGGACTGGCAAGAACACAAGCATCCATGCCGCTCACTCAGGGATGCGACCCGGCGCAACGTCCGCTTGTCCGCGAGTGGTTTTCCCTCCTCAATGTACATACAAGTCTGGCCGATCCCCAAGGATCGATGAAGCCGCTCTGGCACGACGATTCCTTTCCTTTCCACACATGAACGTCCATGGGGACCGGCTATTCTTCGTGAAGATGCAGAACCGCCCAGGCTTAGTCCCAAGGACGAGCGACGTCAATTTGTACGTCCGGCGGATGATGTGCGTCTTGTTGAGAGGATTTGAGTCCTGCGAAGTTGGGACTTTCGCGCAGGAGGTAAGGGGAGCAGGGGCGGAAGGTGTATCGGTTGGCGAGGCGCACGGGTGATTGGGAACCGAGCATCTGCTTAGCTAGGGTACCACAGAGGGATTAGAAGTGGTGAGCAAGAAGGAAGCTTGGATGCGGGGAAAGCTAAGTACGAGCATAAGTATGAACCATGGATGAGCTGCGGGGCGCGGACTACGGACCGTTTCATCGTCCCACAAAGTCGTTTGTCGCGCCACACAGTCTGGCTTGGTGGACACCCCCGAGCCTATGTCAGGCGACTAGGCGATAACTTGAAGGCAGAATATGTTGCCGCCTTGACGATCCTGATCCAATGCCAACGAGTGTGGGGTTGTAACAGGTCGCACGAGAGGTCAACCGTGGCCCTCCTGGCGCTGTCCCTGTTTGCGACCGTCATTGCTTCATATCCAAGTTGCGCTGTCGTTGCCAGCCTGCTAGGCAGCCTTGTCAGCTGCCACGTATGGATTGTTGTGAACAGGAGAGGCCGAGCGGTCGAGAGGTGGACGCCGCAAGAGGCAAAACTGTGGCCGAGATCTGACACGTGAAAAGACGATCGCGCTCCACAGCCAAATCGAGGCAGGTCGCGTGACCTCAGCCTGATGGCCGCTCTGTAGAACCTCCTCAACCGACCTCCCGCCCTTTTGTCTCCACTCTCGCCTATGCGCTCTGCGCCTCGTGCTCCTCCGCCTGCTCGCCACGTTGGCTGCCACGACCCTTCTACTCTCAGGCACATTCACGATTATCGCAACACGATCCCTGACTGACGCCTTCCACCGACATCCGCCGTGGAAGATTGATTACAAGGACGGAGCAGAGAACTGCATACTGGTTCCGTCCACCCACATAGTCTCCTGTCTCTGAAGGCCATACGGGGCGCACAAAGTGCGGCTTGTCCGGCTTTAAGTTGTGTATACAAGCTTTGCCGTTGCCTCCGAGGAAATCGCGCCAAAACGGTCGGTATCCGTGTATTCCGCTTTTTAGCTTGTGGCGATCTCACGGACATCGTCGTCAACGCATCATCCGGACCTCTCTCCTTGTTCCGCAAACCATCCGATTTGAACCTTCAAGATGCCTGTCCCTCCCATGGACGTGTTCGGGATTGTATACATCATTGAGAACGCCCAGCAATTCTGGTCAGGTACGCTCCCACATGCTCATTGCCTCACAGAGCCACGTCTCATACCTCCGGCTCACCTCAAGAACTCGAGGAGATCTTGCATATACCCGACGATATCACTCTTTCGAAGCTGGATGCTACTCTTCGAAGTTACATATCGTTCTGTGCGGCATATCATGGTGAGTGTCATTTCCGTCCGCTCTCCTATCATCTGGACCTCCTGTCGTCTTGGCGAGCCGATACCTCTTTAGTCTCAGAGACGAGCGAGGCTTCGGCTCCTCCCAGCTCGAGTCACTGCAATGTCACATACACCCTGCCGTATCTAGAGTGCCTTTACTCCGTCAACTGCATCCGATTAAGGTCTGCGGCCACAGCTACCCGGCGAAGTCTCCTCAGTCACAGAACCATTAGAGTGTCGTGTTGCATGAATATTCGTGCGGGGCGCCGAAGGCGGCGCGTCCGGGAGCCCGTTTCCTCTCCCGTTGCTGCAGCTCTGCTATCTTCGGCATATTGACAGTTTGTTTCAGAGCAGTACTTGCAAAGCCCGCTACAGCTCCAGCACGCGTGCGACATGGTCCTAGCCTCAGATCTTTTCTCGTTCCACTCAGAGCGGGTGTGCGAGCTCATGGTAGAGGACGCTCAGACGGTGCGTGCCTTGCGCCGGTTCAAACGGTCATATTATCTGACACCACTTCATTCTATCTCTGTTTGTCCATGCAGAACACTGATCCACATTACGAGATGATCCTGTACAATGTCATGCTCACGTATGGCCGCCGCACCCCGTCCTTCCTGCGCTCGCAGAAACGCTGGCATCCACTGTTGCCACTCCTCATGGACCACGTTCGCAACGACCTCGACCCGGAGGTCGATGACGGCTATTACGGTGTGGCGTCTACCGGCGGCCCCAGCTCGGGCGCTGCGCGTGGAGTCGCCGTGCCCATCGAGGCGAAATTGAGGTCTCTTGCTGTGCGGCTGCTCTATGAGGTCTGCCGGGTGCAGAAGATGTCATTGCAGGACCTACGTCAGTGTATGCGCGGTTTTGGGTTGAAGTGGGTACTGACAAGAGGTTCTAGGCATATTCGACGACAACTTCATTGACTATCTGTTCGACCTAGTCGAACAGACGCGCGGGATGCAGGACGAGACATTTAACTACTCGGTCATCAAATTTATCGTCCGTCTTATGTTTCATTCATGCGTCACATATCTCCAACTAACTCTCCGCCATCACAGGTAGCGCTCAACGAGCAGTTCATGGTAGCTTCTCTACATCCCCAGACGCCACTGCCCAATGGTCCTAGCGCAGGCCCAGGCTTCGCACAGCAACAAGCCGCCGATCCACGAGGGCCAGAAAGCACAAATCGCGTCCTGCGAACCCTGATGTCGCGCGCAGGTTCGAGCCCGACATTTGGGGAGAACCTGATCTTCATGCTCAACCGCGCGGACCGCACGCCTGAGGACCTGTGTATGCAGTTGCTCGTGCTGAAGTTGCTGTATCTGCTGTTCACGACGAAGGGCATGGCGGAGTTCTTCTATACGAACGACTTGTGCGTCCTCGTGGATGTGTTCTTGAGGGAGATCAACGATATTGATGAGGACAACGAGTCGGTACGTCGCTATACACGCTACTTTCGCGTTAATCCTTCTCTCTTATCGAACGCCTATCTCACAATGGCGATGCATTACAGCTACGACATACATACCTCCGGGTACTCCACCCCCTGCTCACGAAGACCCAGCTGCGCAACATGCCGTACAAGCGCACGCAGATCGTGCGCACCCTAGAGGGGCTCATCGAGAACGAGACAATACGAGATGTAGACCCTACGACGAAGCGTCTCGTGATGCGATGCCTGAGCGGGGACTGGTGTGTGCAGTTCCGCAAGACTGCAGTTTCGGCAGTCCAACAGCAGGAAGGGCGGAAGATGTCGATCTACGAGGAGGAGGTGAGGAGAGGGGAGAGCCCTGGGCTGGATGCGGTGTCTGCTGCCGCACCGCGATCGGCCGGGCCTTCGATTGGGCCTGAGTCTGTGAACCCTATACTAGGTCGGATGGACTCGCTGAGAGGGAAGCATGCGAAGGCGAGTCGGAGTGTAGAGCACCTCCCGCTTCCCTCGAGCAGTGGCAGCCCTCCAAAACATCGGTCTATATCCGGCCAATACCACCACCTCCATCATCATCACCATCCAAGTGAGCAGTCATCATCGCATACACGCAAAGGCTCCATAACGTTATCCGCTGTTCGGCAAGCGAGCGGAGATAGCATGACTAGCCTTCCGCGCGTCGCTGTGGCGACGGCTCACCCGTCCTCTGCAGCTGCGAAGCATCGCGTCCGCGCAGGCTCGTTCAACGTTGAAGCGACCACAACGAGCTTCTCGGCGCTGTCGGTTCAAGACCCCCCGCACCCCCATTCGCGCCCGCGGCGCATCCTCGACTCCTCTATACCGTTCGTGGACAAGCCCACCATGGGTAGCGCCCCGCCTCAGATCCGCGTCGTGTCTCCGACGTCGCCCACACGCTCTCCTTCGGACAGACACCACGTCGTTGACCTATCCCCGCCTTCGGGGTCGTCCGGATCCTCCTCAACAAGCTCGCTTGTCGGATCGCCTGCGTCGACGCCTAGTACGTCCCCACGAAGGAAGGCCCCGCCACCTCCGGTGAAGGCCAGACGGACACCGCCAGCGCCCCCAGTAAGGCAAGGGGCGAGGGGAGGCGTGACGGGGGCGGTTCCGGGGTCGTCACTAAGTACCATCGCCGCGTCGAGCCACCCGAATTTGCCGGCTTTGAGTGCAGGGAAGGCTTCAGCGTTCTAAAGTGTCGGGTGGGGGGATTTGTTTATCTCCAGCCAAGAGCCCCCGGAAACAAGCACTGGTGTCGCGTTCCTAGAAGGGGAACTCGAAGGTCGAAGTTGTTATAGGGTATGGGATGGAAGGCATAGACGGCCTGCGGGCCACGGATGCAGGGCATCATACATGCGTAACGTAACCTATGAACAAAGCATATGCTCAAGCCGCTGTTGCGGCGAGCGCCGATCGATCTCACACTGTATCTTGCATTCACTGCCGCATTGTTGACTCGTGCTGCATCATGTTTCTCGTCTTCGTCTTCGTACGTTTCATATTCACCATCTATTGTTTGTCGTCGTGTCATCTCAAGGTATTCTGCCTCATTTCTATCTCATCGCTCCTGTTACCCACTTTCTCAATCGATGCCAAGGCGTCCTTTCGTACGCCTCACAACGCAACTTACACATCACTATAGTCTGGACTACCTGCAAACAAGCATTTCAGCTCTCATGCATCTGCTGTTCTGCCCGCGGCTTGACGGCCTCCAGCCGTCCAAAATTACGTCTCAAGGTCGCGCAGTCTCACCGAGGTAGTATGTAGTACGGACTGCATAGACTTCATGAGTCAAATGAGTCAGGCCCAACATGCATATCTTAACATTTATAGTGCATCGGTCTGAATATTATGGTTATGCGATAGCAGTACAACACTACTGTATACTGCGATAACAGTACCAATCTCACATGTTCAATAACCGTCCGAATGCCCGAAAAGAATTTAAAGCGCTAGTTACATTACGCCGATTGTGCTGGCACGACACGTTCACGTTTGCGAAGGTTTGTGGTCGATATTGCCATTGGTGACCGGAGCAGACCAAGGAACGGTGTGGGCCTTCTCTCGGTTTACGAAGCAGGGACAACGGGGATGGAGGTCTCCGGGCCTACCAAATCCTCCTGTCAGCACGCCTTTATCAGCCCCCACGCCGAGAGGGAGAGCTCACCAGGGTCAGCCTTGATGGTGGGGAACGGAATATGTTTGCATGACACCTGGATATCCTTGAGTTTCTTGCCAGCGGGGAGATGCGCGACTTGAGATGCGGCGGGCTTGGGCACGGGGATGACCTCAGAGCAGTCACTAAGTTTGCGAGGGTCCTGCCCGAGCACCGCCATCTTGGCCATGACCTTCTCAAATTTCCTGACCATCAGTTCTTGGTTTGCTGTGACGGGGAATGTTGAGCGCTCCTTGCACGCAGCCAGATGACTACAGCATGCTCACCGATGAACGACTGCCACTCGCAGGCCGTGCGGGGATCACGGGCGATGGCAGCATCGGACTGAAGACGCATCTCACCCGGATATGGGGAGAGGACCTCACCGACGTTCGAGCCGTTACCAGGGAAGGCTACACCCTTGAGAAGTGTCTAGAGATAATTCAGCGTCAGCTCTATCGTCCTGAACACAGACACCGGCGTTCGCACCTCGACGAAGAACTGAGCATCGAAGTCGGAGGGAGTAGAGTCGAAGGGGCTGCCATGAATAGTCTATGCGCATCGTCAGCGATTATCTTGTGTGAACCGTGCGCATATGCTCACCGGGTCGACGTGGTCCTGAGCAGCTACCGTGTGTGACGCAAGCAAGTCGACGACCTCAGCAGGACTAAACCCAGCGTCTGCCATGCGGGCGAGGATCTTGTCCACGGGGTCCTCCGGGAGCGGAATCAGGCCGTCTGGTGAAACTTGAGAGTGATTGGACCGGCCTGCAAGGAACTGCAGGCGAGGGCCACCACGGCAATTGCTGACACCAACCGCACCGGCGAATTGAATGCTATAGGTGATAGACGTGAGCGGGAACAAGTATAGAACATGTTATGTGGGAGTGGGAGACGCACAAATCACCAAATGAGACGTTATGTTTGAGAGCAAAGGGCTTCTGCTCTCCAACGATCTCGTCTAGGCCGGCGCTAGCTTTAAAGGTGGTCTCGATGGGAAAGGCCATGATGGAACCGTCGGCACCGCCACCGCTGTGAGAGAGGCGGTTAGTACCACAATCATGCAGTACAGGACTGAAGGACTTGCCCAAACTTCCCCTCTCTGAAGAGCGCAGGAGAGAAGCCAATGGCATCGTGGAAGGTTGACTATAAAGTATTGCCATTAGTCCTTGAGATCAGTACCGGAGACGAAGAAATGCTCACCCGGAGAGACTCATGGGCCTCTTCCCCGCACTCGCCGCCATCGAAGCTAGACTATGTTCAGCAGGGCCGACAGACCTCCGAAGCGCGCCATTCTCACAGGTTCGTCTGGATGTCGTCGAGGACATCATACCACACACAGCACTAAGGAGATTGGCGAGTAAACAGGGCTGAACAGAAACATTTGTGGATACGCCTTACCTGAGAGTTACTCGCCAGGTGGCCGTTGCCACAGTCTGACTTGTGCGAGGGAGCAGCTCGGACAATCAAGGCGAGGGAAAGAAATGGGATCAGAGCTTTAGCAAACATCTTGTAAGGTACGGATCTCGAAAAATGTAGCAGAATCGAGCAAAGCCAATAAGGAGTGGTTGGAGAAAGAGTTAGTAGAAAGAGCGTAGGAGTGCGCTGAGGTCTCCGTGCTTCAGCGCACTCTTTTTATACCTTCGCATCTCGTGCATATTTGTCCTAGATGCGTTACCGGTGTACGAGACGGCGTCTTCTACCCTGACATGTCGGCCAAGGCGTATGGGGATCTTTGGACGTGCCGGTTCCGTGGGAACCCCCATTGCACAGTTGCATGTTCTGTACACTGCTTGTTGAGGTTGCGACGCGAGCGTTCACATACCATCCTCATCAGTGAGCCAGCGCGTGCATAGCTAGCTCGAGTCATGCTATGCCCGTGAGCCAAAGGCGCATAACAATCCTCGCTGCAGTTGCTGTCATCCTTCCACTTCGTATGGGCGGAATGAGGTTCGGCGGTGTGCCTCTCTCCTGCACGGAAATGCCCCCCGCTCTGCCTTCGGAAACGGTTGAACACTGCGGGTTTGGAGAGGCTTTCTCATGTCTGACATACCCCTGTAATTCTCAGTTGATCACTGATCTCATGTAGACCATCTCGCGTCGTTACACACGGATACTGAGAATGCGGAGCATTGAGACGTCGGACGGGCTATGTTTCGGAATGATAGGAATGGCCAGAGTGTCAGACCCTACCCAGGAAGCGGAGCGCGCGCATTGCATGCCGGCTAGCAAAGCCCTTCTCTATGTACACAAGTTCGTGCGTTCCTGTGCCGTGTGAAGGCTGTAGGCTGACTATGTGTGGGAAGGCTTGGCTGGACGCGTCATATAGCTGTGGCATCGGTGTGACCTGTTACATTGGACGCATAGTCGTACGCATATTGTGTCCAGTACGTCAAGAAGTCAGAGGTCTTGATGGTGAAGTGAAGCGAACCCCTGCGTCCATATCCTCACTTTCACACGGCAGGGAATCGGATATTTCCAGCTGGAGAAAAAAGTCGCTGAAAAGGGGACGCGCGAGGCAAACAATCCGTGAATACGTGGCGCTTCTGGATAACAGTCATTGAAAAACGACGGGCTGTTGCCTTTTGCGTCCCCATTTCATCGACTTTTCTCCAATCGAAAACATCCGATTCCCTGCCGTGTCACCGCTGTCCTTGTGCTCGTGGTAGCCGCGACATAGGTTCAAACACGAACTAGAGGGGCGCCCATGGTCACAAAGCGGTGCACATCGGATTAGTGCCCAAGGCAAGCGCGGTAATCAGCAGCGCATCCCTTGGCCATAACACTGAACTGACACAAGACTGAACTGAAAGAGCGAGAACGGCCGGGACGCCACGACGGCCGACCATACCGAGGACATGCCATATCAGTCTGGATGACAGACGTGCCTATTATACATGAACGAAATATTCGGTGCGAGTTCCGAACCACAATGCCGCAAAGTCGGGGGAGGACGATCCATTTTTTGATCTTGGCAGAAATGTGGAGGACACGAAAGCGATATCAATGCCCATTCCCCAGCACGCCTCCAACATGAGATGTTGGAAATCGACGGACGTGTCAAGTGACTCGGAATCCAGACGACTCGAGCTCACGGTCGCTGCTGCCGCTCTGCCGCTATATTGCACCAGGAACGAGAGCTGACAGCCCTTGGATGAGAAAGGCGACGCGTATTCGGATTCCGCGTCAAGGGTCGGCACTCTTTGCACACAGTTCAGCTTTACAGATCTCATATTGCGCACAGCACGTCAAGGAACGGCGCCACCGACGCGCTAGGGAGCTTCATCGCTCTTGGCATTACGGAGGATCTCACGCCCTGCAGTTCCCGGAACCTGTTCCGCGCGGGTGTCGTCCCGCCGCATCCGCCCGTTAACGCCATATCTGAATCCGTCGTTTCTAGCAGGCGCCTCGGGCGTAATTCCATCTCGCGCCGCTCGGGGGTCATAAGCCGCATACTCATTCGGAGCATCAGGCACCGTGACATGTCGCCGCCTTCGAGTTTGTGGGCGCGGAGAATTACACCCACCTATGGACGTGTGTGTGAAAATGACCGCGACGAACGCCGTGGTCCGTAATAGGGAGATGTCGAGCTTCCATGTAGCACCGAGTGCCTTGCCAACAGCGGCATCGGTCTTGGCAAGGCACCTATTCGCGGAAATGAGTCTAAATACGCTCGCAAACGTTTCCGCGCTCCTGGGAGAGAGCGAAGACGTTTCCCACACGACGCCTTCCCGACCTCGAGGTTGAAACACCGGTGTTTCCTAGTTCTGCACAACCGAATCAGATAGCCTATTCACGCACCGAAGTCTTCATCTTCCTCCACCTACACCTGGTAGCACTCGAAAGTGAAACTCGCAAGGGGTAGTAGACGCTAGAGATTTCTCGCCGCGACCAATCGACGTGGTCAACGGCGGCGACGGTAGCTGCCGGGCGACGACGTGCCGGTGCAGGGAAATCGAGGCTGCCGAGGGTCCTCCGTCGTCCGCTAGTGTCCTTGCTCCGGACGTTCTGCCCGAGACACTGTCCGGAATCGGAAGCGAAAGTCCAGTCTCGGTGGAACGGAAGACGACATAGACCCGACTACTACAGTTGACCGGACTGCGAAGGGCCAGGCGGGCGCATGTTCCGGTCTGCAACGATACTAAGATAGAGACCAGAGCTGAGGAGAGCGGTGAGGGAGGTGAAGTTTCGGACTGGCAGCTTGGAAACGGCGCGCAATGTCGAGGACGGTTCGTACTTAGCTGCAAGGACGGCTCAATCCGGCACGAGCAGTGCCTGAGGCGGCAGGCCCCGAGCGTGACATAATTACGTCCGCGTTTAGGCATGAGTGACACACATTGATCCAGATTCCCGATCTATCACAGATCTCTCGCTCTCTCGCTCTCTCTCAGCATCTGGTGAGCATCCACCTGATTGGTACATAGTACCTACATTGCGCGCATCTGACCGGGGTTGCACATAGCCTTCGCAAGCACTGAGGCGTTCGGACCGAACGGGAGAAGGAACTACGCATCAAGACACGAACACAATGCCGCGACCCGACTCCGAGCAATCCAGATCAGATGCGCTCCCGTTCGAGCAAACTATGGCCACTCTGCACTCGTTGCTCCCCGAGAAGCTACGTCGGCCACATGTTGGGATCGTTTGCGGATCTGGTCTGCATACGCTTGCCGCCGCTATTCGGGACGTCGTAGAGGTTCCGTACGCCACCCTCCCTGGTTTCGGCAAGAGTACAGGTGAGTCTTCATTTTGCCACTTGGACTCTGGACGAATGTTATGACACGACTCAATTCTCTTCAGTCCCCGGTCATAAAAGTTCTCTTGCCTTTGGCCTGATCGGCCCTGGAGAGGGCGTCCCTGTCGTGGCCATGCTGGGACGGGTATGTCGCGCAACAGTCATTAGCAGACTAGTCACCGATAGTCGTTTGCGAACAGCTACATCCCTATGAAGGTCACAAGCTATCAGCCGTCGTGTATCCTATCCGCGTCATGGCACGCCTGGGCATCCGAAACCTTATTAGTGAGGATATTTGTTCGTCCACGCAATTATGCATGCTGAACCCCTCTCGGAAAAGTTACGAACGCTGCCGGGGCTCTCAACCCCGACATCGACGTAGGCACCAGTGCGTATAGATCCTCTTCCGTCGCCAACCAGTCACTGATGATGCCGGATTCAGTCGTGGTCATTCAAGACCACCTCGCCTTCCCGAACCTGACGGGAATGAATCCCCTCCTCGGGCCCCAGCTGGACCCGAAGTATCCGCGCTTCCTCGCCCTGTCCTCTGCGTACTCCGTCAGTCTTCGGAGATACGCGTTCCTCGCGGCGCACAAGCTTCAGCTGGGCCTTGACGCGCTCGCGGAGGGCGTGTACGCGTGGGTGTCGGGCCCGACGTACGAAACCCCCGCAGAGGGCAGGATGCTGAGGAACGCGGGCGCTGACGTCGTCGGAATGAGCACCATCCCCGAGGTTGTCGCCGGGAAGGAGGAGGGCCTGGAGGTCCTCGTGCTCAGCCTCGTCACGAACAAGGTGGTGATTCCAACCAGGTACAGGAGCATCAGAGAGGAAGTGGAGGCGGAGGTGAGTAGCTGCGTCGCTGCCGTCGCGCACGCTTATTCAATTAAGGTTTATTGCGTGCGATCCCGGAAGCTCGCGGGGAAGCCGGTGGTGAGACAGGACGAGCCGCAGGTGTCGCACGAGGAAGTGCTGCTGATTGGCAAGCAGAAGGCGGAAGTGATGAAGAGCCTGGTCGAGAAGATTGTCGAGCTGATCGCGTCCGAGCCGTCGAGCGCGTCCCCTGCGAGCGCCTAGAACGGCTGACCCGCCATCTATGACTTACCGTGTATGGTGTCTTATGTAAGCGAATATATGGCGAACTCGGGTCGTCCGCCCGCGCTTGTTGCTCGAGACTTGTGCCCGACGACGACGACGCCGTCGACGCCGACCGTGGACTGATATCCCCCTCTGTGGTTTGTGGACGTTCCTTGTCCCTATAGGTACGTGCTTGCTTTTCCTCGGGGTTGTCTAGCGTTGTCTGACAGTCATTTGTGTCTGTCTGATGCCACCCTTGTCGCCCATTCCTTTGTGGTCGCCCGCATTGTGGCTTTGAACATACACACGTCGACTTCCCTGACGCTCTACGCTTCCATAAATCCTGTGGCCTGCCGTCTTCTGAACCTGCTCCGGACATGTCTTCCGTGACGGCCTGTGATCTTGCGGTGCCACACATACAACCACACTGTTCGGTCGGCGCTACATCCACCGGCTGCTCGCTCCATTTGCGCGACGGGCTCGACGACGCGAAATAATCTTGCCTTACTCCTCTCCTGCTCAATTTACCACGTCGCCCCTCCCTGGGCACACCGCGCTCCTCCGGAACGTGATTCTCCCCCCGCAGAGTCATCGGTCCGTGCGGGCATCACTAGTCTCCTTAGAGCCATCTCTCCTTATCACACACCACGTATGTCCAACTCTATTCTGCACTTCTCCCCATCTAACACATAAGAGCGCAGGGTATACCCCGCTGGATCTCCCCAACGCCTCACAGTCATTCGTACACTATACTAATCCTCCTAATCCGCCAAGATGCTCATCCGCATCTTGCCCGTCCACCCCTCCCCGAACATCCTCTTCACGCTCACCCTCCCGGACCCCACCCACGACGCGAAGGTCGACTGTCCCCCCGCATGGCGCGCGCAGGCGAACATGGTAGAGGAGATGCAGGACGAAGGGTTCGGCGTCGAGGCCCCGCGAAACATCCACGCAATGGACAAGGCGGCGTGGCACAGCGCGCTCATGACCGAGGTCGTCTTCGACGTGCCCGCGCGCACCGTGTCGTGCACCTTCGTCGACGGCGCGCACGTCACGTGGCCGCTGGCGCCCAAGGGCGACTCCGGCAATTGCCTCGCCGCGCTCGAGGAGGTCGTCGAGGACGTGCAGGACTCCGCGGCGGAGCTCGAGCGCGAGCGCGCGCGGTACTCTGGCGACGCGTACCTGCACGAGATCCCCAGCCCGACGGCGTCCACGTTCTCGAACGCGGGGCAGCAGCCCACGCAGTCTGTTTCGTCGAAGCACAAGCGGCAGAGGTCGCTCTTCTCGTCTATTGTCTCCGCGCTCAAGGGTGCGCTCTCGGACGGCAGCTCAAGCCGGAACCCTACGCTGCCCTTGTCCCTGCCCCCGATCAAGATCCCTTCGTCCTCCTGCCACTCCCGCACCACTTCGACGTTCTCGCGGACGCAGCGCTCGCCCCCAATGTCGCCTGTGACGGAGCGGCCTGTCTTCCAGCTCCGCGTGCGGCCGCGCGCGCCCATCCCCCTCCCTGAGCACTGCAAGGTGCGCACGCACTCAGAACGCCTGCGGCATCGCGCACGGTCCAAGCTGGTCGACACCCTGCGGAGATACGTCTTCCCGATGTTCTCGACCACGGACTCGCCCTCGTTCGCATCGATCGAGTGCGCCCCTGAGGTTCTCGCGCAGGAGTACGGTTTTCCGCCTGGGCTGTACCCGGCCTGGATCGGGCGAAGCGTGCTGCGGAAGACGGAGGAGCGCATGCGCGAGATGATCGTCGAGGCGAACGCGCACGGCTTCGGGCACCCGCTCGGCTACACGCTGAAGGGCCACCCGCAGACCGTCGCGCAGCTGCGCGACGCCGAGGACGAGGAGGACGACGCGTCCGCGGCGACGAGCCTCAGCACGACGAGCGTGAGCACGGAGACGGACGGCTCGTCCGTGCACACGCCGACGGACTCCCCCGTCCGCTCGCCGTTCTGCTCGGGCGTCGCGCCGCCGCCCGGCGGCCCCCCGCGCCTGTCCGCGCTCGAGACGAAGGCGCCGCCGCACGTCCCGCGGAGCCCGTCCCCGCCCTCGCCCGCGTTCGACTTCGACATGTCGACGTACCACGTGCTCTCGTCGATCCGCACGCGCCTGCTGCACCTCCTCGCGCGGCTGGACTCGTCGCCGCGCCAGATCGGCGCGCGTTCGCGCTGCGGGTCCGACCTCACCATCCTCGAGATCAAGAGCCGGCGGCGCGCGTGGAGCTCGCGGGACTACGTCGGGGGCGCGCGGATGAACCTCGTCGGGCTCGCGACGCCCGTCTACAGCTCGCCGCTCGCGCGCTGCGAGCCCGTCACCGCGGAGACGCTTGCGCGCATGCAGGCACAGGCCTCCTCCGCGAGCCCGCAGTCCCCGGCGAGCCGCTCTTTGGGCGGTCTCGCGGACCTGAGCGAGGAGTTCGGCGTGAGCGCCAGCGTGAGGGTCGGCATCCGGGCGGTGACGAAGGAGATGGACGCGCAGCTGTTCCCTGTGTGCGAGGAAGAGGAGGACGAGCTGATCCAGAACACGACGTTCTACCAGGCGTCGGCGGCGGGGTTCGCGCTCGACGACTGCCCGGACGACGACCTCTGGCGCGACATGCGCGAGCTCGACCTCGAGAGCGGGCTGCTCGCGTTCCCGCGGCCCGGGCCGACGCCCCTCCAGAGCGGCGGCGCGAAGGCGCCGGCGTACGCGCACGTCGCGCACCCGATGACGCGCACGCGGACGCAGAGCATGCGCAAGGAGCACGCGCGGCTCCCGCAGAACGCGCTGCTGTGCCAGCCGCTGAACGTGAAGGTGCCGGTGCCGGTGATGCTGGACCGGGGCGAGGCGTTCGACGATGCTCTCCGGGTCGACGACATCGAGCGCGAGGGGCTCGGCGGGGAGTTCACGCTGTCGATGGACCTGCCGCCGCCGCGGCGAGGGTGGCTGCAGGACGACGCGGACGTGGCGTGCCGGTGACGGCGGACGCTGCGGCTCGTGTCGACCTTCGGTGTATGCTCCTCTTCTTTCTCGTCATCATCGCCTGCTCTGTATCATAGCTTCGCGTCGCTTTTGGCCCTCCTGCGTCCTCCTTCGCGCTGGGTGGCGTGTGGCGGCCCATGGTGGTTTAGCACGTTTCCCTTCTTCCTCGTGGACGGCCTAGCGGGCGGTCAGTTCTGTCTGATGTGGCCCGGGTCGCAGATCAGCTGCGCGACCTGATCTCACGCTGGTCATCACCTTCCGCTGTCGTCCTCGCCTTCTGTTCGATCTAGCGTCGGCACCCATCGAGTCCACTAGACGTCCCTTGGCACTTCTCCTATCTCGTCCATCCACGACGCCTCGTCATCATCTTCCATCTCCTGATTCGGATTCCGTATCGTATCGTATTCTCCGGTATTCTGGCACGTTCGTCGACATCCTCGGCTGCATCATCATGGTCCCCTTCGCACATCCATCATTCGAACATCGGCCCGTCCATCCATTCATCATCGCTTCTGCCCACATCCATTCAGTGCTTTTGTCCAATGTCCATTGCTCTCGCATCTGTTTTCGCATATAATCACCTCCTTCCGCATTCGCTGTAGATATACATCGCATAGTGCCCTGGTCCCTGGTCCCAGACTTCCGAGTGCGCGCGGGTCTGCTGGCCCGCCGCCCGCCTTACAGGGCTGCCCACTCACAACACATACACATATCAACCCTTGCTCCTTCCGCCCATCATTAGCCCCCGTGGTCCCCTCGGCCAGTTCGTTCTCGGCCGTGCTTCCTTCGTCCGTTTTCCCATGCTCGCATGTCCGCCGTATTAATGACCCCTTCGTGTATCATAGTCGGTCGTGCCGCGTCTGTGGACGCGTCGATCACGATCATCGCTGTGCAGTGTTCGCGTTGTCCTCCCGGTAGTGGAGTTACGCAAAATGAGAAGCTTCTGCTTCCTCGGAGTGCGTACTCGTGGTGCTTCTTGCCGTTTGGGGCGTGTCGAGTCGAGCCGCAGTCCGACGTACTGTTGTGGCAAGTCGATCGTTCTGATTGAGGCTTCTCTGGTGTCTAGCTAGTGGTCGCCGAGGTCTCTCACAGCGCTGCTTCGAGTAACGAACTAGATCGACATCATGCTGGACTAGTACGCCAGTTTAGTGGCATCTCTAGAGCTTCGCCGATACCGCTCGATACCTCAGCAGAGGCTGCCTGACGTGGTAGTTGCGGATTTGGTGATACCGAAGCAGGATCGCAGACTCATCCTTGCTCTCCACTAGGAGGGCTCCAGGTTGATTATATAGGACGCATTCCTAAGTTACATCTATACGATCAAGTCCGAAAGCCGCACGCTTGTACGTTGTCCATAGCACAACGGCACACCACTTGATCTTACGCACAGGCCACTTCCTCGTCGTTTCGGGATCGAGACGAGAGGGCGGGATACGGAGGCGCTCGTCAAGTGTTTCACTACGTAGGTAGTTCAGTCTTCTCCTTTCGAGGCTTCAACCTGCAGGTACCCGAGCGGGGCAAGATAGCGGGCCAGTACGAAGAGAGGGTCCGCAGCTGTCGCACAAAGACCAAACGGACTCGAGACACTCTGGTCACAAGGAGGCTCGACTACCGCATCCGTATACGTCCGACATATGGCGCTCCAGCCGAGTGCACTCTCTAAGGCCGCGCAGATCCCCCGTCGAGTGCCAATAGATGCGCAAAGGCCGGTCGTAGTGGGGGCTACGGTGATCACAAACGACGTCACCACTTCGGCGTCGCCGGCTGGCGGTCCAAACAGATGCTCAGCCGATAGTCGCCAATCCGCCGTGCCCAGCGATGCATCTTCACGCCCTGCTCCCCGCCGCGCCGCCCGCGTACTTCCGCAACGAGCGCGGCGTACGTTTCCGGGTCGTCCTCCCCCAGAAAGAGCACGTCCTCGAACGAGTGCTGGCGGTCGTATACCAGAATCGTCGCCGCCGCAGCCTCCATGCCGCCCTGGAGCTTGACGACGAAGACCTTCTCGCTGTGGACGTTCGGCGGGACGGCGCTCGTCTCGGTCCGGGTCCTGAGGAGCCCCTGGCCGCGATCGACGCCCAGCCGGCGGACCCACTCAGTGACCTCTCCTTCGAGCCCCGGAAGGGCCGTCCGAAAGTCCACGGTGACCCAGCGTCCGCCCTGCAAGGAGTGGCGCGTCGCCTTGTGTGCAGGCCAGTCAGGCTGATCGGGCACCGGCTGCTCAGCGGGCTGCCTGCAACGGAGCACGCCGATGCAGCATGGGTACGTACCTGCGCCGTAATACGCGAAGGACTGACACTGCGAGCACCGGCTGCTCCGCTGCTCCTCGCACACGGCGCAGCCGGTGTCGTTGTTCAGTCTACCGAGCGCGCCGAAGCCGAGCGGTCCGACGGGGAGCAGGACGGATAGCTTGAACTTCTGCTCGAACCGCTGCTTGTCAGGCTGGTAGTCCTGGGGAGCGACGTCGCGTTTGTAGACAGCAGCTTCAGGAACAGCTTCATCTCTACTGGAGTGGCGCTGATGCGCGAGATTCGGTCGCCCATGTCTGGGTCCTTTGCGTGCTGGCTGTGGCCCCATCGCTTATGCTCAATGCCGTCCGATGGAGTGTAGGAGCGGTACAGGAGCACGATGGCCGGTGTCTTCTCATCCAGCTCGAGCACGGACAGAAACTGCAGAACGAAGGTGCCAGTCAGCACGGCCTCCGCAGCGGTGTGTTCTACGCAACATGCGGTGGTGACGGCAGCGAGTCAGAAAGGTGAGTCAGAAAGGGTCCGACAGGCTCACACAAACCGCCGTTCACAGAGGAGGGCATGGTCAAGCAATGGACGTACCCGGATGTTGATTATATACTTTGCTTGGTGCTCAGGATCCTCTAGGAGGCAACCAATCCGTGCCCTTGTCCAGCGCGCGGCCCAGATACATCACCACTTGACGCAGATCCCATAACGCGTTCACATGGTGAGGAAGCGCCTCGTACTCGCGTCCTTCGCGTTCTGCCCGGTGAATCTCGCTGAGCTCCTCGTAGTTGACGCGAATGACCGCGTCGAACACCGATCGACCATTCGGGAGAGGCCGGCCATCCAAACCTGTTTCCATAGGCCACTTTGGTAGATTACGAGGGTCCAAGCTTACGGGGAAGCCATCCCGGTTCTGCGACGCATTGAGTGCGTCTCGTAGCCGTTTGTCGAGGACGCTGTTCGGGAGTTTGGGATGTGGAGTGAGGTCGAAGCCCATGTCTGACATGACCTGCAGTATTTCTTGGGGCGTCAGAGAGTTCATGGAGGGTATAGGCGAAGGAACGACCGGAGACAGCGATCATAGATGAAGCTGGATGAGATCACGGAAGGATGTGCAGTCATAGCAGCCGGTCAAGCGAGCGTAACGTCGCACGCGCCTGTTGAGCCACTTCCTCATCCGGAATCCGGTGTCATTAGGACCCATCGCGTGACTGTAGCCTACATAAACTCGGATGGCTACCGCATCTCATATGAATCGACGACTGTAGGTCCACCGAGACGCGCTTTTTTAGCTACCAATCTATGCCGCATGTGTTGCCCCAGTCGTGAAGATGGCTGTAGGCAGAAGAGAAGCGCGCCAGTGGAACATGGGGTACTATAACGAACACCCAAGGTTTATATGCTATATAACGGGAACGTGGGTCTGATGCACCGTTGAACGACGAGCTAAACAAGTCAGTCTCAGAATGGGAAAGAAGGAATACGCATAGGAATCTAGATGGCAGGTTGCGCCTAGGGTAGGTGTCTAGGACCTGTCAGCCCTCGGTTGCTACTATGTGGTCGTGGATTAGTCTAATCCAGATGTATCACCATCATGGCACAGGCCTAACCGAATCCGACGGGACGTAGTATGACTGCAAGAGCTGATGACTAAGAACATTCAACTACGTGCGCTCACCACTTCGTGTCTGTTCCCGGCTCTCGGTCCAAACACACACTCAGCTCCCACTCGCTCACCCTCTTCGCCCACCGATACATCTTTATTCCCCCATACCCGCCCCTCGGACCCTCCATCTCCCTCACAAAATCCGCATACACCCACGCGTCGTCCTCGAGGTAGAAGAACGCCTGGAACGTCCGCTTCCGATCGTACATCATCATGTGTGCCGGCAGTCCCGCGAGCACAAGCGCAACCTGGAATTTCACGAGGAACGGCTTGTCGTCGTACGTGTTTGGCGGGGGGTTGGACCCGTCCAGTTTGCGAATGCTTCGCTGGGTAGCGGAGCCCTCGAAGCCGAGCGAGGTGGAGGTGTGCCTGTTGATGAAACCCAGCCACTTGCCGTCCTGGCCGGGCATGGACGAGCGGAGACGGATTGTGCGCCAGGTGCCACCTTTGAGGGAGCGGCAGGTTATCTTGTGGTCTGGCCAATCACTGCGCTGGCATTCTGGTGCGTGCGAGGAGCGATTAGTGTGTGTGCATGACATGGAAAGGGTCAGGGAAAGGTACCTGAGCCACAGTAAGCGATGGATTGGCACCCGGCACATCGACTCGTGGCTCGCTTGCCGCAAACCGCGCATCCCAGGTTGACATTCAATCTGGCCAGCGCGTCGTACTCGAGAGGTCCAACGGGCAGGAGAACGGAAACCTTGAAGGACTGCTCAGTGCGCCGCCGCTCGACCTTGAAGTCAGATGGGACCAGAGACGCGTTCAGCTTCAAAACTCTCAGGAGCAGTCGTTGTTCCAGAGGCGTGGCGTTGACGTTGAGCATGACCTCGCCGACCTCTGATGGATTCGTGTCTACTTGTTCGTCTATCCAGTCGATTCCCTCCAACGCGGTAGATTTGTCGAAGTTTCGATACAATACAACAAACGCGGGGGTCCTTTCATTCACTTCCAAAACAGAGAGGACCTGAATACATAAATAGTCAGCACATGGCAGAAACCTGGAGGAACCAGCAACTCACCCTGAGATTGACGGCACAGTGCTCCTTCTCTTGATCTTGCAGCACGCACCACCTCAGGCCGTCATCCAGATATTTCCCAAGACCCATCATGGTTTGCCGCAGATCCATGAAAGGGTCGACGTATAGTGTCGGAACAGTGCTCCCCCCTGCTTTCTTTGTTTCGTAGACCTGGAGCGCCTCCTGCATATTTCCCCGCTGAACTGCTTCGAAGAGGGATCGCGCTCTAGTATCGGCTTCGTTCGGCCTCTTCAAAGGCCAAGCGGGAAGACCGTGCAAGTCAAACGGGGATGGCAGACGATCCTTGTACTGAGCGGCATTGAGGGCATCGCGCAACCGTTTCTCAAGCGCGTCGCCCGATAACTTGGTGTCCGTCGGGATCTCGATACCCATGCTCTTGAGGACTTGGAGGGTTTCGGAATGACTCAGTGTCCAATCCATTTTGTAGATGACACAGCGGGGAGGGTAAGATAGGAAATTGTCAGAGACGGTGGCGTGGCGAGATGGTGGTGCGCGTGCAAATAGGACGGTCCTGTCGCGTGCGCGGATGACGCGCCTAGTCTAGTAACTCCCACCACGTGATCGCATCCATCGCGCGCAACTCCCCCCATCCGCTACGGATCGTGAGGCTGTGAGACCTTGCCAACCCCTCAGGACTGAATATGCTCGGATTACTTCAGCTTGAAACGATATTCATAGCAAAACATAGCAACAGGTCACTTATACATACATTTTCGTCCGAAATCGATGAGTTCTGCCCCTCCCAGTCACGGCTTCACACTGTGCCTATAAACTCCAACATAGTACTTACGCCATGATAGTGGGGAAACATCTAGATATCGTAGTCGAGCGTGACAAGATAACTCGTCGTGGAGAGGATGCTCTTGGTCCTGGGGTCGGTCTCGACGACCGTAAAGTCTGCGAGGCAGTGCATCTGTCAGAACCATGTCTCTCATATAGGTCCAAAGCCCGGCACTCACTGTAGTTCCCTTCCTTGAAGACGTTGATGCTGACGTTGACACGGCCTTCTGCTGTCTCAGTGTCGTTTGAAGAGAATTGGGGCGTCGGTGTAAGGGGCGCGCTGAACGTGGCATTGTGGAGGGTGACGTTGATGAACGACGTGTCAAAGCTCGAGCGACCCTGAGGGGGACAAGACGCAAAATCAGCATGAAGCTACACAGAATTACGCAAGCCGGGAGGCGCGCAGTACAGCACTCGTAAGCGATAGGTAATGAGTACTCACAGGCCGCGTATACTGGACCAGAGGGTTAAGGCCTATGCCGCTGCTGGGTGAGGGGCTTATGAGCTGGGCGTTGGCTACAAAATGAGCGCAAATATGTTCACAATGAACCACTGTTGTGCGGTCGAAAAATGTATGACACTCACCGGCACCCGCGAAAACAGCTGCAGCGAGGGCAAACAAGGAGAAGCGCATCATGTCGTGGAGATGAAATGAAAGGATGAAAAGTAAAGAGTGAGAGGCAATGGGGTCCTACTGTCCTCGAACCTGATCTGCATCATTTATATTTATAAGTAGTCAGTGTCGAACTGCGATCGCGGCCTCAACGTCAGCATCCGAGGTTTCAAGTTGAGCGGCTTACGGCTGGGCATGCCCGGCCGCTTGTGCGGCTGTACCCAAATCATACATGACGTTGTTTCGGCTGTGTGCCCTTGTGTGCCCGTCCACCGACGGGCGATCCGATGGGCACAACTTGTCCACGGGACTCCAGAGTCACATGGAACAAGGATAGTACTGCGGACCGCAAGACATAGCCACCTCTCACCCCGCATAATAATACATGACGATCGTTTCTCCTTCAATTTAGATTTAGACAAGATCTCCACAGAGAACTCGCGGTAACAGTGCTGGAGTAGACCCAGGTCCGAGCAGCTATTAGCAACTCCACCCCCAGATTCAAATTGCCATTGTTTGTTAGCGAGGGTACAAGTCGTTCAAAGGTCTGCAAAGAAAGTGGGCTCTGCCTCGACTTCGTTCTTCCCCTTCCTCCGCTTCATCGCATGCAGTGCGTCCTGCTCTTTCTTCCGCTTCCGCTTCCGCTTCCGAGGTTCTGGATCTAGATCTTCCTCATCGCTCGAATCTGCCGCTTTCTCCTTCGTACCCTCTTCCTCGTCGACGTGCTCGTCCTCTACAGCGTCCTTGACTTCGCTCTTCGAAGGCCCCGTTTTCGTCTCCCCTTCCTCGTCTGAACCGCCTTCGTCATTCTCCATATCCGGATCCGCATCGCTCCCGGCACTACCGCTTTCGGCTTCCTCATCTTCGTCACTATCGTTCTCGAACACCTCCTGTAGGTCCGTCAACTTGAGCACTTCCTCATGCCCTACGCTCCCGACCCAGCGCCCCTCGCCACCCATGTCGACCGCAATGCGCTCAATTGGGAATTCGCCGTGGTCGGCCACGACGCCGAGGAGCTTGGTCGGGAAAAGCTGCACGGCGCGGAGGAGGCCGTCGGAGGAGCCGGTCAGGATGGTGGATTGCGCGTTAGAGTAGCGGGACGGAATCGCGCAGAGGGCGTCGATGGACTGCGGGTGTCTGAGGCGGGAGGAAATGCGTGTCGGTGAAGATCAGAGGGGGTTGGATAGAGGATGGGTAGGGAACGTACCCGGGTATACGATCGACGCAGTCTCCCCAGCCATTTTTGCGATTGAATATTGAGAGGATGCCTAGCTGCGTCCCGACAACGATTTTCTGCCCGCTGGAAACGGTTCATCAACATTACGGGCAAACTTGTCCGTGCGTTCGTCGACGTACCCTTTGATAGGTAAAATGGAAAGTAACTCGTCTTCTTGGTCTTCTGACTGGGCCACGGGCTCCAGCTTTTTGGATCTGATGTCCATGACTGACAATGTACCGTCGCCGCTGAGTAGACAAAAGCTCCATGAGCTCGGTATGAGATGAACCACATGGTGGTTACGTACCTGGTAGCGACGAGCTGCTTCTTGTCATCCAGCCACATGAAGTCGGATATGAAATCAAAGTGGTGTGTGTACTTCCGTACAGCCTCCTGTTTTCGGGGGTCCCATAACTTGGGGCCATGTATGATCGGGAAACATGTAAATGCACGGTCAAGAGACAATACTCACTTTGATCACGCCGTCATCGTCTCCTGACGCAAAGAGTCGCGGTAGAAGTCGCTTCATCCGGTTGATGGGGACACTTGCAAGCACTGCCTAGGTGAGCGACAGTGGTCTATTGTGCGGTGGGGAGAAGCCATATAAACTCACTCATGTGCAGCAGCACGAGTGTCGACGACCTCTCCCGTCCCAACGTCGACAGTACTGACGGTCGTGGGGTGTATGCGGTCAACAAAAACCTCAAGCACTCAAGCGAATGAGGTATATACATACTAGATGGCCTTCGCCTTTCCTGCCGCCCATAGCTTTGACCCATCCTCGGTCACAGCGAGCGTTCTACATGACTTCTTGGAGGGCCTGATTGAGAACTTCTCCTCATAGTTCCCCTGCTCGTCGTAACTGAACGCCTTGATGTACCCAGTGAGAAGCCCAGTGGTCACCAGAGGCTGTTCTGGAAGGAAAGCTAGATCGAATATCTGCGCTCCGACAGGGATGTCGGGCATGATGCCAATGGACCAGAAGAGAGCGAGGAATTAGACGCCGAGGATAAACTTGCGTATAGAGATCCTTGCACTACCTGTTGTTTATTCACGCACCTCAGCAAATGCGTACACGAGCGACAACTTTAGCGAAAGTGTAGCAATAGGGTCTATTTGCCAGAGCCTGGGCCACGAAACTGAGGCTCGAAGGGGAGTTGAGATTGCCCGAGATTGTGCTCCACTTGACCTCGAGAGAACGCTGCTGCAGAATAGTTTGTGTCCGGAGAGAGACTTGTTTATGTCGTGAGTACCTATGATGGAAAGTAGTGTTCAGGGTCCTCCCTCCTCAGTGCTACATACACACGCACCGCGGGATGCCTGTGCGATGAGTGGTGCGTTTAGCGCCCAGGGTATCCAGGGTTCCACCGTACCAGTAAATTCGACACACACTCGCTCAAAGCAAATATCCGCACGCACCACTTCGTTCAGAATACTCGCGTCTGTATCTCGAGCGAACGTCAAATGGCCCAAGAAATTTCGCCCTGGGCTCTACCAAATATACCCTAATGTCGCGCAGGATGGTATGAAACGGCCAAGTTGACAAGCAGTCTGCGATCAGTGCCACGTACCTAAACGCCGCGCAATATATCTCAGCAGTGCGAGGATTAGCTACATGGCCTTCTCAGGCCAATATCTCTGCACGACGGTATCGACCCGCCGGGCGCTTGACGGTTTCCGCAGGCCTGGCCGGTAATCCCGCAACTTCGCGGATTGAGGAGTTCTCTCAAGTCGTGCCCGAGAAGGTGATTCGTTCCCTTACTGCTTTCCCATGTCAAACGAGCGTAGCCCCTTCCTGTCCCCCGACATTGGTATTACCGTAATGACACGCTCGTAGGCTCCTCGAAGGGACGTAGAATAAATACCCTCCGATAGCCACACGCGAGCAACGACGTATCCGAACGTCGTTGGATAATCCAACGCTCCCCCGCCCCAACTTCTCACCAATCCACAGGAATGACTGCGAGGAAGGGCGAGCATGTCTTCTAGTGTCTGGCACCCGAAGCCAGGGACCTCTGCAGAAAGCAGTAGTTCGTGAAGACGATCAACAACACCGCCGTGCTAGTTGAATCGCACACTTCCCCCGATTCAATACACGAACCGTGGCAACGTATGAATGATTAGGAGCTGTAAGAACAAGCGCTATGCCGTATCCAACGAGTCTGAATGAGGGTCGGGCCATCGTCATGAACGTTGGCTTCTATCAATTCGCTGATGAGACTCCGAATGACGCAACCTCTGAGTCGCTCGCGCCCTTTCAGGCATCGTAGCTAAGGGTGACAACGATGCCGATGTTCGCGACGGTGCCCTTGAAGGGGCTGATCTCCTTGACCGTGAAGTCTGACAACGGAACCGACGAACGGTAAGCCTCCGCAAATGGTACATGGGCGACGACGTGAAGAGGGATCTCACCGTAAGTCCCTTCGGAGAACACCGTGGGGTCAATGTTGACGGTACCGTTAGCAGTGTCTTGGGGCCCGTTCCCAGGAGAGAACGTGGGATGGGGCAGCAACTGGGCGGTGACGGTTGCGTTGTGCAAGAAGACCTCGACTACAGTGTCCTCGGAGACCACATGACCCTGAAAGCACCTGCCGGTCAGCTGCATTCATCTCGGAAGTCAGACGGTAGCTGCACGCACGGGGCGCTTGTACTCGACGAAGGGATGCAACCCGATGACGCTCTCAGTTATGGGGGTGATGAGCTCAGGTGAACCTGAAAAGACGACGAGGTTGTAAGGCAACACAGTCTACGATCTTGGGAAAGTGTATGCATACCCTGAGCGACGACAGTGGTCACAGCACCGAACACGGCGCAGGCAAGAGCAACAAAGGAGGTGCGCATTGTGTTGAGAGAGTACCAGGAGCTGAGACGGGAATGTGAGGAACTGGTGATGGAAGTCGGTGCAAGGTATCCTCCTTTATATACTCCTCCTGAGACGTCTGGTCGGCCTGCCCCACGCTTTGCCCTGATGGCGCTCCGTACGCGTCATATGACGGAGACACCCAAACCATGCTTCCGCTGCGAGACCGGCAGCAGTACATGAAGCATACCATGATACACAGGTCTACTCGCGCATGCCTGTCGCCGCGTTCGGCTTGACTTGGCGAGACATACTGATGTAAAGGATGTCTGCGTCGGGCATGCATCTGCAGACTACAGCGGCAGACGGCGGCCGATCACGGGCTATCCTCGCCGACAAATGTCGCCATACGCACCGTACAGTCTCATTGAAGACTGATTCCATCACAACTGCCGACGCTTGCGGTGAGTTGAAGCTTAAGTCTAGGCAGAGCACTGACCGTCATGTCCAGTCTTTGCTGTCGTGTATTGTTGCCAAGTCGGTCTCCCTTGTCCGACGAGGGAAATGGGACCTACGTAGACTTGTGAGGTCGAGTTTACCGTTTATGTAACAGAGAAACCGTCTCCATTCATGCTCCCACAGAGGCCAACAGCGCCCGTCCGTACTGGTAGGAAGGGGGCCTGGCCGAGAAAATGCCTGCATACACACAGGTATCATCTGTAGATCACATTTCTCGATCTGTCCAGCATTCCGCGTTTCAAAGTCGTGCATTCTAATGAAGTGCTAAGGCATCGTACCGTATGTACATAGTCGCTCGTGACTGCTACTACAACTCATCCTTCGTAGGTGGCGCTTCATGCGCTTTGGGGTCGAACACAAATATAACCGGGACCTCGAAACGGGACAGTGATTTCGGGCTGTTCAGAGGACCACCCCATTGCCACTCCATTATGGTGAGATCTGTTCCCATCTTTCAGCTCCGCATCCCGATGGCCAGACAATCAGCTATGCTTACTGTACGACCCCTCGGCAAGTCCCGGGAGAAGAGGGACGTTCAGCTGGGCCTCCGCTGTAGGCGGATCGCTATCCGCAATGAAGTCGATCTTGGATGGGTAAATGTCTGCTGAATATGTCTTGTTCTGCAGCAACAGCGATATGGCAGATGCATCAGGAGAGCTAGATGCGAGATCGTAGCTCTGGTATAGCAAAGCAGGTGTCAGTAAAACAGTCCTTCAGCGAAGATTACGCGCCGAAGAGTGTTCGGAAGGTGCTAACCGTATCGATGAACTTGAAGTCGAACTGTGGCCCAACAGTCTGATTGACTTGAGGGGAGACGACTGTTACATTCTCCATATTGCCCAGGTTGAGATTCACGTTGATGTGGAGGCTGGGTGCATTACTAGCATCCGGGTAGAAGACTGTTGCGGCTGATATCAGAAGGGGAGAATGGCGGAAAAGCATGGCGATCCATGACACACGCTTGTTCTTGAAAGTATTGAGAGCAGCCAATCCGGCGCCGAAGATAGAGCCTAATACGAAGAGCATCTTATGTGTGAAGTCGGACGAGGCTAGGGATGAGATGGGACGGAGAGCAGGAAGGAGGGACCTTGGTGAAGTATGCGTTGGTATGATATGTGAGTTTCCGAGTCACAGACGGCCCCGCCACTCTGCGCAGTGATGTTGTCGTAAGACACACAGCTATTGGACGATAGATATCGGACCGCGTACTAACTCACTGGCAGATAGACGTCCGCGGTTGTTGAAGTCTATCATAGGCTCCTAATTTCCGGCGGAGCGTGCTAATGTCCACAGTAGCCTCGACGCGAATCTGTAACCACATGGAAGAGCGACATTCAACTGGTCAACAACAAAACAACAGCATATACGACATACTGCTCGCATACGGCCATAACGGCAAGGTTTAGCTCTGTCAAGGCTGTTCGCGTGCGAGTGTGTCGTGCTGATAGAAGCCACTCAACGCCATCGCAACCCCCCGTGAGTACGAACGTGGCATCTGCAGGTTTGCTTCTCCATCTTCATCTGCCAATGGTGAGGCTGTGAACACGACGCGCAAATGCAGTGTTGAACAACGAAAGTCACCATGCATACCACTACGTAGCTTTCGACGGACACCACCAAACGACTCTCATATAAGATTGCCAGAGATGAAAGACTGGAAGACGTCGAGAATGATTTCACTTGCTACGCGTCCTCGAAATTCGTTAGGAATACGGTCCTGGGGGGGTCGGGAGTCAAGTGGACATCAAAGAGCGCATCGGCGTCTATCTGTGCTTCTTGCTAGGCGCCGATCCGTGGACTTCGATCGGGAGGGCCTTAGGTCGAACCGCACAGCATGTCCAGATATTTGCCAGCAGTAGACCAATGCGATGTTGTATATACATAGCGATCTCATGATCATACATTGCAGATATATCTTCTTTCCCGTCCTCGCACGGCCCGTTATAACTTTGTTCGAAAGCGCACAGACATAAGCAGCCAACCAAGCCAATGGTCCATCGACACCTCCAACCCCCAGTCCGCCCACAGCCCTCATTCTCTACCCCTTCTACCCGCTCATCGCTCTCCAAGGATTACCCTACGTCCGGAAAGGACTGTGATATCATACGTCGGTGCGACGGACGCGAAGCAGCAGACACCAGACCAGGCAGAAAACAAGAGAGCTCATACAGACAAGCTGTCTAGCTTGGTCACGAGCGCGGTGTGTCCCTCCGCCTCGGACTGGGAGACGTCGTCTTGCTTCTTGAGCTCCTCGCGCGACTCCGAGTGCTCGGTGCCGTGCTCGTCGTAGTGCGTCACGCTGCGACCCTGCGTTCGTAGACGTCAGCTTCCCGCAGAAAGGTAACGCGCGGAGCACTGCATGCCCAAAGGCGGAAAGCGTGAGTATACACACCTCGTCGACCTGCTCCTTCTCCGACTCCTCCTTGAACTGCGCGATGTGCTCGCTCAGCGTCTGCGCCGTCGGCGACAGCCCCGCGAGCAGCGACATGCGCTTCGTCGCGATCATCGAGAACACCGCCTTGCGGAACGTCTTCTTCGCGTCGAACGCCTTCTGGATCTGCGGCAGCAGGTTCGTCGGCCGGCCCGAGGAGCTCTGCGGGTCGGGCACAAAGTGCGGCTGCTCCGATGCGAGCCACTTGTGCTTGAGCGCCTCCGCCGCGGTTGGGCGCGACGTGGGGTCGATCGTCAGGCATTCCGAGACGAAGTCACGCGCGGTCTGGGAGACGTTCGACCAATACTCGTCTGTGTGTGCAATCGGGGTAATGTATGTTCGTGCACCGACAAGGAAGGGAGACGCAACTGTTAGCGGACTGCGGAAAGGAAGGGACAGCAGAGACAGACCAGGCTCGAAGCGGTAGTCACCGGCAATGATAGCCTCCATCTCCTGTTGTTGGGTATCACGGTCAAATGGAGTGTATCCTGCGTATATCGTTATGTTAAAACGTGCATGAACGTAGACGAGGGCAGCGTTACCACAAAGCAGGAAGTATGTGATGACGCCCATAGCCCAGACATCGACAGGCTTCCCGTGGCCGGCTGCAGACATAGCGCCATCAGTACATTGAAGCTGATCACACGTGTGCGCACTGCTCACTCTTCTTGAAGATCTCAGGAGCCATATACTGCGGAAGACGCGTCAATATCCTCAGAGTAAGCAGATTTACAACGGAGCTAATACGCACGCCTGGCGTTCCGCATATCTCTGTCAAGAGATGGAACTTCTCATCGTCCATTACCCGACTGAGACCAAAGTCGGCGATCATGATATCTGCATCTTCGTCCTTCGTACGGAAGAGGAGGTTCTCGGGCTTGAGGTCTATCCGGAAAATAGCTTCAGGAGAGTCGGGAGCAGGATCCAGAACTACGCATATATACCTCGGTGTACGATACCACACTCGTGAATGTACTTCACTGCACCCATGATCGTCCGTACCAGCGCAGCAGCATCCCTGGAATATGGATCAGTTCTGCGCCGAAGTACTAGGAGAACTGATGAGCACGCACTCTTCGTAGTAGTTGCCCTTGGCGCATATGCGATCGAAGAGCTCGCCGCCCGTACACAGGTCAAAGCAAAGATAGAGGTTGTGTGCCGTCTACGTAGGATAAGGCCGCTCAAGACCCCGAACGATGAATGCGGTATCAGGACGTACCTCGAAATAGTCATGAAGGGTAACGATGTTTCTGTGACCCTTGGACACCTTCTTCAACACCGCAATCTCGTTCCGTACCTACAGACGTGCAGAGCCGTGTAAGACACGTAGTTCGCGGGAAGGTGACTCATGCCGAGCCGCGATCGTATGATCTCCATGGGGAAGGGCATGTACGCCCTGCGGACGTTCAGGGGTATTAGACTCACCATGTACTCCCGCCCCTCCATGAGTTTCTTGTTGATGACCTTGCAAGCATAGTACTTGCCAGTCTTGATGTGTACTGCCTCCTTCACGATAGCGTATGTGCCGCTGCCGAGGGTTTTGCCCGTCCGATACTGGGAAAGCACGTTGACCGCTATCAGCCGCTCGACCTAATCGGGATGAAGACTAGGAGGTCTAACCTGACAGGGGACGGTTGCGGGGGCCATCTCTTGATCCTTCTTGCTGTAGGAATGCTAGGAGAACGTGAACGGGGATGCGGATAGCAACAGACGAATGGTGGAAGAGGGAGAGGAGCACGGAGGGACGTAGAGCAATGGCTGTTACTTATAATTAGGGTTCTAGCAGTCTGATCAGGCTACTCACACCTATTCGATCGGCGTCGCCCCGTCCCTCCGGCCCATCACCGGACGCTGTCCCCTCGGTGGTCGCGTGGTTGCCGGCGAGGCCGTGCGGCTCTGGCTGTGAAAGGTCCGAGGGAGGCGCCGCGTTGGCCGGTGCAAGCTGCGTTGCGGACGACGCCCATCCAGTTTCGCTTGTCTTTGACTTCTCTCTGTCCACCGCCTGCTTCTGTGGCTGATGCGCGCTCGTATATCGATGGCCACTGGCACCTTCCCCGCTCCTCCTGCCTTCCGTATCCGAATAGGTCGACCGCTTATCCTTGCGCCGCAAATGGACGCTGTGGACAGACCGACTTTGCTGCGTGCCCATGCTGCTGACTATGGCTGAGAATCGACGATGTAAAGATGATTATACGGGGCTACGATATGGATAGCTGCGACGTGGCTCAGAGCGTTGGGAAACGAAGAACGGTACCGGGTATGGACACCACTGTCCGCGACGTCTTATATACAAGTCCTGACCCTTCTCCCTCTTCCATTTCGCCACGCCCATGAGGCGTGTTCCGAGGAACGATCACGGCAAACCGCCTCTGAACGGACTTGACACCGCTGCCGTCCCTATACTCCATGACAGCTTCCAGAGGCTGTGATGCACTGCCCGACAAGCGCGATGAGCGAGTCCGCACGGCTCCGGACCCGACCTCCCTAGTCTCTCGCTGTCCATATATTCGGCCATCCCAGGAGCGCCACCATGATCTCATGCACCTATTGACGGGTGTACGACGTACTGTGCTGCGAATACCTCGGTTGGTATAGCTTCCATGCTCAATTCGCGTTGCTTGCGGGACCTGTACGGATAGTAAGTACGCTATATGCGTCTATGATATCGTGGCCGACATATCGGGGATCACTTGGCTACTTGATGGGTACGTTCGCTTCGAATCATGATCACCCGCTGTTCGACAGAGCCCGAGCCCAGGCGTCGTTCACGAGGCCGTCATGAAGATGCACGGTTCACTCTTCATAGCGATGCAGGATTATGTCATTGCATCGCTGCTTGTCCTTGTCATTCATATACTCTCGATTTGCTATGCTTGGTGGATGAGTACCTGCCTCGCAACTATTGATTACAGCGCCATGGCTCGCCGTATCTCCGCGAATATTGGCGCGCGTCAGCCATAACCCACGCCTATCCGCAGCCTTTGTCCACGTCTACAGTACACCTTTGCATCATCTCAGAATGGATGTCGGTGCAGCGTACTTGCAGGTGGGGGTATCGAGGCCACCTATCACAATTTGCAGGCCTTGGTGTGGCTCCCGCCAAATGGTCTCCTGGAAGTACCGTCGCAGTCGCGGAGGTGTGCTCGATGATGTCAAGTACTGGGATTGTCGGTTTCGCACTATTGCGCTATTGACTTAAGTACGGAGGGCCACGCGGTCAGTGGCCATGCATTACATATGATACAAAGCCTTCCTTACCTCACTTGCTCTCTACCGTCAACACTCTTCGCGATGCAGGATCACGTTGACCCCGAGAAGAGTTCCTTTATCGATTGGAATGAGAAGACAATTGAGGAGCCGAAGCGTTGTTGTCTTCAGGCTTGCCTTCGGGGGTGAAGAAGAACGGGAAGCTTGGTTGTCGTGCTCACATAATTTGTCGTCTTCACGGCCAGTATGTGCACCATCATGTCTACACTCGAACCTGACCAGTACGACGGCCCTTGCCACGAGAACGTTGATTGGACTAGAGACGTGTGGCATGGAAGCACAGCAGCCCGCTCAGCCCCGAAAAGATTGAGAATCTCTACCTGCATGTCCTATCCACCGCGCATTCTCAAACGTAGCTCGATCCCGGGTCCTGCGTCCGCACTCGCCTTCTCTCGCTAATGAGCGATGCGCCCACACATCGCAGGCCCCCCGGTGACCTGCACGCCCCCAAGGCGCTTTTCGAGGTCTTCCAGGCCGAGTTTGGCATCCCCGCATCCGACGAGCTCTCGCCCTACCACGCAGGCACTCCCGAGTCTCGTTCGGCGAATGCCGACATTCTGAACTACCCGAGCCCGAAGGCATGGTTCGACCAGTACTTCCCGGCCATGAACTCCCCTCTTGATCAAGCGCACTCCATTCTCGACGAGGGAGGACAAAGACCCGCGCGACTCAGACGCGGACAGACACCGCGACGCCGTGCCCGCATTCCGTGGCTACAGCGCAGACGGCGAGGCGCAGGGCCAGCTTGTGGTCGTGAACTACGGCAGGAACTTGACACTGTTCCAACAACATATAGGTGTGAGTGACAACCACATATTGGTGCATATTAACAGCTTACTGACATAGTCGATTGTGTCGTGGCAGACCTGGCAGGGGAGGTACGGTGACCCCGGCCGGGTTCTTCCGCACCTCGGCCTCGTTGCACTCCGTCTCGCCGAATCATTCATCCTCTCGCTCAACACGACCTACTACGCGCATAGGCCAGATAAGTACCTTCACGAGGTCGACGAGGGCCTCGGCGCGAGCGCGGACATCTCTGGCCTGCGGAAGAGCATTGCTCGTCTGCAGGGTGCGAGCAGGGCGCTTGACAAGGAAAGGGAGACCGCGGAACAACATATGCGTGAGCTCCTCGACAAATTCCTGCACCCTGGACAGAACATTCATACTGGCATCGGCACGGACCCCAGTACTCCCTCCATCAACATAGCTACAGCTCGCGGTTCGACGGCCTCCCGCTCCCGAAAAAGCTTTGGAGGGTGCTGGACAAGCTATTTGGGCACGGAAGCTCGCCGCGGGTGGGATCCGATCCGTAAGCTGTTCAAGGCCGTGGAGCGTGTGCAGACAGCGAACGCGAAGCTGATAGCATTCGAGCACAGTTTCATCTCAGAGGAGGGCGTTGAGGACCGGAAGTGGTATACACACCTGGGTGTCGCACTTGGCAAGTGGCAAGGTACGTGGATGTTGTTTCCTCTCTATTGGACATCGTCGGGTTCCGCGGTGCAAGTGCGCGGATATGTGGTGTCTCTGGGTATCTCTGGTGTGCGGGGCAAGCATTGGACGCAATCCTGATGTTTCTTCTTTGCAGGCTAAGGAGTGACCACTTTCCCGTCGATTACGGAAGCGCCGACAATAGAAGGAAGTCTCACATTGGCGGAACAGGAGGCAAGGTGTGTCTATGCGTCATTGGACAAGCTGCCTCTAGTAGAGAGGCTTGTGCCAATGCTGTGGCATGTTTCTAACCCCTGCTTTCGTGCATCGCTGAACTCGGCATGTGCTTGGTTGGATACATTCCCTAGTTTACATTATGTATTACATGCGTTTTGTTTTCGCGCTGCCCTGACACACTGGGGGAAGAGTCTCGTCAGCATGATGTGGAGAGCGTTCACAGTCTGACCAAGAGTGCCATCGGAACTGCCAGGTTCAATCGCTTGTTCGGCATCGACACGCTCCTGAAGACACACGCGGCCTCCTGGCCCCTTGATATGTATGTCAGCGGGTGGACTTGCGTAGAACCTGGTAGCACCCGTCGACCCTCTCGCAGATGCCTATTCCCACTCGACATGGCTAAACATCTGCAGCGGTTCAGCCAGGCCTCCTGTCTCGAAACGAATACCCGAACTTCCTGGATTGCAGCACACATATTACGTTTCCGGATCGCCCGAGGTTTCCCCCACTGACAAACATCGTCCGCTGCCGCTATCGAGCCTCTGGCTACACTGTCATAAGTCACATTTTTGGGTACCGACTAACATGACACATCCATGCCTGTGCGTCCAGAGGAAACCTTGTCTCGCCAACATTACACCATGTAAAATCTAACTAGCCCCGGTCGGAATTGGCTTCTGAATCTCATAGCCGCTCGTATCAAGTACGTCCGTATTTTCCCAGCTTGAATGGGACACAGGCACAGCCTCGGCAATACGACTTGATGATGCGGTCATGAGGGATGTGGCTATGCTGCCGCGAGCTTGTCCAACGTGCCGTCGCGCTGTTGTCAAATTCCTCAGATGATGGCTTTTGACAACGACGAAGCTCGATATCGTCCAAAGTGACTTTGGCTTGGCTTGCACACCCAGTCACCCAGCTTGAGAGATCCTCCCCAAACCCACAACCATCGTGCGTGCGGCATACGGAATATCACGAAGAGCTCGCAGCAGTCCGGCTACCGTTTAGCGTGCTAGTGATGATCGAGAAGGCGGCGAGAAGAGAGTGCCGATGCTTCAGTAGGACAGTGTGTGCATTGGCGATGACGAGTTCAAATCGCGCTATCCTTCGAAGTGCGGCTCGTGTTGATCCGCTGACCTGTTGCTGACAGGCAATCCCCGAAGGAGCGACTGAGGTCGAGTCCGGCAAAACCACCCACATTGCCATCATGCTGAACCGTCGGCCGCATAACGTCAAACTACTCATCGGTTGCGTACTTGTGTCTTCATTCCCATGATGCACTCTATGTTTAGCAACAGACGGACATCGACCGCCGCGAGGCTTTGGAGTACAAAAAGGGGACACACTTTGGCTAACACTCCCTATCCTCTGCCCACAGTACAAGATGCGCCTCTCCGTTTTTGCTGTCATCGCTGCTGCCTTCGCTGCTGTCGGCGCCGTCCCGACTGGTGAGTCGTCTTGACGATTTTCCATTCGCAAGCCGCGCTCGTTCCATAAGTTTATACGCATTCAACAGCAGGCCCTGAGGTCGTCACCCCCGGCTCCGGCGACATCATCGGCTTGTAAGTTGTCGTTCGACTTCAAGTATGTGAACCCCGTAAGTCGAAGTTTACGCCTCATCAGTCTTCAGTCCATTGACCACAATGAACGCTGCTCTTCCAATAGAGCCGCATCGAGAGCCAATACGAGTCCATTCTCATCGCGACGCTCAACAATGCTACCACCGAAAATGGCTTTGATCCCCAACCTGAATTCTCTAAGACGGATCCCACCACGGCGACCGCTCGTCTTAATGTTGACTCCACCAAGGTTGCTGAGGGCGATCACAGTGAGAACTGTTGACTTTCGAGTCTGGATGAGGCCACATTGCTAATCTTACACTGTTCACAGATTTCACCGTGACTGAGTCTGGCCTTCCCGGGGTTATCTACTCCACCAGCTTCCCTGTCAGCCTCAACTACGATGTCTGAGGTATTCGAGTCACGGCATATGACCGTGTTTCTGTACATCGAATTGGACATGTCTGTTCTTGCACGTCTGTTACCATGGACTGATACTAATGCGCCTGGATGTCTAATATATCGAGAAATGTGCTCCATTGGATGGATTGATCCTCATACGATGGAGATGGAGGTGTTGTACAGATCTCGAGAGTAGGCGGACTAAGTAGAGGCTGGGGAAGAAAAGCATTCACCTAATGACCTTTCGTGGCTTCGCTCACATTGTCGGAAGGAACGGAAAAAGAACGACCAACCTGGGAGTCGAACCCAGAATCTTCAGCTCATCCTCGCCGGAAACTGACGCCTTAACCATTAGGCCAGCCGGCCGTAGAACGTTTGGCTTAAAGAGTGTGTATAACAAGTAGGGAATACGTTCGGCGTCGCCAGATCCGCGAGTCTGTTTTGCGTTTATAATTTCCTTCTCATGTCGTTTGCTTTACATGGAACTGACGGCCAAATGGACGCACCCGTCCAAATGGACAACCTGCCTTTTCTGGCACACAGACGCCCTCTTGGCGCCCAGGCTGTCTGCGCTGCGTGGGCGCTTGTATACCAAAACAGGCAGGTGTCCATTTGGCCGTCAGTTTCCTGTATCTGTGTTCTCTCTGCCTGCTCAAATCATCAACCCGTTATGTAACGGTTCATTTCAGCTGAAAGGTTGCACGATCTAGGTCGCATGAGTTTTGAGTGACGCCGGATACGAAGTTTCTAGACGAAGCCACAACAGAGGTCGGTTGAGAGGCCGCCGAACGTCCTCTATTTCTGCCAGAACCACCTCGATACCCCGCCCGACCTCAAGGTCTCAAGTCCTTGCCACCATGCCGGCTCACGGGTGCACCGTATTTGGTCAGTTTGAATCGATCTCGCTTCTGATCAGTTGACTCCCGCTCACCCGGGTATGTACACGGACCCGCTGCAAGTCTACGAGGTCCTTGTCCTCTGCCTACTGGACCAGAATGGATCACATCTTCCCTCAAAATGCATTCGATTGGCTGCTTTCGCATCAAGTCATGCTATACTCGACAGAGAGCGGACCGATAGAAGCATCAACGAAGACCATGGCGGTCGTTTCGGACACTGGCCTGAGCGTCGTAATATTAGCAGGCGCGAACTTGAGCTTCGGTCCGAGGAAAGTACTAGTATGCTTCTCGACCCGGACCGTGACCCAGTAAGCTTCCCACATGTGTCGTTTCATGATCGCAGACCAGCCGCTCCGACGTTTAGAACTGCGAGCGTGGTGCATTGAACTGTTGCTTCCATAGCCGACTAAGGTGTCAGCGTAGCATGAGCGCATGTACGTCGGCTAATGCCAGCGAAATCCCGGGCATGCATGGCAATGCCGCATATTTCTGACACTTTTATAGCACCTGCAGGGCGGGCTCACTTCTCATTCATCGCTCGCAAAGTCAGCTCGGTGAAACGACAAGATGCGCTCGTTCCTCTTTTTTCCTACCGTCGTCACGCTTGGGGTCATTGGTTCTATTGGGGTCCAAGCCGGTATGTTCAAGCGTCATCTTTTGTACACTCATAGCTTATCCGGGCATTCACTACTACCATGTAGCTGAGCCCACCGTCCCTACTTTGCTGACCCCTACCCCGGGCGAAGTCCTTGGTGCCGCATTCCCCTTCAAATATGTGAACCCTGTGAGCACTTCGGTCCTGCTCGCCATTCCTCTGTTGCCGCAGGCGTGGCGACTGACGTTATCACCTAGAATCGTACTGCAGAGTCCAATCCTCGAGCAGCGTCGAGCTTGATTGGAGTGCTCTTCAACACGACCTACCAGAACGGCTTCTTCCCATCCTTCTCCAACTCCGATCCTACTACTGCCGAGACTACGCTCACAATCGACTCTAGCGTTATTGCGGAGGGCGCATATAGTGAGCGAAATCGTTGTGCCATACCAAACAAGGCGATATCAGCAAGCCGACTCCGTTTCTCAGACTTTTCTCTCACAGAGGTCAATGTTCAAAGCGGCAGTCAGTTCTCCACCAACTTCGCGGTCACCGTCTCGTACCAGTAACTGTAGTTCCAAGTACATATTCTCCATACAAGATAACCTATCAGGGCAATTGAGCCTGCATCTCATCTTGCGGCAGAAGTCCGCACGTTAATGTTGGCTTTAAGGATCGGTGCGCTTCGGCGCTCTGATTTATACAGCATACGGCAGTGTACACACGTGACTAACGCTGGCGGCTTTCTTAAATGCCGTAAACTTCCCCCTCATACGCCCAAGACATGCATCCTACCAACGCCATTGCTAACTCTACGACAGCCGCTCTGCATGAAATAATAGTTCAGTCGTGCCAAGCATAGCTCGGTGAATATGCTCCGGGCGCAACTCAATACCTTGTCGCTGCAAATTGTCGGCCACCCAACGCCATCGAGCGGTACCGCGTTGGGTGCTGGTATGACTCCGAGAGGCCTTCACATATATAGAGCATCGACTTTGGCGTCAGACCCGACGACTTCAGACTTGACAACGTCCTATGATGTCGAGACAAACCACCCTTGGTAGGTTCTCCGAGATTTGTCTGTGGTAAGGATTGCTCAGTATGATGGTCAGTAGGAAGCGGCGACATCTCGTTGAAAGAGATATCACGCGAAACCTTGTTGCCGGAGATATCCTCGCATTCCAGAGGCGTTGCAATGACAGTTCCCCTCTCTATCTTGGACAACACTGTCGTTCGATATGCCCTCACGGGTGCCGTATGGTACCTCGATAAGCCCGCCGTTGAAGACGGTGCGGAGGCCCTTTCGCCGGCAATTCTCACGCGATCTCTCAGGGCGACCGCAAACTCGTACGCCGCTTGGGCTGGCCAACTCCACTGGATGCCCTACGATCCCAGTGTAACACTTCGCCATGGTCGTGTTGGGATCACCTATGGCTCCACTGCGGACCCCGGGATAGAGTTGATCGTCGCGGCGAGCTCGCAGACGATCTCTTCACTCCTGCCAAGCAGAGAACAGCGCCTTTCGGATGGATTCTGGGACACGGCATCTTTGCCTTCGGAGAAGCTCCTTTGTCCCGTCAGACTTGCACTCCACAACACGAATGAATGGGCCGGACGCCCGTCCGTCTCAGTGCAGCTTACTACGTTCGCGTGTGGAGGCCTCAGCATTGCCGTTAGAATCACACACGTGTTGGCGGATGCAACAGCTTTATTGTGGTTCATCAGGGACTGGAACGCCGTACACCGTGCCCTGCTCTTCAACCAGCCTCTTCCACATCTCTCCCCCATCTTCGACCCTCGCCTGATCGACAAGGCTGCGGCAGGCAATCTCGATACCAGCGCCCCAGATCCGGGATTGTTGAAGATATCCCGGTCGCTTCCCCAGCATCGCTACGATTGGTGGGCATCTGCAGATGGTTGTCCACCGCCGATGCTTCCCCAGACCAGACCGCCGCCAGAGCTCGAAGGCGCAGATCTAGGACCCCCAGGCGAGCTACTGCCCTGGCACGAATGGGATCTATCTCTCCCTGTCGGTCACTGCCTCATCTACTTCACCCCGAAGGAGATCGAGAACATGTGGCAAGACGCGTCCTCACAACAGCCCCCGGGTGTCCGGGTCTCGCGCCTCGACGCCCTCCTCGCGTTCGTTTGGAAATTGGTCGTCCGCGCGCGGGGACTCGAGCACGACAAGGAACTCGTCAACATGGTCCTCACCATTGGGTTCCGCCCTCGTCTCTCTCCCCCGTTGCCAAACTCCTTTCTTGGCTCGTGCATCACCAACGCGAGCGCGGCCCTGACAGGCGAGGAAGTCGCCAGCTCTACGACGCTCTCTCCTCTGGCATCGGCTATCCGCGCGGTCAACGCAAGCTTCACGCCGACAGCTATTGGAGCGCTCCTTCACGACCTCGCGCATGAAGTGAACCCTCAAAGGACCTGGCGCGCGTTCGTGGGGCGTCGCCACACCCTGGTCACCTCGTGGCTGACGAACGACCCCTACGGGATAGACTTTGGGACGGGGACTGCACCGCGCCTCGTAGAAGCGTTAATGCCGAATATAGATGGATGTGTTCACGTCATGGAAGGGGCACCATCTACTTCGGGGAGCGAAGCGCAGTGGCGTTGGTACGACAGGCCAGTTTGTGTGTCGTTGCATGTCGAGAAGGAAGCGTTGAGGAGGCTGCTGGAAGATCCGGAGCTTAGGAAATATCAGGGTTGAATGGGGAGTATACTGTCGTTATGCTCGTGAAACATGAGACGTACGATGTTCGTTGTAGCAATCATCTTGGTTTTCCGGATCTTGTCGATTCCACGTAACAGCTCTCTACGTTAGCATTGGAGGCGCCAGTATGAGCAGATCTAGAAGAGGACATCAAGGCTGATAATCTCAAGTGATTGTTGCGGCACCATCCCGGGTAGATCAGCACTAGTAGACATCACCAGCTGAAGAATGGACATAGTAGGCTTCACGAGTAGTTGTACAAATACACGAATTTGCTCAAATCATCAGCGGTATTTTGTGTTTCCTAGAACCGGATTTCCCTACACGGCACTTGCTGCTCGAACCCTATCCAAAGCAGCAAACTCAGTCGTGAACTCCTCCATTGCATCCAATGTTTCACCAAGGTGCGCGAAACCAAGGCTCTCGCCACGGCTGAACGCCAACGATTGCGCGGTGCGACAAGCATTCTTTATCTGTCGGCCGTTGATGTCGCGCTCCGCAATTTTCTGGACGAGCGCGTCGTCGAAGTCGGATACGCCCGCCTTGGTGAGGAACGAACGCCAGACCTGGACCTTGGCCGAGACGCTGAGCTCGGAGAAATTTAAGGCGACATGGATACGGGAGAGGAAGGCCTCGTCGAACGCGGTAATCCGATTCGTTGTGAGGAAAAGGATGCCACGGTAATACTCGACATGGCGCAAGCTGTAGACGTTGGTCAGACTTGAAAGTAGACAACGTACTGCAGAGAAGACGTACAAGACCGCAACCATGGCGTTGCGCTCCAAGTCGTGAAGAGAGCGACGTTCCAAGAAGACATCCGCCTTGAAGCCAATTTCAACGTTCTGTAGGTGGCACCTAAGATGGAGACCAAGGACGCACCTCATCAATGAGCACGATTGCCTTCCAGCTCGTCGCGATGTCAAACACTCGCTCAAGAGCTCCGTCGAGATCGGCCGCTTTCGTTCCCAGATCACCACCGCCGACGACATACAGCGGAGCACGGACGTGTTCGCTGGTCGCCTCCGCTGATAGGGTCTTTCCGACACCAGGGGGACCAAAGAGGTTGATGATCAATCCTTGGCCCTTGCCTTGCACGAAATCGTCGAACCCGAGGTCGGCGTTATGCGCGTCGACTAGGGAGCGGAGAAGGTTCTTCCGATCCGCGGCGAGGACAAGTCCCTCGAACGCTTCCTCGTTCCAATTGATCGGTTGGACATACTCTACATTGAACTCAACTGCACAGTCATGGGTGAGCGCGGAGCGCTAGAAGAACGATGCGAAGGACGTACGCCAAACTTTGTCAGAGAGACTGAAGCCATAGAGAATAGGAGACGCGAGGATGTACTCCTCGTCTGTCAGAGGTGCTTCCTCTTCTTGATGTTTCGTACGGACGTCAAGCATAGGCACACCGTCGCTATGATCTATGGGACTGGTATATGTCGCTAAATAGAGGGCCATCAGTAACAGGAAAGTGAGATTAATGACGGAACCCCGAATCATACACGTGTTGGGATCCCAGAAAAGTTGAGTCTGTTGCTCTTGCGCTGACTGTGCGATGTTTGCCTTGGGCATTTCATAGTTCGGATTCAGTCGGATGAAGTTGCCTATGCATTCTCCAGATCAGCATTCGTCCAGCGTGGGAAGTCACTCAACGAACCTCGATCAATCATGACACGAGAGTCGACCTTCAGCATATACGGTCAGTACGGAATCAATGCCACCCCAAACGCGGTACGCGAGACGCTCACATTGTACTTGAGTAACTTCTTACTGCCCCCGACGTTTGCGGTGAGAGCGGCCGTGCCCGTGTAAAGCATGTGGTGAATCCCCTTCAATGAAGCCCACTTCCGTCCACGCTCCAGAAGAAGTGCCTTCAGTCCTTCGGGATCTGAATGATACTGGATAGGATAGGCCTCGAGTGTGTTGATTTTCTCCGTCCCCTTGAACCCGAAGATGACGATCTTGCTCTGCACCCGGCCAAATGCACGGCCATTCAAGGCGGCCGCGCTCGAAGTGGTCTGGGTGTTGTCGTTAGCAGACACAGGAGCGCGCCCCTTTCGGGCCTGCGCCGTCCTCGCAGCTCTCAATTTAGCAAGACGGTCTCTAGTAGACGTGGGGGGCTGCTCGCTCCGACGGCCAGGGTGCGCCCCTTCTTCAGTCGAGTCGATGCTCTCGCACACGAGGCTGTACAGCGAACACATCGGAGTCACGATCTTCGTCGCGCTGAGGATCTGGAGCGCGCGCGGCTCCCCGGTGACGGGGCACTCGGTGATGATGGTCGTGCGCGGGACGAGGATGGCGTAGAGGAGGTCGAAGGTGATCTCTCCATGTGCGGTGAGGCTCGCGATGCGCGCGAGAGTGCCGCGGTAGTCCTTGCGCAGGTAATCGAGGAGGACACCCACTGCGCCGAACATGTGGTTCTCCTCGGGCGTGCGCGCCTTAGCGTGGAGGGCCTTCTCGTATTGCTCGAACCGGGGGAAGAATGCGATCAACAGTTGGGGGTCGAGCTGTGCGAGGGTAATAACGATAGTCAGATCAAGCGCAATCGTCTATCTCGCGAATATGTCCGAGAGTACCTCAAGCGGCTCGGCCGTCCACGACAGTCCTGGGACAGTGCCTATGACCTCCTTGCAGGCCTTCAGCAAGTACGGACTCTTGACGACGACCTGGAAAGTGATCTCTGCGCCCTCCAGCTGCTTATTGGGCTCAGGGATCTTGCGAACAACGACAAAGCAGAAATTCGCCCACGGATCGTTGTCACTGCCGTTGCCAACAGGACGCACTGCCTCCGCGACGATCCCAGAGCCGGTGTTCCTGTACTTCCAGGACTTCGACCACGTGCTCCAGTAGTGGTCGACGCGCTTGATCTTCAAGCTCGCAGGTGCGACAGGCGCGGGCGGCACTGCGGTCGCCTCGGTCGTGGTCTGCGTATCGTTCACGTCCTCCGAGGGTTGGTTAGAGTTTGCGTCGACATCTTTTTCAGAGGGCACTTCTGCCGTGGAGAGGCGGCGGGAGGAGCGAGTGGAGAAGTAGCGGCGCATAACAAGGTCGCGTGAGGGGGTGGTGCACCGAGTGGGAGGTGTCGTGCATGCAACCACGCTTGACTTGACTTATGTATCGTTGTGCTGCAAAAGGCTGTCCTGTATCAACTCAGAAGCATCGAAAAGGGTGCGGAGTTGGCCACAGCCTCACCATGACTAGGATCGCTGTCCTAGGGTTTAGCACCTCCACATTGGACACAGCTATGGCACGGGTAGCGCCTCACGGTACGCGATGGGGATTCCCGTGCTGCCGTGATACCTGTGCTGTCCAGGTTCTCACTCGAGCAGATCCCCGCACCTGCCTGGCTGAGTGAAGAAGCATATGTCGACCCGTCAGCGTTGCTCGGGCGACCATGTCAACCCGACTCAAGTTGCCTTTCCAATCCAAGAGACGCCGATTCCATCAGGGACAATTCACCACGTAAGTACGTACAGTACTGCGTTTGCTGATGCCGCCGTCTGTTCCCCGGAACCTATACACCGCCCGAAAGGGAGTCAATGTCAACGGGTTCAAGGCGGGGAGCCATTTGTCCGCCACGTACCTTGCCTCTAGACTTGTCCACGTGCGAGGGCCGTTGTTCATGGGCGCCGATCGGACAAAAGCAGAACCTGGGGAGACACTATGTCGCAACGACCATGTCGGATGTTCTGCTGGGGACGGCGGTCAGACCTTTCTCTGTCTCAAAAAATGTTAGCACCGTATGACGTGCGTGGACGTATCGAGTCCGTGCTGCAGCTCACTTCAGGAGCTCTTGCGTCATGTCCAGACGACCAGGAAGATGACTGGAGTAGAAGGCGGCATGAATGAGCAAAATGCTGCATGTGTCGTGAGGCATACTCGATGAAGTTGGGAAGGATGGAACGTACAGGCGCCTGTGTCTATCGAAGCGAGCTCGTTCGCTTCAGCACCGTATACGCACTATGCAACATCTCCCGCTCTTACCTCGTACATTTCTATATCTCAGCTTCAGGCTCCGGAGCCAGATCTAGTACTCCTCAGCCAGGACAGTCTGCAGGTAAATCAGTTCTAGTCCTCGTATGCTTCCAATTGCCGTGCAACTGGCGCAATAGCTGCTCGAGAACACTACCAGAGGGCGATCGAGGCGAGGCGTTTTACGTGGGCGGTTGCTCATTGACATGCATCATTGTATCTCCTGTCCTTCCCCGTGACCTCTTGGCTCCAGCGAAGCGCAGAAGACCGACCGTATGACTGCGATTCATGACGGACCTTCTACTCAATTACGCACCCCCGGGAGTTCGGAAGACGCTCTCTACGTCTGCGTCATGACTCCCGACTCGCAGACGGGCACGGATCTCAGGCGCAAGGAAGGTACGAGATCCGTACGGTCTTGTTGGTGACCGGTCATGAGCAAAATATACGCATTCTCTTTCCCCTCTATCTCCAGAGTTAACAGCCCCCTGGAGGCACAGTGGAGCATCTCTATTATGCATATGTGCATTGTCGGGCATATTGATGCACCTCCCCATGATGATGAGTTTCCCCAGACAGCAGATGATAAGAGCGTGGCCCGAATATTGCGATAGAGTTCCCGCGAACGCTCATCTAGACATCGCACGGGTCAATCTGACGCGTCGGTCTCTCCCACGGAGGCCAACGGTGGAATCACGAGTGCATTCTCGAGGCTCGTAGTGGGGGCCATACCGAGCCTGACCTTGTTCTTTACTCACCGATAATAGATCAATGTAGTCCGGACGCTGGCTGTTCCTCGACCGTCTCCCACTGACGCCCCATCTATAGGATCGATTGACACGTGTAGTCCACGCAAGACAGGCGGCACGGAAAACACGCCTCTGCAACGCCTAAACAGTCACCACACCATATCGCGGCCTAGGTTCGCACAAAGAAGCGGCCGATCTCTGTCTCTCTCTTCATCTACAAGTTCGCGATGGCCACGCCATGCCTCTCCTCCGCTGCTCATGCCTTCACCCGCTCCCTTCCCTCCTCCCTTTAGCTCACCGTCTGCTAGCCATCACCCAGTAAATGCCCCGAATTGTGGACGAGGACGGCCGGTATGTACGTCTCAATTATGTCGTCCGAGTGGTCATTCACCGTTACCCTGCCGCAGCCGCGAATTCCCCTTTCCCCCTATGGACTCGCCGAGGACGTCGTCCTCAGGCGGCAGCAGCCTGCAGCCGAGCTCTGCAAGCAGCCGTTCGAAGTCCCTCCGCTCCCCGTCTACCTCCTTCACCTCTCACCCGCCCCCGCGTGTCCGCGCCGAGCGCGACAGCAGGCAGGACACCCTCTCCGACCTGCACCAGAAGCTGCTCGCGCACATCGCCCCGCGCGAGCAGCCTGGCTCGCGGAGCCTCCGCACCGCGCTCGCGATCACGACGGAACGCCTGGAGAGCGAGACGCGCCGTGCCGACGATGCGGAGCGCCGCGTGCTCGAGGTCTTGCGCAAGTTGCGTGCGGCCCACGAGGCGACGATGCTCGCCCAGGCCGAGGCGTCCCGGGCGAAGGAGGAGCTGACGCTGTACAAGTTCCGCCTGGACGAGGCGCAGCGCGAGATATTGCGTGCGCAGGAGGCCGTGAACGATCTCGAACAAGCGAAGCTTGAGGCTGAGTCGGACGCGGCTCGTGCTCGGTCCACTGCCCGTCGGTATCGCGAGCAGCAGCTCATTGCGCGCGCACGGGAAGAAGGCAGGCAGGAGGGCCTACAAGAGGGCTATTCTAGAGGAACGACCATAGGATACGAAGAGGCTGCGGTTGCTGATCGGCCTAGGGAGAGGCGGTACGCCGCTCCAACCGTAGAGGATGTGCCGGAGGAGGAGGAAGATGAGGAGGAGCCTCGCATGCAGAGGTACCGTGCTGGAACGCCTGGACCTGCTGAGATTCTTGTCAGGACGCCAGTTCCTGAGTTTCGCAACCGAACACCAGGGCCATTCATTATCCCGTCGGGGAGAGTGACGCCGCCGCAGCCGCAGCCACGGCGACCTCCATCCCGGTTAGTTTTGAAAAATGCTACAAATTTTTCCACAACTAATACCTGGTCATCAGACTGAGCGCGTCGAGAGCTAGCGAGCGCACTCACGTACCCGATACTGCACACCATGCCCCTATACTTCCAGTACCAACAATGGCGACACCGCTCAACCTCCCTTCTCCTTCACACTCCCGTGCCCAGACACCTACAGGGATGCCGATAGCGCATCCAGCCCCGCGCTCGCTCGACAGCGGTAGCATACCTCCCCCGAGACCTATACGGGAACGCACCCCCTCTCCTACGCATCCACCCGTAGAACTGCCACCAGATGGGTGGATTCCGTATGCTTCCGGTCCCAACGAAGACATTTTCCTCCCACCTCCTCATGAGCTGTCCAGGCCGCTTTCCTCGGTGGCGGAATCCCCTACCCCACCGCCGCCTCCTGTCCTCCATCGCGCGGAACCAGCCCAGCCGTATGCCAGCACATCTACCGCGCCGCCACCACCACCCCAGATCGTCTCGCGGGGTTATCCAAATGTCCCTCCCGAAGGCATCCCGGTCACTCGTTCGAACGGCAGCAAACCCATGTCCCCGCAGTCGAAGGCGTCCACGACAATCTCGCAATTCGACCTGACCAGTAGGGCGCCTTCCAGGACGAAGCCACGCGTCTCGACGTGGAGTCGAGCACCTAGAGAGGACGTACGTCGCCCTCCTCGATATCTGTATCGTGAGTCCTGACTCTGAGGTGACGTTGGGGGAGAAGCGACAGGTAATGTCTCCGAGGGGGCCACGCCCGCGTGAGGACCTCCCTGCTCCTGTACGTCCTCCTTCACGGCAGGACAGCAGGGGCTCTGATCGCTCGGAGCGTTCGGAACGCGAGAGAAGCAAATCCTCTATGAACCCGTTAGAGAAGCTGTTCAAGAAGCGGTACCGAGACAAGTCGTACAAAGAGTCACCGCCTATGCCTCATCCTGTGGTTCCCGACATTATTGTTGAGTCACCTGTGAGTACATGATCAGGTACTTCTGACATACATGCACGCTGATGGTTTCCGTTCTCAGTCCACGCCCTCCACCAATCGTTCGTCTATAAGAACCACAGCTACACACCCAGCATTCCTGAGTCCAGAGCTTGCTCCGCAATCGTTAGCTCCGTTAGCTCCTCAGGATCCCAATATTATCGTCATGCGCACGGAGATACCGGGCTATCATCCATCGATCCCCATCGACCAGCAATACGTTCCTCCACGGCCGGAGTCCGTCTCCCAAGAAGCCGTTATTCCTCCCCCAGGCGACCAGTTCCCGCCCGGATTCGTTCCGATGACCCCGCCGATGCCCACGGATCCCATCCCTGTCCCTTCCAACACCCCCGTCCCCGTCCCGCCGCCAACAAACCCGATTCCGGTGCCTGCAAACACGCCGGTTCCGATCCCCCCACCGAGCAACCCGGTTCTTGTTCCGTACAGAGAGGCAACCCCTGTGCGGGTCGCATACGATGCACCGCTGCCCGTCCCGCAGAACGAGGCCCTGTCTGTTGCGCAGCGCAGTCGCACCGAGAGTCCGCGGCGGGCGCGGTACGACGAGGCGCCTATACCCGCTGGCGTGGTATACCCCGAGCCGCCCTCGCGGCGGTCGGGGACGCCCTCGTCGTCGCTCAGCCCGAAGTCGCGGAGGGGCAGGCCGGACGTGAGGAGCCCGGGGGCGAACTTGTCGCCGCTGCCCATCCATTTCCAGTTCTTCGCGCCGCTGAAGTCGGACACGACGTCGGAGTCGCTACGGCTCTGAGATTCGACCCTTGGGCGGACGCTTCATCGCTTAATGGCAGCTCTGGTCGGATCGCCGGACCGGGCTTATTTTTATCGCTTTCATTGCCGTGTATAGTAGATAGTGTTGTACTAGTAGCCATCATCCCTTGTACCTTCAACACAGCACAGATCTGTCTTGTACATATAGTACAGTAAGAGGTTTGTTCGCCTCTACTAAGTGCCAGGTGTTTCCCACCAAGTCCTCGTGATTTCTAAAGAAGCACAGTCTGACTCTTGGCCCTTTCGCGTTGCACGCCATATGTTCCCGGGTCGCATCATCTCCCCGCAAGGAATGAGTGCCGTCTCGTTCTGGTTCGGAGGACAGAATTGCATGCGCAACGGCCGCATGCTCCTCGTCGCCGCGACAGCGATGAACTCATCGGCACGAGGCCTTGCTTCCTGATTTGGTGCTGCTGTAAGTTGCCACTCATCAGGTGATGCAAGGGACCTCCATGACCGCCATGCTGCACGACAACTGCGTTTCGTTTTCTTTCTTCAGTTGCACTGAGCGACCGCTTGTTCAGGCCTTTTGAGACCTCTACCTGGGGACGTTGCACCGGATACTGCGCTTCAGAATCGCACTCCACTCGCGAACGTTGAGCAGTGCACCCAGCTCTCCGACCGCCCCGAGGAAGTCAGCAGGCACGTTCGTCGACGTCAGCTTCTGATGGTACTCGAACTGAGCAAGATTGCGTACGGCTTCTTCTCGACACTCGCCGCGCAGGTCCTCACGAGGCCTGGAAACATCACAGAGAGAGCAGGTGCGTCGCTCAAATCGATGCGTGGTATGGTCACTGCGTCTTCTTCGATTTCTTGGTGTGTCATGTGGAATTTGAATCACGGCAGTGCATACGATGAATAGTCCCGCGCGGGACGACCATTGCATGCGTGCCCCATGGCTTCCAAGAGGTGATGTTTGGCCAGCCTTGAGCCGTGCCACGGGAAAGGGTAGCCGACAGATCAGAATACGGCATATGTACCTGGGTACTCTGGAGTGTATAAAGCCCAGGTCGGGTGCCCAAGGATAACTCGACGGACGTAAGGTCGCACCAGCCTCTTTGTCATGCTGTCCTTCGAACCTCTGCTTGGTCTCCTGTCCCTGTTGCTGACCCTTGGTGTTCAAGGTGTCGCTGCCATGCGTGTCTCCACATACAACCTGCGCTACGATTCCATGCCTGACAACATCACCGTGGCGCAAACGCTCAGCGCGCTCCCGGATCCCTTGACGCCACCGACATACTACGGTGCGAAGGGGGAACAGCCCTGGAGTACGAGGCGGGTGAAGGTGTATGAGCATCTCAACAGCGCAGGCGTCGTGCTTGCTGGTGAGTCGTTCCCCATGTCGCGCGTGACCGCACTTCTCGATATTAACTGCCATCGTACAGGCTTCCAAGAAGCATTGGTGCGGCAGGTGGATGATCTCGCGACGCTCTTCGGTGATGAATGGAGTTGGGTACGTTCTTGACCAAGAATAACTCTCGGATGATTTGACCTCATAGCGTCCAGGTTGGTGTTGGACGTGACGATGGTGTGGCTGCCGGAGAATTCAGCCCCATCTTCTACAAGAAGTAAGTCGCGCGTTTGTCGGACGAGCACCAAAATATCCTGACGGCCCGCCCACGTTCTTCAGGTCCGACATCGAGCTCATATCCAACGATTCCTTCTGGCTTTCGTAAGTATCTTCCGTGGAAGGGTCACGGAATTAGCATCCTTACACCAAGTGCTATTTGAGGAACACGCCATTCGAGCCCTCTAAGTACCCCAATGCAGGGTCATTCAGGATCTGCACGGCTACCCACCTGCTCCTAAAGACTGGCCCCTCCGGCCCGGTCCGCTTCACGTACCTGAACACCCATCTGGACGACCAATCCGACGACGAGCGCCGCCTCGCCGCCTCTCTCCTGCTCGTACGCGCACGCTACGAGGCGTACACGACTAAGGGTCCGGTGATCATCACCGGGGACTTCAACAGCCCGTCGACGGGCACGGACTCGGGGGCGTATCAGATTATCACTGGGCAAATCCCTCCTGAGCCAGTAAACGCGACCTTTGCTGCCAAGTACGCCGTCCCGAACGGGACACTCTCAGACTTCACGATGCTTGACTTGAAGGCGGAGGTTCCGCGCGAATACGTGTCTGGGGAGTTCGCGACCTACACTGGTTTCGGCGCCCCTGGCGACGCAACGGACTTCACGCGCATCGACTTCGTGTATGGTGGGAGTAATGGGAAGTGGTAAGTCCTTCTGAGTCATCCTTTGTGATGTTTATATTAGCTAACGCGATCGCAGGACCGCGACTGGATATCACGTCGGAACGTCCCTGACGGACGATGGAGTCCTTGCAAGTGACCATCGTCCTGTCTTCGCTGATATCACGTTACACTAGACGAACGACCCCGACGGCATGCAGGAAATCATTCACTGGATTGCACAACCATCTTGCTAGCGGGCCTGTTGTATCGTATCGACATCATGTAGGACATACGGAGAATGTATATTCTCGCACTTCTGAATATTCGTACAATCTATGGAACCCAGTGGCTTGATAGGCTGCTGAAAGTCTTGCATTTCAGTATTCTCGGGACCTCCATCCGAATAAGTTCGGTCGGTGTTGCTCATGCGCGTACGTGCCATGACCGTCGACTGACCTCAAGAAAATTGTACGACTGAAATGCTGCAGCTACATGTACGAAGCTTTGCATCTCTCGCTCTGTGGTCAAACGCTCGCAAACGGGCATCGAGCCTGCCGTAACTCTTCAGAAGGGTATTCAACTCGAAGTCGCACGCAGGCACTTAGCGCTGTCACTGAATCGTATCTGATCAGCGTGCAGCCCATGCTGCAACGATCCCGAATCATCACGCCTCCAGCTGCCCGACCGGGGCCTTGCGGCTCCGCTGATGCAGCGATTGACCACAGGGAACCCGATCCACGCGCTAGCCTTGTGTCAGTAGATAGCTGACGACTATTGAGGGTTACATTGTGCATAATCTGTATTGTTATCGAATGCAATACCTGAATAACAAACAAGTGTAAGCTTTGTTATAAACGAAGTTGATCGATGCATTCCAGGTCCGGGCAGCCGACTCGCCTCGCTATATGAAGCGTCCTCTCCTTCTGCTCATGCATCCAGCACCCCACTGAGCTTACATTGCTCCTCAATATGCTGTTCTATCTGCTTTTCAGAATAATCAGGTGTGTTTCTGAGCGAGCATGGATTCCGCTCAGGGGCTGAAAGGGCCCCAGCGCGACCGCAGCCTTCCTCTATCCTGGTTATGCGTCGTACAAGACATTGTCGCAACGACCTGCAAACGAAGCCGACCTCGAACGATGGTTGATGTACTGGAGTGTACTGGGGTGCATCGTCGCGGTGGAGTCTGTCGCTGAGTGGCTCGTCTCATGGTGCGCGACTACCTCGTGTACTCGCCGCTGCTTACTCATTTGCCCGTACTTTTAGGTTGCCGTTCTACTACTTCTTCAAGACCATATTTTTGCTCTACCTTGCCCTACCTCAGACCTCCGGGTCCGCATGGCTCTACCAGACTCAACTCCGCCCCTTCTTCTCGGCGCACGAGAACCAAATCGACACCGCGCTCGCGCAGGCTAAGGTGTACCTCTATACCTCTATCCAACGCCTCCTCCGCCGCGGCTGGGAGCAAGTCTCGGGCGCGGTCTCTCAAGGTCCAAATCAACCCGCAGGTTCTTCCTTGCTGGAAGAAGATGCCGCATCGCACACCGGCGCACCCCCCAGCACCCACGACCCCGTCTCCGGGCCCGCACAGCTTGTCGCCGGACTCTGGAGCACCTACGGCCCCAGCCTCCTCGCGTCCGGTGCCGCGCTCATCACTCAGGCCCAAGCATCCGCAGCTCAGGCTGCAGCAAACGCGAACGCCAGTGCTCAAGCTAGCCGGAGCTACCGGAGCCGCGGCAGTGCTGAGGACCGCCGTAGGCAGCTCGAGGCGGAGCTCGCGTCGCTCGGGGAGGAGCCTGCGGGCTACGACGTCTCCTCGGCGACGTCAAGTCCGGCGTTCGTGGCCGTGCAGATGCCTGCTCCGGATAACGGCTCGGGCAGCAAGTCTGCGTTCGAAGAGGTCGATGTCCCGAGCGACGTGGAGCCGGAGGGGGGACACCCCGTCTCGCCACGCCCGGACCAGAAGAGGACGAGTTGGTTCGGCTGGGGTGGCGCGAGCGCAGGGTCGGGATACGAGCGAGTGAAGGACGAGTGAATGGTTTCGAAGCGCGGGCGGCTTCAAACGACTTCAATTCGATGACTTTCGTCAGGACGGCATGTATGGCAGCCACATTGCAATACGTAACGTTCTTACCTCTCTTTCCTGGTCATCTAACGGATGTATATTATCGGACCTCGTCATAGAGCGCGATTTGCACTTTCTCGAATGCACAGGATCCGCATTCTACCTGCCTTCAGTACCCTCTTGCGAGAGCTCGTGTGACCTATCAGCGGCTTTTATGTTGCGACACGCGGTGTCTTCGGTCAACTGTCGATGTCCAGATCGCTCGTCACCTCGTGAGCATTACATCGGCACTACCCCCGAAAGCCCGCTTTGCTCGTTGTCGTCCTTATACTACCACTGTCAACCATCGTACAACCCCTTCTCCGCCTGACGCATCGACCATGGGTTCGACGGTCTGGTTCTTATCCTACTCTATCCCACCCGGTGAGTAACGGAGCGCTAGCTACTCCGTACGTGTCTCGCTGGTTTCATTTCTCTGGCACTCCTCTGCCAGCGCTCAACGACTTCCAAAACGGCAACTGTGTCTCAGAGGGATTGAAAGCCATGGAAATTGTAGTGGGAGACAGAGCGGTAACACATGAGCGGCGAAGACCTTTACCACGACCCTCGGGTTAGACTTTGCGTCGCATTTGACTTATTTCGTGCGTGCCGACGTGGCCAGCGATGCCGGATAGGTTGTTCGGGAAAGACTGAAGGGAAGACCCTAAGCGCGAGTGGACCTATACGAAGGAATCCTGGTGGCAGACTGGAGAGAGGTGGGGACTCATGAACTCGACCAGTCAGGATGTCCTCGGAACTTCCCCACAGCTTAAGTTCTATTTTGTCGATGTTCTATATGTCGATTAGTTACAACCGCCAATACGACATCCGGCTGCCTGTGCGTGTGTCCACGTTATTTTCACAGAAAGGGGTATCTCGTAGAGTATAGAGACATCATACCACGGCTGGATCCTGACGCAATCACATCAGCACAATTCTAACTTCATACCGCACACAGGCACTGGAACGTATCCATTCATTTATGCCCGTGGCACTCCTATTATGGACATTATACGTTCCACTGTCCACACGAGGCCCCACTGGCCGCTACCACAACGCCAGTCAGTCTGATGTCCAACAAACACTGCTTGAGGATTGTACACACCAACATTAGTTCGCTTCCAAAGGAAGCTGCGCGACCGCGAAGCCGCTCAACATGTTTTTATCGCCCGGCGTGTCCAGCCCACAAACCACCACGACGTACGCGGTCCCCTGAAGGTCTAGCGGGACCGTCGTCTGCCCATCCTCCTGCAGCACAGAATGCTCCACCTGCAGGCCATCGAACCACGCGGTGTATCGCGCCAGCCCGCAACTCTCGTTGGAATCGTTGTATGAGACGGTGACGCTGGAGCCAGGGGTGGGCGAGGCGTCGGACAGCGTGAGCGGGGGGAAGGCTTGAACCTGGAGAGGGGGGTTGGACGATGGGCAGTTCGAAATGAACGTCGCTGTGGCAGATGTATGCGCATACAAGCATATGCGTGAGTATATGATCCACCGTCGACGAGTTGGAAGTGGCTCTCACAGGTCAAAGAATACGCGGCATCAATGGAGAGGGGCGTATCGAAGGCCTCGTTCCAGGGCGCGCGGCCTAGCACGGCGGAGTTAACCCAGGACGCTTGGCGCGCCTCGACACCCAAGATCGCCTGGAAGCGAGGGAGTGATGTCAGCGGCACGCGCGCGGATATGGTTATGTGCAAGGACAGGACATACAGCACCATAAGTCAAGACTTCCTTGTCCGAGAGGAGGCCGCTGGCCCCTATGTACGCCGAGGTACCGACCGACTCGAAGATCCCTGACAGCGCAGCAAACGAAATTGGGCTGTCATACGGACTATGGATTCAAACGAATCCTCGGGTCAGACGTCAGATATCGAACGGCACTGCGGAGACTCACAAGTCGTACTCGCATCGCGCCACCGCGTCGACGCCGAGAACGACCTCCAAGATCTTCTCGTGCTCTCTCTCGTGTTCCAAGATTTGTTCATAACGTCCGTGGATTTTACGCGAGAGTCCTGCGGCTTCGAAATCGTCGTCGCTGTACTTCGTTAGGGCCCCGGTATAGAACGCATTTTCGAGGTGCTCTAACGTCAACGCAAACTGAAGCAGGCTGATGTCGGATTCTGGGAGCAGTGAGTAACAGAGTCGGATGAGATGCACGGGGACACTCACGGGACAAGGTCGGTGCACCAACTGCGCTGGCGATAAAGGCAGCAGCGGACACTGCGCCGAAAAACAATCTGAGGCGGGGCGTGGCGACCATTGGTACACTGAATTTTGATAGTGTTGCTGGCAGGCGGCTCTAACGAGTGCCACAACCCCCAGCCCTTTTATGAGCATCTGCTACCATAGTGCGAGTGCAACCTACTTGCCAAAGCAGGACAGCGGTGTCAACCCGGAGTTTCGATGGCGGCCTCAGCGGGAGCACATCGGTGGCACAGGAAGTGACCAACGTCATACGGTCTCAGTCCATGTAAGTATTAAGAAGAACATAGAACGGAACCGTGCTGAGAAGTGGCAGGAGGTGCTCCAATATGGTTGCTCTCTGAGTTGTCATAAACAAGCGCTCCGCGTATGCATCGAGGAGAGATGCCTATGCGCGTCTGGTACGATGTCTAGTCCAGATATGTCGAAGTCGGAAACCCTAGAGGCGAGTTGCTTGCACACGAGGGGATAGAGACGGTGGACGTAGTGGATAAAGAGACAGAATGCACATCGAGCGAGTCCGAGCGTCGGCGCCTAAAGCGCATAACATCATCTTCTAACATGATGTAACTGCTCTCCGGACATCTTCGCACGCACGCTGGTCTTGCTCTGCTATAGGATTTCTGTATGCAGACCGTGAGGCAGAATTCTGGTGCAAGTGATGACAAGAGGTGATCCGGCGCGTAGTTGATGTACGCGATCAACGACTCAACACTTTCGAGATGACGGTTGGCGGACTCTTGCTTTACAAGAGGAAAGACAGTGCCGGGCTTGATGATTATCCACACACAGCGACGATCTGTTCAACGGATACCATTGCAAAGTAAGTCCGTATGTGGGCGCTGTAAAGACCGTCAAATATTGTGAACTGGTCATAGTCATGTACCCGAAGCGACGATCTCTTGAAAACCCGACACCCAAGCTGGAAGCCATCCCTGCAAGCCCTTCGACGATGCACATTCTCGACTCCCTCCGCCCCGGCAGCCTAGTTCGAAGAAGGCCCAGGATTTGACGCATACGAGCTAAAGACGAAGTCGACGTACGTGAATGCGCTGAGGAGATCGTTGTCCAAATCGGTGGCAGTAGTGTTAGACACGAGCGCAACATAGGACAGTCCCTGCAGACCCGCGGGGACAGCTGCCACCATGTCGTGGCGGACGTCCGTGTAGAAGACAGAAGGCCCCGACAGCCAAGCGAGGTACTTGGGTTCAGTGTAATTGAGCCCGGAGACCTGCACCTTCACGAAGCTCCCGGGATCAGGCATGGTGGTATTGAACGATAGCCGAGGCAGTCCGTGGCGGACTGGGAGATCGGGGTAGTCGTCAGGGCAGCTGACGATGGAGGGCTCTGTATATGCGCATCTCGTCGTGAGTACGAAGATTACATTCACTCGGAAGGGTGTGAGATGGCAGCTGACCTGCGAGAGAGTAGGCTCCGACCAGGCTGAGAGGGGTCTCGAACGGCCCGCTCCAAGGTTCTCTCTTGAGGACAGCCGAGTTAATCCAGGCCGCTTGCCGAGATTCCACCGCACCGGCAGCCTGCACGATCAGTGACGATTGAGGTCGGCGCGGCGACTGCAAGAGACATTCAAAAGCACGTACCCCCGCGGCAATTATGTTGTCCACGTCCTGATACAACATCTGCGAATACAGTGCTCTCGAAGCCGAGCTGGCGGAGAATACTCCCGACGCTTGCACGAAGACCGACACATTAGCCAATCCAGAGCCGCTATGTCGCATATACAACTGTGTCATTGCTCTGCAACCGAAGCGGGAACTGTCACGAACAACTCACAAGTTGTACGTGCATGGCGAGAAGCTGTCATTGCCTAGGGCGGATAGCGTCGTCGTCGTATGTGTCAGCTCATGCATTGCGATTTGCTCGAACCTCCCGCGGACCCAGGGCTCAAATCCAGCGTTGCTGAAAGCCTGATCGTCGAAATGCAGAAGTCCCTGCTGGTAGAATGCGGTTTCGACGTAGTGCAGACTGAGGGCGACTTGGAGGTACTGCGTGTCTGTGTCCGATGGAAATTGTTCGTTAAACCCTGCGATGTAAGTTGTAGCGAAGAATGCTGACCGTTAGACGTGTTGTTCCCGAACGCAACGGCTGCCACGGTGGAAGTAGCCGCGAGAGAAAAGACGACGAGTTGCAGTCTCTTGAACATGACTGGCTTCTGCTAGATACGATGCTTGGGTAGGATGTTGAGGAGAGGAATCACGTTCGGGGAGGGGGGCAAACGCAGGGGTGCGATGCATGACAATTGACATTTTATATTCTCAGGTGGCCGACCAACGCGAACCGGTGCTAAGCAAACCCTGCTCAGTACGGTAAGTGGTTAACCACGTTTAGACTTACGGTCCATGTTCTCGTTCGTCGTCACAACAGTTCCGATGACACCCTAATCATGACGTACACCGGGTGGATTATGAGCAGTCAAAAGAACCAAGTCAGACGCTTTCACTAACCAGATCAGCAGTTGTATACTGATACTAGTCACGGGTGCTGTGAGAAAGACGCAGTACTCGGCAATAGTACTGGATTATATCACGAAAGAACAACAAAGATACGGGCACACACGAGACAGCAAGAGACATCTCCCTGAGTGGAACAGAAAGAGGACATACTGTTACAATCTGAAAACCCTAGAGGCGGGTTGCTTGCACACGAGGGGGTAGAGATGGTGAACGTAGTGGATAAAGAGACATAATACTTAATGTACATCGAGCGAATCCGAACGTCGGCGCCCAAAGCGCATGACATCATATTCTAACTCACAGACGAAATCTATCAAGAACTTGAAGGCGAGAACCCAATTTAGATAAGACACGAGAAGACACTCACCGGAACGAAAGAGCGAATCAACTGCATCGCTGGCGAGGAGAGGATGGACACTATACCACGGAGCAACCTGGAGTCGCGCTTGAGCAAGTTCTGGTGACATACGCAATGCTATAATTGTTGCGAGGTGATATCTGCAACTCGCCGCATTCCATTCAGTGGCACGCTCGGATAGCGATCATTCAATAAAGAGGTGTAAACCGACTCCGTCCTGTCGAGCAGACGAATGCAATCCACATTCACAAAAGTGATGGCATCAGCGGGTACCTCGTTGGGTGGTACCGATGCGAAACGTAGTGAGACAGGCCGGTTTGTTTTTGTCTCCGCGATAGAAAAGGATTGCATCAAGAAGAAATAGATCATGATGGGAGTCTGGGAGACCCAGAAAATCCTCCTGTGGCCAGTCACCGAACGGGTCGGTGGACTCGGCAAACCCCGTGGGACGCTTTCCACTGCACTAAACGCCCACTTCCGACCAATTTTCTTCGTGCGGTTAATTTCCGATGCATGTGTTTATGTAACCCCAAGAGTATCAAGCAGGACGTGGGCATAACATCCGGCGAGGATTCGCATGGCGACTCTCGCGCTTCTGCCGATCCAATATGGACCTGATGACATTAGAGACAACAAGCCCGAGGAGAAGGGATGATACATCATTACATACAAGAGTCCCAATAAGAACTTGGGCACTGGTCATCTGCGTACATGCAAACATACAACATCTCGGGCAAGGTGCTGTGTGCACGAGTGGAAGCCCGGTATCTATATTCTCAGCTACCGAGTGGACACCCCGAACGATGGACTTCATCGGCTGTAACCCTGAGGGTACTCGTATTGTTAAGATCCCTGTTGCCCGTAGCTCTGATAGTAGTAGGGCTGGTTCTGCTGCTGCGACGGCGGTGGAGGCGGAGGGGCCGGAGACGAGCCGTACTGCAACTGGTAATTGATTGGCGGAGGGGGGGGAGGCAATGCGGACCCGCCTGGAGGTGGCGGCGGAGGGGTCTGGTACGTCCCGTACTGCCGTTGTGACGGTGGCGGTGGAGGGTACGACTGCTGTCGCTGCGGCTGACCATACGGCGACTGTGGCTGCTGTCCATAGGACGGGTAGGGTTGCTGTTGAGGTGGCGGGGGAGGGCGTGAAGGAGGTGGCGAAGGGGCACTCGTGTTCCCAAAAATGCCGAGGGAGGCGTAGGGGTCGTTGGGCGGGACGGATGGTGCGTAGGAAGGCTGGGAGGAAGGCTGAGTCGGGGGCGACGTAAGGTACGGCGCCGAAGGTTGGGTGTTCGCCGGTGGCGGGGGGAATGTCCGAGAAGGCGCTGTTTGTGACGGCGGTAGAGGAGCATAGTGCTGGGAGGGTGGAGGCGAAGCCCATTGACGCTGAGGAGGCGGTGAGACGGAACCGGCGGCACCATGGAGATTCATGGACGCCAGCGATGATTCCAGCCCCGTGGAGGGTTTAGGAGGAGGCGGAGGGACCGGTGGCTTGTTCCCATAAGACGGCGGCGAAGAAGCCTTGGGTATTGTTAGCCTCTTTTCCGTTTCCGCCTGAGCCGCTAGGGCTTCGCGCTCAACGTTGCGCTCTGAGATGAAGGAGTTGGCGTTTCGCTTGAGCACGGCGGTGAGCTCAGTGAGCTCAGTGTAGAACTGGAGGCCCTTGGCTAAACCGTCCCGGACCTCCATGTACACATCACGAGCACGGGAGAATCGACGAACGGTGTCCTTCTTGCGCTTTTCGCGTTCCTCCCACTTCTTCGCGCCCGGGCCGCGACCAGCCAGGTCTCGTAGACCACGCCAAAGCACAGTAAGCTCCTGTAAAATGACCTGCTCATGGTGGACAGTGGCACTGAGACGCTGCTGGTAGGGACGGAACTTTTCTAGTTCTCCGGCGAAGAGTGTGCTCTCGACGCCAGTGTTGCGCTTGTTGAGCAAGAGCAAGTGGGAAACATCGTCTTGTTGAACCTGCAATAGGTCAATTCGAATGTACTACACTCACGTAATGTAATAACGGCGTACCTTGTCCTTGAGATCCTTCAGGACTTGTCCGCGCTCGTGCTGTATCTTGTTCAGCCGTCCCAGCCGCTCCTCAATCTCATCGACGAATTGTCCGATCTTGAGGCGCTCCTCCTCGTCCTTGGCCTCGCTCCCTACGTCCAAATCCAACAGATTCTCGAACCCAGCACCACCCCTCTCAGTACTCGCCCTGAAGACGTCCTCGATTTCTGGAGACAACAGCAGTGCAATCTCGCCCTTGACAGACTCCCAAAGCTTGACGACCTGCTGATCCGACTGCGCAGCCGCGTCCAGTGCCGAGAGATGCGCCTTGAGGTCCTGGCGGAGAGACTTAGTGAGGGCTGCGGAGGGCGCCTGGGTCCACAAGTGGTCGTACTTGACACGCATCGCTTCGCATTCCCTACTCTCCTTGTCCAAATCGCGGCTGACGCCATCAAGCTCCCTGCGAACGACGTCCTTCATGCGCGTGAGCTCCGCGATGATCCCTTCGACGCCTTCACGCTCCTCCATGACGGCGATGTCCTCCTTCCACCGGCGTACCTCTACAGGGAGTTCGGCTTCGCCCCCAACGCCGCCCTCTGCAATGGCCTTGTAGCGGACGAGGCCCTCCTTGATCCCGAGAGCGTCAAGAGCGCTCTTCACTTCCACCTCCGCGTTGTCAGCCTTCTCCACCTCCCCACGGACGAGCTTCGCCTTCTCCTCAGAATATACACTCGCGCTCTCGTGCACGCTAAGCGGGATGAGGCGAATGAACAAATCAACGCCGATGACCTTCTGCACGTCGGGCGACGCATAGACTTCTTGGATGGTGATGGGCGTCGCGACAGCGGCCTTCTCTATCTGTGGCAGCGTCTCCGGGGTGGGGAGGACTGCGTTGTAGATCAGGTCGTTCTCGCGCTGCGCTTCGTTCTTCTTATCTGTAATGAGCGCAAGGTGGGCCTTGGTGAGCTCCTGCAGCGCGGGTCCAGCGTCCGGTGGGAGGTTTGGAGACATCTGGGTGACGAAGAGCGAGGCGAAGGAGGACGCTGTCCGGTGGGCTTCCTTAGCGGCAGTTTCTGCGACGGTGAAGCGAACCAGAGCATCGCCGTGCTTTCCCGCTGTGCTGTCTGCGAGCCCACGGTAGTATTGTGCCACTGATGTGAAGTACTTTGCCTTCGCCTATATACAAGTGAGCGCCGGATTCCTGGAGTCGCGGCGGAAGGATCGCACCTGGATAACAGTGACCCAATTCCTGTCAAAGATGCCCTTTCCCATGAACTCCTTCACCTCCTCGCTCAGAGCCGTGTACATGAATGCCGTCTGGCTTGCGATCTTCGCCACCAGTGCATTACTCTTCTTCTCGTCCGTGCACTTCTCGAAGAACACCTCCGTCGCCTGCGCCAAGATGATCCCCACCAAGAACTTGATCACTTCCCGGCTGAGGTCAAGCGAGGGCGCGTGCAGGAAGTTGTCGTTGATGTACGTGAGCATACCGGCCGTCGTTCTGAAGTAATAGAATGCGCGTTTAAGCCCCTCCGGATCCGAACGATTCTGGGAGGCCGCGATGGCGGAGTGCGTCGCCGCGATCTGAAAGATGATGGAGGCCTTCTCATACGCGATGGACGTCTGGGTCGTGAGCTTATTCGTGAAGGCGTCGCGCCATGGGAAGTTGACTCGGATTTCGGAGAAGCGCAGCTCGAGGAGCTCAAGCTGTCCGAAGTACTTGTGGAGGAGGTCCTTGGCTGTATGAGCAGGTGAGACCTCCGTGCCGCACATCCCCAACGATGCTTTGAGGGCGTACCGGTCATGTCACTCCCTGCACCCTTCACCGCATCCTGCCTGCATCTCTGCAGGTTCGCGCACTCCGTGGCGTAATTGTCTGGATCCTCGCCGTACGAGTGCGCTATCGCATTCCGGATCGGTCCTGTCCAATCCACCTCCTCCGTCGTCTTCTTCGGGATGGATATCATCGGCGAGTTGTGGGCCGATATGATAGACATGGTGGGAGTCTAGCCGTGTCCAAGGTCGTAGTCACAGACAAGGTGCAAGCCACAGCCCTTCCACCCTAGAATAGCCGCGGACTTGGGCTTAGGTGAGAGGACTAGGAATTAAGTGTCGGGCCACCTCTGAACTAGACAGCACAGTCACTGAGTTGAATCAAGCCTGGCACGACGAAGTTGGTGGTAGTGTTCGAGACGAATACGCGCTCCGAATGTCGCGCATCGCAGTGCCTGGTGCCGCTCACGTCACCGGCACCGTGCGACAACAGTGGACTATCTCAGCACGCTTGTGTCTCAGATCTCAACATCTAGCGAGCAAAAAATTGCAGGATAACTTTACCACCATGCAGTGCGGCATAGACGTTAGATACTAGTATTGTAAATGGATGTATGGAGATGACATGAGCGATCCTGCATCCCAGTACTCTACGACTACCGCGCCTGCCGACATCCGCACGCTCAGAGCGCACTGGCACCTGAAACAAGCAAATTAATAGACAGGAGCAAGAAATGTGCCAATGAGACTTACCAGTGATGATGTCGACCAGCTCGTTCGTGATAGCGGCCTGGCGACCACGGTTGTACTGCATGGTCAGGCGGTTGATCATATCCGACGCGTTCTTGGACGCGTTATCCATGGCATTACGACTGTACCTATGTCAGTATACATTCATGTTGAGTAGTCAGGCTAGAACCATACCGAGCGCTCTGCTCGCAAGCGTGTGCCTCGACAAGGGTTGCGTAGATGGCGTTCGCAAGAGTGAACTCAGCAAGATCCTTCGTCACGTCATCCTCCATCTCGTATGCCTTGAAGCCGGCTAGAGTGCATTTAGTGAACAGTGACCGCATGATTCCAAAGTGACTTACGCGACTCCTTGAGGAGGTTCTCGGGGTCGATCTCGACCACAGCAGACTCGTACGAGATAGCAGAGACAAACTTGTTATAGACGATGGCAATCTTGTCGTACTTTACGTCCGAGGTGAGGATGAGGTCTGCGACACCTGCCGCGTCGGCGAACGTCGGAATGTCACGGCCGATCTGATTGAAGGTCAAGACAAGGTTCTTGGGCAGCGCACGAGAGAGCTGGGCCTTGGACTTGTCACCAATGACCATGATGGGCGACTCCTCATCGACCTTGTCCTTCTCCGCGAATGCGCGACGGGTAGCCTTGGACACGGAGGAGTGGATACCACCGCAGAGACCCTTATCAGACGAGATGACGATGAATAGCTTGCGCTTGCCAGCCTCCTCAGCACCAGTGTGCGCGAAGATCTCTAAGACGAGCGTAGGTCTATTTGCGCCGTGTTTGTGGCGAGAGCGTGAATTGACACACCTGTGTTGGCAATCCCATACTGCTTGCCCGCCTGCATAGCACGCTGCGCCTTCGCGAGTTTTGTCGACGCAATCATTTTCATGGACTAGAGATGCCAACAATGTTGTAGAGGGCGCCTTGGTGCATCTCGAGGCGGAAACACACCTTCGTAATCTTCTCAATGTTCCTCACGGACTTGAGACGAAGCTCGATCTCACGAAGGGTGGCCATGTTGCGGGCCTGGGAGGGCGCCGCGCCCAGCGCCGGGGGCTGGGACGCAATACGACCGAGCGTACGCCGAGCAAGCATGTTGGAGAAGGAAGGGATGAAGGAATGGTGGTCGTCGTTGTCCGCGCTGTCGACGTCGACTTCGGAAAATGGCGGGTGCACGTTTCAGACGGAGTGTCAATATTGAGGAGCTCAAGTGAGGTAAATTGACGCGGAGCGTAAACTAAGAGCTACACAGAGTCATCGCACTCATCAAGATCTACTACGAGCTCGCCATTCCCTACGTCTTCTGCAATCTCGAACTATAGCTTGTGATCCACCTACGATGTCTGAAGAGCCCTTGTTTGATCCTTCGCTGAAGAAGCGCAAGAAGAAAACCGTTGCGTTCTCTGAGGACCCTCTCGGTGCTGATGCCGACCCCACTACTCCTGCCCCCGTCGAGATTGAGAACGTCACCGCGAACGGGGATGCCGTCGATATGGGGCCGACCACTATGCACGAGCAGATGAAGCAGAATGGAATCACTGGCGAGGGATTGGATGATGGGGAGAAGAAGGAGGACGATGACTTCAAGGCCATGTTTGGAGACCTGAAGAAGAAGAAAAAGAAGAAGGATATCCCTCTTGATCTTGTAAGCAGAGTGTTCACGCGTGTTTCCATTGAGGTATTGATGCTTCCGTCGCTTGCAGGAGGCTGAGGGCTCGGGCACAGCCAGTCCAGTCGGTGTAGCTGCCTCGGAGGATCTCGATTTCTCAGATCTCAAGAAAAAGAAGAAGAAATCGTCCAAGAAGGCTGCGCTCGATTTGGAAGCGTTTGAGAAGGAACTGAACGAGTCCAAGACGAAGGATGCGGACGAGGATGAGGGTGGAGAGGAGACCCAGTTACCGGAGCTCGACGAGGCCGAGCTCGGAGATGATCCATTTGCCCGTGGCGGCGAAGGCGTGAGCCTTGACTCCGGCAACGAACCATGGCTAAAGAGCGATCGTGACTACACCTATGAGGAGGTATATATGCTGGTCTCCTTCCACCCGGCCATAGCATGCATCAGCTCATCTGTCTCTGTTTGTCCTTAGCTGCTTCACCGGTTCTACGGCCAGCTTCATGCCTCCAACCCGGCCCTCCTCACATCCGCCGGAAAACGATACACCATTGCGCCTCCGCAAATCATGCGTGAAGGCAACAAGAAGACCATCTTCGCCAACGTTTCCGATATCTGCAAGCGTATGCACAGGCAGCCCGAGCACGTCATCCAATACATGTTCGCCGAAATGGGTACCACTGGCTCCGTCGACGGCTCAGGCCGGCTCGTCATCAAGGGTCGCTTCCAGCAGAAACAAATCGAGCACGTTCTTCGTCGTTACATCGGTACGTCCACTCAGGGACAATTATCCCTCTTGACCTGCGTTTTAACCACTTTCATTACTCTTGTACAGTCGAGTACGTCACTTGTAAGACGTGCAAGTCGCCCGATACGCTCCTTTCGAAAGAGAACCGTATATTCTTCATGTCATGCGAATCATGCGGATCGAGGCGGTCCGTCAACACAATCAAGACCGGTTTCCAGGCACAGGTCGGGAGGAGAAGCAAAAACAAGACCGGTTAAGGGACCGTTTGGTGTTGTGTTGTATACACTCCATGCATACTTCCGAATATCACATTGTATCATTACACACGCTGTGTACACCAGAGTATGTATCGCATGGACTCCCATCTGCTTGTATGTCAGCTGTTGGAGGTTTACTGAGCGAGCTAGAGATGTGGTCTACATTGCGACGACGTCTGCGGCGAGAGACAAACAATTCGTCTTCGCAGCATCGCCTAATTCCTCAACATCCAAATCAAATTAGGACATTACAACTGTTTCATTTACAATACATAGCGTCCTGCACGACTGTTCACGCACACAGCTGGATTTCGAAATCATCGCCTGAACCAGGGTTGGGCGGAACATCGAGCCTATAGGCCGAGGTCGGCATCGTATCAACCAAATATCAGCAATTCAACTCAGTGGTCCGACTGTGTGTGTGAACACTCATGCAGGGGCTTGCTGTCATGGAAAACAGCTGTATGAACTAACACAAGTTAAACCAGCGAAGCGTATTACAGTTAGGAGGGCACGATCATAACTAATTATAGTAAGGGAAGATGGATATTTCGTCAGCTCCCAAATCGTATCAAGAAATCTTCTGATAAGTAATCGTTTCTAGGACTTTGGTCCAGGCTCTCGCTTCCAGAGCGACAGTTGCGGGCTCCAAACTCAAACAAAGCCACTCCCGATGGCACACTCAGTAATCGAGCGTAGAGTTCCGCGTGTCCTTGGTAACGTTGAACCACGTTGGGCCGTCGGGGAAAGTGAGCGGGGTGACCGTGACCCCAACGCCGTCCGCAATGGCTTTGCCGAGGGTCTCGTTGGCATGGTAGAAGAGCGAGGCCATGCGTTGACGGACGCTCTCGGTGGGAGCGGCACCAAGATGCCCTACGACGTTGCTGCGCAAGTGAAGAAAGGGAGAGCATGCTCATGTGAGATGGGAAAATCCGAGGGAGCGATAGCTTCGAGATGCGGACGTACTCTATGAGATTCTGCTGATCTTGGGCAGAGAGGCTGTTCCAGAAGCGGCGCGGCCAATCGAAGTCAATTTCGGTCACCGCAGAAAGGCTTGCAACTGCTCCACCCTGCGCATACAGCGTGGCATCAGACCGGATTTCACACCATGCCGTATCGTGCAAAGAAGACTTACGGTCCATTGCTGGTGCGTCTCATCAACGTAGGGCCGAGGAGGCAGATTAATTTTTTGCAGGGTCGAAAGGTAATTGGGGCGCGAACCCTGGTTGCCATTGACATTCATGGCACCATCGCGCTCAAAGTTGGCGACGGGATTAATGGGAGCGTTGACCGGGATTTGCTATGGTAGTAAAATGCGGTAAGCAGACGTGATTACAGCACGAAAGAGCGGTCGACGGATGAACCTACCATGTGGTTGACACCCAGGCGGTAACGGTGGGTATCTGACACAAGAAGGACGTTGAGCGGCTACGGCCCATGTGGCATGATAGCAAACGTACCAGGGTAAGAGAAGAGCCGCGCCTGGAGGACGGGGTCGGCGGAGGGTGCCCAGCCATCCACTGCGTGAGAAGGCGTGAAGGCGGCCTGCTCAATCTCCGCGAAGTAACTTTGGCGAGATTTCAGCATCGGAAGCAAGCCAGAAACGATCATAACCTTACTTGTCAGGGTTCTGCGTGAGGTAGAACTTTCCGATCTCAGTCTTGGGGACATCATCAAAGCCCCAGTCCCTAAGCAACATCGGTTTGACACCTCGCGGAAATGGCAAGTTATTTTCACGCACTTGGTGAGATCGAGAACGTTGTACTTGAAGGTCTCGGCCTCCTGAGGAGTGAGCACCTGGGCGTACATGGTCCAACCAGGGTATGTGCCGTTCTGGATGGACTCGTAAAGGTCCTGGGTCGCGAAATCGGGGTTCAAGCCTGCAGGCACGTTGTCAGTTGATTTTCCACACGTAGTGGGTTCATGGGAGCTCACCCGCAATTGCAGTCGCATCCGCGTTCGTAAAGTTCCTCACGCCTTGCATAGATTCGGCGTACAACTTGACATATACCCATGAACCGTCCTGCTTCACCCATCTGAGACCGGAAGTTTAGCAGGCTGGCCGTGATGGTACGGCGTGGGATGACTAGCTAGGGACGCACCGATAGGTATGGCCAGTCCAAGCATGCATATGACGGAAGCCATAAGGCGTTCCGAGGTCAGAGAAGAGACGCATGACCTGGTAAAGCGACTCGGGATTGGAGCCAAGGTAGTCCCAAAACATGCTGTTTCGGATAACGTAAATCGAGGAGGAAGGTAAAATCAATTACTGCAGAATGCAAACATACTCCTTGTCACGCAAATGGCTCGCCGGGTGGCGCTTCTGAGTCTACGGAAACAGGCCCATCAGATAAATATAGAAGGATATCAGAAGCCATGCGACTGACGTGGATGAAGTGCGGGAACTTAGCCGGATCCCGAATGAAGAAGACGGGCGTATCTTTTCACTGATCAGCGTCGCCTATGGCGGCATAGGGTCCAAGAGTCGCTCACTGTTCATCACAAGGTCGAGAATACCCTTCCTGGTCCTAAACCTGCGCACATGGTTGTGAAGTGTTGAGGGCGAGCCGCCAGATTGCAAGCGCAGGGCTTACTTGATAGCGAAGCCGCGGGGGTCGCGGGCTTCGTCCGCAGAACCTGACTCACCGCCCACAGTACTGAATCGGACTGCGAAATGGAAGCATCAGTCGGCGGTATCAAAGCCGTAGGAGTGCGGGAAAAGACGCACTTGTGATTGGCGTCCTAAGACCATCTTCACTGAGTAGGTCCCTGCGAAGGTTGTTCATCAGCATCCCGAATGTCAAGAATACGACGGCAGCTGTACATCATAGTGTAGTTCTTGGCAAACTCGGCATTCGTGGCTTCAAAATAGCCGTGGGCACCGGCTGCCAGTGCAACCCGCGGTCAATGACTACAGCGATAGAGGCAAATGAACAGCCTTGTACGGACCACCACGAGCATGAACGACGCGCTCAGGGATGCGCTCACGATCGAACGACCCAAAGAGCTCGAGCAGATGGGTGTCCTGCAGCAAAAGCGGACCTAAACCATGATCACATCAGGATCTTCGCTTCGCTCAGCAATGTATCACCCACCGTCGGATCCAATCCGCACATACTGGTATGGATGGGGGTAAGGTGAACCGTTGTCCAAAGTGTAATCGACTTCGGTGGCATCTTCGCCGGAGGTCTTCTCCTGGACGTTGAAGCCGGTGTTCACATCGAAGTTGAACGATTCGGCCTGGCTCGGCGGAGCAGTGTCACGAGCAAGACCGGGGGCATCTTGTCCCGGGTACCAGCCGTTCACGGCGGTGGTCACCGACACAGTAGCTAGGATGATGCGGAATGCGGGAGATAGCATGACGGTCCGTGCGCGGCACTGGCCAGAAGAGGCAGAGGAGAAAGGCTCGGTTTGAGGGTGGAAAAAGTGCACGAGCTACGGCAGATCGTTCGACTCCGATACTTTATACCTATACCCCGTACCGGTCGTCTATGGTGCGAAGAGGATTGGCGAAACGGATTGGTAACCTGAGTCCGAGAAGACCTCTGAGGAGACATTACCGTCATCAGCACATTTTGAGCCGGCTGGTGGCGACCAGGGTTGTGGTAGCCAATGGGACCCATTGGTTGAGTGATGACTACAGTTTGCGTAGCATGAATTCCGGTTGCTGGTGTCTGGATGGTGATTAGAAGTGCCGGACTGGGCGGGGATTTGGCCTGTTCGTTTCCTTTCTCGGATGAACCCTGCTCGGAGGGACGCATGCACCATGCTCGTCCAGACTCAGCCGTAACGCCACAACCGATACTCCAGAACGCTTAAAAGTCTTTCAAGACGCTGCTAGTACATAGTCGTTATTACAGCCTCGTCAGTAAAGTCATCATCACTAGTCTCGTGACCAGCCTGGTCATGAGACTACGCAGCACAATATGCACATGTAAGATTGACCCAGAGCACAATGTGGGGCCATGTCACAGCATGATATCGCACGTGTCCTCGGCCAAACGACGATTTGGCATGGACTAGGCAGGGAGGTCGATGCGTATTTTCGTATAGGCTCGGTCCCCTCCCCGCAAACAGACGAAGACCGTAGCTTTGTACCTAGGGCACCCCGAAACAAAGTTACGGTCACCGTTTTGTCAATGCCCCTTGTCGAGCCTATGCAGATTTCGCACATTTCCCCGCCAAAGCGTAACAGGAATGGCACGTGATGCCCCACATTGTGCTCTGGCCCCTGGACCAATCTTAGCAAGAAAAGCTTCAGCGCACATGACCGCACCTCAGGAGAGCACGCACGTGTAAGCGAATCGTGAGTCACGGTTTGAGACGTACAAAGCGAAGGTCTATAGTTTAGTATCTCCGGCGCCGGAGGATGAACGGAGGTTCCTCGCCTCCATATGAATGAGAGAGGGTACTACCTCAAGAACAACTTGACCATCGGAAGAGGCTGCACAACAACCACCCGAGGCGACCTGTCGTGAGGCATCAATTGTGCAGCATGACAAGGTCCAAATCGCGAAGGACGAAGATGAATTGACGTGCCGCCGAAGAATGGGTGCGACGCGTAAGCGTTGGACACTAGTGGACGAGCGGCGCCGATGTCGGGTGCAGCTGCACCCATGTCTATCGCATCTCCCGAAGTTTTGATGGATCGGCGTGGACTTTTTCGATCGGTGTGGAAAGCGACCCAGGCAATCATAGAGATCCACTTCGAATTCCGCATCATCACAAAGCTGGAGGTTTGTCGACTTGACCACGAACTGTTCCAGGGGTACTTATGCCTGCGGGGACGAAAATTTGAGTGCAATCGGTAAAGTTGCATATGATATTCTTAGAATCAGCAGCTTTTCCACGATTCGAGATCGAAACAGGATGACCGAGGATGTGTGTAAGTAGAACAATCCTGGCAACCACGCTTCGTTTCGCTGGGCTGACTACGTGCCCGCAAGGCCCGTAAGTGGAGCAGACAACAACTGGCGTGTTCATCACGTCGAGGATTTGGATCATCGACGTTCTCGCCAGAATACACTAGTAAGCCTAAATACGGGTCAGCACCGAAATCATTCATGTGACTATGCAATGCCAGGTGGATTGGACTACGCACCGTATACTGTCTCCCTGAAAAGTTCTCATGTAAGCTCTAAGTCCCAGGAACACAGAATCGTGCTGGACTGTTGAGAACCGGTCTTCCGGCCGAGGGTCGTCTCCGCCGTCAGGACGGTTGGGTCACTCAACCTGCCCAACCCTCCCAATCTGGAAGGCATGATCCGGTTAGGTCCATTGAGTAGACTTTCCGACCGGCTTGTCACCGCTCGAACGCATCAGTCTCATTATCAGACGGTGACCACAATGGCGCGAGGGATGATCATCTACTGGGAAAGGTGCCAAGGGGCTAGATATGTATAAGACGAAGAAAAAGAGGGATACCGCAAATCACTCCGGCTTTGTCCTGCTGGCATCCCCGCCATACAGCGTCTTCCGCCCCCATTCGATGATACTTCGATCCAGCTGTCTTGCGCCACGGAATACCGTCTCGATTTGAGAGTTCCACTGGCTCTGCAGCGCCGTGACAAATGTCCGGTCGGGAATACGCTGTGAGGCGGGTACAGGGGCCGGAATGTCTGCGGCTGCGTTCACCAACCGCTCAGAAAGACGATGTAAGCTGCAGTACGAAGTGAGCGTCCAGATATGCCTTGGGAGGCCACCACAAGCGTACTCTGCCTGGTGATGTTGTGTCCTGCAGCGAGATAAGCATAGAGTTATGCGCGCACAAGAAACTGTCGCTCACCTTGTTGTTATCATCGCGGAGAAACCATAGTATACCTAAGGTGCACATGAGCTCACCGGTCACCAGTACTCAGAAGACACCAAGGACGTACACCGCCCGCCACTAGAGCACCAGATGCCGCTCCCACAAGAAAAGACATCGTTCAGGACTCTTGAAGAGGGAGTGTAGATTGCGTTTAGAGCAATAGTCGCCTGGCGACGGCGAGAGACATGAAGAAACGGGACGAGTTCAGTACTGACAGCGTCGATCAGCCGTTTGGGGTTAACAGTTTCAAATTGGGGTTACTGAGCAAAAGTGAATATGATTACCGCCCGCGCCCAAAGTGCCGAAGATATTGAGCGCCGTCCTCGCCTTCGCCGCCGCCATCGTTGCCCTCATCGCCCTCGTCGTCCCAGACGACCCCTCACCACTGCTTAGGCTGTGCAAAACCTGCAGAGCTGGCGACACAACCCTCTAGACTCGCTGTGCAATAATGTCCAAAAGTTGGGAATGCGCGCTGGCTCTGCGAAGAGCAGCCGGCTGTCGCAAACGGGTGTCAATGCCTCCGTGTCCGTATTTCTCTCTATTCACTAGTGTGCGTCAACCCATGGTTTCTCTAGCTGCCAGGTTGCCTTTGCGTGCCATGTCGTCACAAGTCGCGCAGGCCCAGGTGGCTCCTACGCAAATCACGCCGAACCCCGAGCTTCTCCCTCGCAGGATGACGGAGCAGTGGAAGAGGCAGGATGACGGGCTCGTACGGCATCTGAACGACGTATTCTCTCCACTGCAGTTTCCGCCGGAGCTTGCTTCTCGAATATTGACACATGCGAGTCATCCCGACGCTGTCCGGAGGCATAACGCGAGGTTGAGTTTCGTAGGTGAGTACATGCTCTTCACCGTTTTCCCATTTCATGTTGGCGAGGCGCTGATGCTACGGTGTGTACAGGACGACGTGTTTTACAATCCTACTTACTCATGTTCATACACTCGTCGCCGGCCCTGCAACCCGAGCATGACTACGAGAAGCTCGCCCTCCGTGCCCTCAACACGTACACTCTCGGCGAGCATATTGCACCGAATTGGCGGCTTGGGAAAGTTATCAAGTGGAAGCCGATGAATGTCGGAAACCTGTCAAGACCCCTCGGACCTGATGCAGATGTCCCTGCTCCGCTAGCCAACGCAACGGGCGATGCTGTGCGTAGCATCGGTATGTACAAGGTGCACGGGACAACGGTCGAGGCAGTAGTGGGCGGCGTATTTCACCAATTTGTGAGTGTTTCCTTCCCGGACGCATGACTGCAGCATAGCTCATGCCGGTACATCTGATGCGCAGGGCGGAGCTGTCGCTCATCGTCTTTTCCATACTCGACTGCTTCCTCATTTGTGCATACAAGGCAGCATGGAAGGTCTTCATGCAGCATACCATCAGCACGCTCTGGAGGTTTGCGAGAAGATGGGTGGGCGCACGGGGCCGCTATTGCGGTGAGAGGACGGCGCGTTGGTTCTAGGTTTCAATAGTTATCTTACCTGCACACACATGAAGTAATCAATGCTCTGCGTCTTTCATGCCCTCCTCGAATCTCCTTGTGCTCGCAGGCTTCCCTCGCCCACAGCCCAACATAGTATCTGCGGATCCTCAGCGGCGCTCGATTAGGAGTCCCTGGGCGCTCGGTGCCCGGACGTTCTCCACTACTCCCACCATGGCGAAATCTACAGCTCCCTATGGCACTTGGACCTCTCCCGTCACTCTGGAAGTAATCCTTAAAAGTGTGCGTTATTCGGAGTGATCAGAGCATACGCGCCATAGTGATCCCACAAAGCAGGGCAGCAAGGTCGACGAGCTCCTAGCAGATCCGATTACATCTACCATCTACCACATCGAGAGGAGACCCGCAGAAGCCGGCCGTACTGTCATCGTCAAAACTGAGATAGGCGAGGATGTGGTAGGAAAGGAGTGGAATGTACGGACCGGGGTGCATGAGGTATGTACACTACCGCGTTCAAGTCGACGGAAGGGGCGGCTTACAGCGACATGCTCCCAGTATGGCGGTACCCCGGCAACAGCGTATGATGGCATTATCTACTTTTCCAACCTCGAAGATGGCCGAGTGTACAGGCTGATAGCGGGCCAGAAGCCTGAGGCAGTCACTCCTGGTATGTCTACTCTTCACTCCGACTTCCCATCAGCCTCCGGGATGAAATCTGGTCTCATACTACATAGAGAACAAGAACCACCGTTTTGCACAGCTCGCTGTTCATCCCAAGAAAACACACCTTCTTGTCGCGATCCTTGAAGACCATACTAAGCCACAGCCTGCGGATGTCGTCAATACGCTCGTAGTCATCGATACTAATGAGAAGACTGTGTCCCCTCTAATCTCCGGTGCCGACTTCTACTCGCACCCGACTTTCACACCAGATGGGACACACATAGCGTGGCAGCAATGGTTCCATCCTGACATGAGCTGGGAAGGCTGTGAGATCGGCGTCGCGGAGGTCCGCGTTGATACCGCCTCGATTAAAGTCGTAAATACGAAGCCAGTCGCCGGGCGGCCCCTCGATGTCAGTGCGACCTACCCTGTGTGGGCCTCGAACGACCTTTTGCTATTTGTATCGGACGAACATGGCTACTGGAACCCTTGGACGTACTCCGTCTCTTCGGGCAAAGCATCCGCAGTGCTCTCCAAGCCCGTTGATGAAGACTTTGCAGAGCCCGGCTGGCGACTTGGCTGGAGATTTGGCACCCCACTTGACAGCGAGGGAAAGTATGCCCTCTACACTGCGCTGAGGGAGGGCCGGAATGTACTCTACCTCATCAGCCTCCGCACCGGTACGCTGGAGGAGCTCGAGAGTCCATACGTGCACATCAACTATGTCACCCGCGTAACGCACGATGCGGTGGTGTTCCAAGGGCGGCGTAACGATGGCGAAGAAAGTACAGTGCTGTGCAACATCAAGGAGTACGCGAAGCCCAAGTTTACGTCCATCGGCCCCAGGGCGAACAAGGACGAATTGCCGTTCGACCGCGCATACGTGTCGGTGCCGCAGTCGTTTGTGCTCAAGGACCCGGAGACGGGCGAACCCTCCCATGTGATCTACTACCCGCCGACGAATCCCGAGTTTGCTGCCCCCGATGGAGAGAAACCTCCTGCGATCTTCAACGTTCACGGTGGTCCCACAAGTCGAACTTCGCAGGGACTAAGCTACCAGCGGCTATTCTATACCACGCGCGGATGGGCATGGTAAGCCGGTGTCTACGTCCGTATGCTTTCTTGTTCAACATTGGCCGGTTTCTTTTCAGGGTGGACGTCAACTATGGCGGCAGCAATGGTCATGGACGCAAATATAGGTGAGTCCCTACTATGCTCTACTTGTCGAGTGCAATCTGACGTGGTTCTGCAGTAAACGACTTGAAGGGCGGTGGGGTATTACCGATGTTCGAGACACCGTGGTCGCCGTCAAGCAGTTGTCATCGGAGCCATACTCCCTCGTCGACCACCAGCGCACTGCAGTCACAGGCGGCTCTGCGGGCGGTTACACCGTGCTCAAGACGTTATGCTCGTGCCCGGATGCGTTCGCGGCTGGGACATCTTCATATGGCATTTCGGACTTCTTCAAGCTTGCAGAATTTACGCACAAGTTCGAGAGCCAGTACCTGTTTAAGCTCGTAGGAGGCACTCCAGAGCAGGTTCCGGACGTGTATAAGGAGCGGTCACCCGTGTTCTTGGCGGGAAACATCAAGGCTCCGCTTCTGGTGCGTTATCGGGGGACAGCAACTCTTGATATCGCACAGATACTGAAATCTGCACTCGGATAGGTCCTCCAAGGCTCGGAAGATGCCGTGGTACCTCCAAACCAAGCGGAGGGCATCGTCGAAAACATCAGGAAGCGTGGTGGTCGTGTCGAATATACCGTCTTTCAGGGAGAAGGTCACGGGTGGAGAAAGGAGGAGAATATCCGTGCCGCGCTCGAGAAGGAGCTCGCGTTCTACGAGGACGTGTTTGGTTTGCGGAAGTGAATGGTTTCACATGAACAACTGCATCGATGCTACCTAAATCATCCCTCGTGCCCAATCTCGTCTACTCTCAGACAGTCATTTCGTTGCAGCCAGTGAGGCCATGGCTCATCCAATGGTTTTGTCTTCAGATATCGAGAGAGCGGACGAAGCATTAGCGGTGAGTACATTAATGCTCGTGGTGATTCGGGACTTCCTGTAGAAGCTGTACTGCCACTGCTTGGCGTCATCCACCAGGGATTTCTATACAATCTCGATTCCATCCATGTTCGCTCCCCGTTGGGATCTCATGTAGACCATCTCTTCCGCCTCTTTCTCGTTATCCCGGCATCGAGTCCCAATTCCTCCCATTGATGATACCTTGGTCTTCAGGAAGGACCGATTGATCCTACCCATGTATGTGATTTCGTGCGCCTCTTACCTCCCTCATGGAAGCGTGCTGGCGGCCTTGTTGTCAGTTTACTAGCAAGATAGCCTACACAGGAAGCGCCAATCACAGCGGGATCATCGTGAGTTTGATCTCTCTCACAGACATCCGCGGACGCAGCTAAAAAAAACTGCGAACCAGTATGCTATGCTGGGAGGCTTGACAAGCCCTTGAGCTTGACATGGAACAGTCAGGTAGGGTGACGGACGGATGTGGCGACGATCGCGCCCAGGACTAGCCCCTGAAGCTGGGCCGCGCTCATCGAGCAGCAACAAGTCGGATCATTGAGCCTCATTCTCTCTAATTGTGCTATTGTAGTTTGAATTTCCCCGATAGGTGCGGCAATTCTAGTGCAATTGAGCGAACAGCGTGTGACGTTACGCACTGTGGTCCGTACTGAGGAGTCCAGAAGATCCGCTAAGTACTCCTACACAAGCACTGGAACTGCGGGAGATCGCATACTCAAGGATATCTGCCTAATAAGCAAGTCCACCCGACGCGTACTTCATACTTACTTATCCCCGGTATGGTGAGTTTCCTTCTTCCTCTCCGTGTCAGCAATGGCGATGTTCTCAGCACGCACGAGTTGGGCAGCCGAACACATGGTCCCATTCGCACCCATCATACGAGGTGCATGCTGTGACTCTCTGAGCAGAACTGCTCGTGGACTTACTACACCAATTGTACACGGTGCGCAAGCTCATTGAGTGGAGGTTGGAGTCAAAATACTGTGCATCGCATCACCGCATGATCCTCGAAATGGCACATGCAAATTCTGCTCCAGTGTGCACGCAAAGCGGTGCATGTGCATCCTCCTTCTACATTAGCCAGATTGCCCAATGCCCATGTCATCCAAAGTGCAAATACTCATGCGCCGGGCGCGAGCGTCTGTGGTCGCATCCGACATCAAACGAGTCTCTCCGATCAGCAGCGTCGTACGGCGCGGCCGGCAGAAACCAGCCGCATGGACCGCAGATCCCGCAGTGCTGGTGGCAGTGCTGGTAGAAGCAAGGGATGTGTCTCTTCGAATCTTTTCGCAGAACACCTTTGCTCACACCAACTCAAGGCACATACAGATTCTATCTGTATGAGTCACAATTTCCTGATGGTCGTCTTCGCCGGCAGAGGGAGTAACACACTGAACGAAAGCTGCGGCGCTTGTTTGATCAAGCGGCTCGTCGCCCGACGCGAGGGTAAAATCTCGACCTGATCCTGCGCATCATTGGCGATGCGCCGCTGGTGCCTTGTCATTACAGGTGATCTCCATCACTTGTCATCGCTTGTTTGAAGAGGACCATGTGTATAAGTAGGGATGGCCGGGGTGGGGGACAGTATCCCTCTTTTCTTGCCTGCATTTTGACAATGCGTTTCTCCGCCTTCGTTGCTCTTGCCCTCTTCACCGCTGTTGCCCAGGCCGGCAAGCGTGGTCTCACCTGGACATTTTGTGAGTTTGTATTTGTTGGCACAGTACTGTAGCTTGTCCTGACAGCGCGTACAGACAACAGCCCTCTGTAATTGGCCTAGGTTATATTCGGCTTGCAGGACTATTGACTAACCCCGACCTTCCAGTGACCCTGGTGTCTTCAACAACGGTGATGGCCAGGTCGTCGCAATGTACGTCTACTAGCGTAGCTCATTAGACTGCTATTGCTCGGAGTTGCTTATCGGCACTAGTTACGACTATGAAACCTTTGCGCCCCCTTCTAAGAACGGTGCCGGAGGTCTTGCCTTCATTGGCATGCAACGCTGTTTGGATTGTGATTCCAGCCCTATCTCTCAACTCGCTACTCGTCAGCAGCAGCAGGGCTGGGCTAGTAAGTATAGCGTCCCATCACACACTGAATGTAGCGATTGATGATAATGCCCAGCCGTCTTTACGCTGAACGAGCCAGATGTTAACGGAATCACCCCTCAACAAGCGGCGACTTGGTATCAGCAGAACATCAACCCGCTCGCGATCAAGAAGGCGCTTCCTGCTATCACTTCCAGCGCAAACGCGAACCAGGGCCTCGACTGGCTCCACCAGATGATTTCCGCGTGTGCGGGCAATTGCTTCTTCGATTATATCAATCTTCACCATTACGGCCCCGACTTTGCGACCTTCCAGAGCTACGTTGAGCAAGTCCACGCTCAGTTCCCTGTAAGTGTCGCCTCCTGAAGTCACTCATCGGAAACTCACTCACCGATTCATATACTATAGGACAAGCAGATCGTTATCACAGAGTTCGCCCTGCAGAACCCCCCCGGCGGCCAGAACGACCAGTATGTCTTCCTCATGTCTTGCTTGACCGATCCTCCGTATGCTCATCGCACCCTAGGGTCAACTTCTACAAGCAGGCGTTCGCGTACCTCGACGCCCAGCCCTTCGTCAACCTCTACTTTCCCTTCGTCGCGACGTCGCCCTCGCTTCTCCAGGCCAACGATGCCGCCGCCGTCTCCTTCGTCGGCACCGGCTCGTGTTTGTACAACAACGATGGCAGCCCTTCTGCTGTTGGCAACCTCATGTACTAGAGGCTCGCGGAGTGCCTTGAGGACTGGAGATCGAAGCAGCACGCTGCCAGGCAAGATCATGGCAAGAGTTGGATCACGACACGACGACCTCCCGTGGAGCGGGTATCGGCGTCATGTCAAACGTCCTTGCGACGTTACACGCTCATTACGAAGCACCTCCATTGAAGTGCCATATGTTACAACTCAAATCTAATTAATCCCCACGATACCCAATCAATTCAGTTATAGACTCTTGTGTCGCCTAGCCTGAACCTGCGACCGATACAATCATGCCAGATCCCACGCCCGCGCTCTCCGCCTTCTCGGTCCACGAGAGGGAGAGCCTCTGTGATGAGCAGACGAGGTCAGCGTAAGTGGACCGATGAAGCGGACCGGGAGCTGTATATACTACTGATACAGATTTACATGAGACACCAGAAGATAGGTATGGTACAAGCTTTAGATCAGAATGATCAATCGTCCCGTCGAACATGAGGAGCGAACGTAACATAGCACTGCGAGAGCAAGGACAAAATGCAAGGGGCGGTAAGATGTACAGCGCTAGCAATGGTGGAACGAACGAAAGCGAATCACAGAGCACTGAAAGAGATATCGACTGAGCAAATCGCTCAGCAAAACAGTATGTACGCAGGCATGAGTTGCTCACCTATATAGCAGAGCGGCACTGCGGACAGACGAAAGCGGGACCACTTAACAACTCCGCAGCAGCCTCGAACTCCCTCGCCCTCCTCTCCCAATACGGCACGTATACACTCGCGAGCAGATCGAACTGGGCCAAATCTTCACATAAGCCTTCCAACGCAGTGACTTCATCAGGCTGAGTCGATATCCCCTCTCCCGCCGTTCCCGTCTGCAAGCCATCCCAAAGGCCGCCCCATAGCTCGTGCCCTCCAGGCTGGTGAATCTCGTGGTCGCGTTCGCAGTTCATAGCTATGTCAACGTCGATAGTCCTCCCCTGCGTGAGCCAGAACAGGTCTTCCTGGCGCGCACGCTCGCGCTTGAGAAGCTCGTACCACTTCTCCGAGGCTTCGGGGGCGCCGTCGTGCTCGATCGCAGCGTAGACAAAGCGGCGCGCGAGGACGACGTCTGCGACGTTGCCGATCGCCCAGCCATTTGAGGCGCCGGAGCAGCGGACAATGGGTGACTGCGCGATAGTGAGGAGGCTTGGGGGTAAGTGAGAGAGTATCGAGCGATGGCGGCCCCAGAGCTCGAGGACTTCGTGTACTGTCATCTACAAGAGGACGATGATTGGAGATCAGCAGCCTGCCGAGAGGTACGAAGGATGCGGCATCATGGATGTACACTAGACCTCGATGGGTCTTGACTTTCATCTCACAAGTCATCATCAGATACACTCTCACAAGATACGTTCACAGACGGAGCGATAGCATTGGCTCGACGGCTTAGGACAGGGTACGACTCAACTACCACTGATTGCCACAGAGAACAGCTGTGAGAAAGAACATCGCTTACCTGCTCCGTCGACTCGGGAACAAGGTCGCGAGACTCGGGCTCGCAGAAATGACCGAACAATACGAAGGGGGCTTCGCTGTCGGGATCGACGGCGAGGAGTCGGATCCCGCGGGTGGACGGAGGCGCGACCACGTCGACAGCGTTCAAATGGGGGAGGCACGATGAGTGATACCACGTGCGACAGTCAAGCCTTGGGCAGAAATGCATCGGGTCCTTGTCTAAATGGGGGCTCGACCTATCATAGCATGAATAAGTCTGAAGTCAACGACGTTGCATACCGGACTTACGTCAAGACCGAGTCCCCTTGTAGTGCCGTGAGGGGGTAGGGATTATATGCCACATGGCATACGCAACTGTGCTCGCCAAGGGGGGGCTGGAGGGTCCGATTAGGTCCATGTAGTGGTCCTCCTGCAGCGCCATCGTCAGCGCACTAGCCCCGACCTACCTTGACTTGCTTCTTACGATACATGAGAGTCGTCCTGAGAAAGAAGGAGGTGGGACCAATTGGCGGTGGATTCAAGTCTTCTTCATGATACTCGTGGACATGGGTGATCGCTGGGACCGCTCGTAGTGAGCACGACAAGGAACCGGTTGTGCACTTGCACCCACACACCCACCTTGGAAGGCATAAGGAGCGACGTAATCATAGTCGTCCGATAGGATACGTTCGTACGGAGAATAGTTTTCCGGCTTGCTATGTGCGCTAACAGTGAGTATCGTGACACGCGCAGAGCCCGAATCATTGGGCGGGACTCACAATGACTTGATATATGCCGCTACGTCGTTACGGGACCAGTACCAGCGAACTTTTGCTATCGCTTCGGTTCTGTCCTGGTTAGCACGAATTTGACTAATATGCCCAATCCAAATGTCGTGGGTACCGTCATATGGAGAATTCAGTATAACACTGAAGGACGATGAGTACGGGTCAAAGATATATAAATTGATCCACGTCGCGACGTACTCATCCCCAGTCTTGAACAGTACGTTCCGTATTCCAAGGTTGCCTGCTTTCCATGTTCATGCAAGTAAGGCGACTCGTACTTGTGAAATCTGAAAGCTATCAACATACCATTGCTGATGGCCTTGTCGCTTGTCCGAAGTCCATCAACTACCACCCACAAAGACGTGAATACGGAGCACACCGCTGCACGTGAATGATCGACGTACCTGTGAACGCATATACGTGGTCCATCAATGCGAACTCCCGGTCTGCCGCAGCTTTCTCTTGGGCTACAACGTTGTCAATGCCCGAATTTCTGGACGCGGCTAGAGAACGACGACCACGCCCGCGTCCACGCCGACGACTCTTACTCATCGCGTATAGCGGCTGGGGGTGGTGATTAAGGGCGTTGTAGTGGAGGAAAGACAAGGGGAAGAAAGAAGTCTCGGCTCGCACAAGCACACATGAACTCTCACACCAAGGGTTTTCAATGGACGGTGGCCGATGGGTGCTGCGGCACTGGCACGTCTGCAGTTACGGTTCAAGTACCCGTGGTGGACGCCTAACGTGAGGTTGCGGACGTTGAGCGGCACCTCGCTAATCCTACCCATAACACGACCAAATACCCGCCACCACGCCTTCGCGTCGCGTGCGTCCACGCGCGCACTAATATTGTCCTCCAGCCACCGGCCTCGTAGAATCCCCCGTCCGTCTTCCTCTGGTCTCCTGTGTCCTCAGCTTCACGACTGTCATGTCTTTTGGCGGGTTTGGTACCACCCAGCAGCAGTCTGGAACGACTGGAAGCGGTTTGTTCGGTGGCGGCGGTGCGTTTGGTTTCAACCAGAATACAACCAGTACGCCCGCGGCCGGTGGCTCGGTTTTCGGCGCCACCAATTCCGCGCAACAAGGGACCAATACTGGAGGTGGACTCTTTGGTGCGGCAACCACGAATAACCAAACTGGTACCGGCACAGGAGGGTTGTTTGGCCCAACACAACCAGGCGGCGGTCTGTTCGGGAGCACGAACACAGCTGCACAACAGCCTACCGGTGGGTTGTTTGGGAATACTGGTCAGCAGTCTACAACCGGTGCCGCTCCTGCTGGCTCATTGTTCGGTTCCACAGCACAGGCAGGTGAGCTCACGACGCCGACTCTCTGCATGTCATGACGGAAGACTGGAAAGGCCTCTTGCGCCTTCCGCAACTTCTCCTCGAGCACCATGTAATCCGTGGATGATACTGAGAGCGTTGATGTTGAGTTGTATGCGTGGTCCGACACGCTCCTCGCAGTTTGCCGCTGCAGCTTCAGTATGTAGGGGTGGATTGACAGAGAGACGCGCCCTTCTTCATTCACTTTTTTGCACTTTGACTTGAATGGATTCATGGCGGCCGGGACTCTGCCTTGCCTTCACCGAACGATTGAGCAAGAACAACTCGATATACAACGAGAATCTAGTCAGACTCAACGAGGAGAAGTTCCACTCATGCTTGCATGTTCCAATCATCGTGAAAGATATCGACTGACATATGCATTTAGGAAACCCTGGCAGCAGCCTGTTTGGCAATGCTAACGCAAATCAAACAGCGGGAGCCACTGGTGGCGGCCTTTTCGGCAACAATGCCTCCGCAGGTAACACCACTGGCAGCGGCCTGTTTGGGAGCACCACAGGAACGAATACCGGTGGCGGCCTGTTCGGTAGTACCAACACCAACAATCAGGCCGCGCCGTCAGGTGGGCTCTTCGGAAGCACTGCCGCCGCACCGAACACTACAGGTGGTGGTCTTTTTGGCAGTAATACGAACACATCCACAACAGGCATGGGCGGTCTGTTCGGTTCGACGACCAACACTGCCGGAACGACGGGCGGCGGCCTCTTTAGCACTCAGCCCAGCACTTCCACCCAACAGCCATCCCTCTTCGGGAGCACAAGCCAGGCTCCTGGGAACTCCTTTTTCGGAGCCACACAGCAGCAGCAGCAGCAGCAGCAGCAGCAGCAGCAGCAACAACAACAACAGCAGCAGCAGCAGCAGCCAGGGTCACTGTTCGGGCAACAGAAGCCCGCAGGGGGCCTGTTTGGTGGTAGCACGCTTGGTGGAAACCTGCTCGGGGGTGCGAGCACGATAGGGGGCAATAGTTTGCTCGGGTCGACGACGAATAACCTGTTCGCATCAAAGCCGGCTCCCGGGCCTAGTCCCCAGCAGGATGCACAGACGCAGTACTGGCAGCTGTCCGAGAGGATCCAGAGTATTCAGGCCGCATGGGATCCTAACTCTCCACTGTGCCGCTTTCAGGTGAATTTCCAGGTCCGTGCGCGATCACTTAGCCAGACGCTAACGGTCGCTCGGCAGCATTACTTCTACAACCTGGTGGACCCTGCTCAGATACACCTATACGGCCGACCGCCTAACGCGACCAACGATGCCTTGTGGCAGAAGGCCGTCAACGAGAATCCCGATCCTACATGGTCCGCTGTCACATTCGACTCAAACAGTCCTGTAGTCTGACGCTATAGACAGTCACGTCCCTGTCATCGCCACCGGATTTGAGGACCTGCAAAAACGAGTCGAGGCTCAGACACAACAAGCCGCAGAGCAGCAGCAGAAGATCAAGGTCTGCCCCTATTATGTAATAAGACTTTGACTTCGCGAATGAACATTCTATCCTCAGGATCTACAAACGCGGATATCCGCCCTCGTGCAGCGGCACCAACTGTCAAACGCGTCCCGCTTACAGCGCGCGGCGGCCCTCCAGACTCAGCTGACGCACCGCGTGCTGAAGCTTGTGCAACACCTGCACCTCCTCATTCCCGCGCTGCGGTCGTCGGCTCTCCGCCCCGAGGAGGAGGCGCTGCGGACCGCGCTGGAGGAGATCGATGAGGAGGTGCGCCGTCCCGGGGGCACGGGCAGGATACGGGGCAAACTGAATGAGCTGTGGGCGCTGGTCGGCGCGGTGACGGCGGCGCGCGAGCGGGACCGGAGGCCGGGCGGCGTGGAGTGGACGGTCGTGGACGAGGATGGACTGGCTCAGATCGCTCAGGTGAGCGCCGCATGTTGCAGCGGGGTTCATTGTTTGTGTGAAGGGTGCACACTTACATGTGACTGCAGATCCTCGCGGAAGAACAGGCCGGCCTCGCCCATTTGACGAAGTTGCTGCAGAAAGACCTGAAAGATCTCGCCGTGGTACTGGGCAAGGACCCGAAGGAGTATGACTCTGACATGATGTCCTCGACTGCGACGTTCCGCGGAAGCACGCTCTGATGGATTGTATTGATATGCTATCGACACTAGTATTTGTGTAGGCTACTGAATATACCGGGCTTGTCTCCATTGGATTACTCCTTTGTATTGGCCGTAACCAATCGGTCAGTCGAGATTATGGGAACGGCCGAAATGCGGGTTATGCCGTCCAGGGGCGCCATAGGCGGACAAAGTGACACCGAGCCGCTTAGCGCACGCGTAGCCGCCACCGCTGAGCCTCTGTGACCTCCTCAACCACCGATCCCATTCTCCCCCTCTCCTTTCATCCTCTGCGCCTTACATTGTGTATGAACCCTTTGGAACGCTAGTAACATGCGCGTCCGCACACTCGAAATCCGCTGGCACGACTCCAAGCCGATATCTACTTGCGACTTCCAGCCAATCCCGTTCAAGAAGGCGCGCCCCGCACAGGACAAGCAGTTCCCTGCGCAAGCCTACCGCCTCGCGACTGGCGGCGAGGACAACCATGTCAGAGTGAGTACACATACAATCCTCGCCTGCGCGCAGGATCAAGCTGAAGTCGCTCGTTCGCGAACGTTGGGTGTTGTAGTTATGGACGGTGCACCCGAACATCCTGCCCCCATCCCTGGTCGAGGGCACGTCTGAGACCCCTGCGCCGCGGCCGCCACGCGTCGAGTACCTCGCGACGCTCAGCAGGCACTCCGCCGCAGTGAACGTCGTGCGCTTCAGTCCGAACGGTGAGTCCGATCCTTAGTCACAGCGAGCGAGGGGTGTTCACACGCGTCCGGGGTCGCTGACGCGCGTCATCACAGGCGACCTGATCGCGTCCGCGGGAGATGGTACGTCGTGTGCTGTACGTCTAGGGAACACTGAACAGTGATACTGAGTGGTTGCGACGCAGATGGCATGATCATTGTCTGGGCCCCGACGGCGAGCCCGCATGCGAGCAGCTACGGCAGCGACCTTACTCCTGAGGATATGCAATATGAGAAGGAGCACTGGAAGCCTCGAACCGCATTCCGGTACGCATCTTGCTCATGTCTGCACGTATCCCTGTGCCCAACACGCGTGCAGGTGCACGACCATGCAGGTTTACGATCTCGCCTGGAGCCCGACGGGCGAGTACATCATTGCGGGCAGTACAGACAACTGCGCCCGGATATTCACAGCGAGCGAAGGTGCGTGTCGTGCTTCTATCATCATGTCATATGACAGGTTCTGACGATACGATGACTTCGTCCGCAGGCAAGTGCGTGCACGAGATCGCCGAGCACAATCACTACGTCCAAGGCGTCGCCTGGGATCCACTGAACGAATACATCGCAACACAGAGTAGTGATCGCTCCATGCACATTTACAGCATATCGTACAAGTCTGGCGGCGCACTCGAGGTGCACGCCGTTGGCAAGAACGCGCGCATGGGTCACCGCCACAGCCGGACGCCCAGTACCCATGGGCGTCCACGAAACTTCCGACGCGAATCGACGGCGAGCGAGACAGAGTCGGTGATCACGAGCGTGAGCGAGCGGCTCAACGACGAGGTCGCCGCCTCACCCAGCTTGAAGGAGCAGCAGCCGCCACCCCCGGCGATGCTCACTCCCACTGCGTCGGTCGCGAGCACGCCCTCGATGACCATGTTCCCACCCCCATACGAGCGGCCATCGTCGAGACGCTCCTCGTTCAGCGGCTCGAATGCACCAAGTTCTCCCGCGAATTATAGTCGATACGGACGCTCGCCGTCTCCGATGCCCGCTCTTCCTGCTATCCGTATGGCTCCGACGGCGGCCTGGGCGTCCGTCAGGCTCTACGGCGACGAAAGTTTCTCCAACTTCTTCCGACGGCTGACGTTCAGCCCTGACGGCGGCCTCCTCCTAACCCCTGCCGGCCAGTTCGAGGACCCGTCCGTGATACCTACCGCGAGCGCCAGCTCGTCCAAGTTCAGCGAGCAACAGACTCGGGGCCGCAAGGGTAACCCGAGCGGCGGTGACGCCAGGGACGGCTCGTCATCCGTGTACATCTACTCGCGCGCCAACTTTGCCCGGCCGCCTATTGCGCGCCTGCCCGGGCACAAGAAGGCTAGTGTTGCGGTGCGCTTCTCGCCCATTCTCTACGAGCTCCGTCCGGGCGTGTGGGCGTCCGAGTCCCAGGAGCCCAAGAGTGTCATGCTCGACCCTGGGGTAGAGGTGTCAGTCGACGTTGATATCGGCATTCAGCCCGGATCGGCGCAGGATAAGACCCCTCACCCGTCCCCCGTGAAGCCATCGGGGAGCACGTTGTTGTCGGGGTCTGGGGGCATCGCTGCGCCCTCGCCGCGCATTGCCATACCCACTGGGCCGAATGCGGCGATGATGCCGTCCCCTGCGCTGTCTGCAACGGACTCGATGCGTCCCCCTACGCCGGCAGCATCGAAGCCTGGCACCCCGGCTCCGCCAATGACCCCCACGGCGACTGCTTCCGTCTTCGCGCTGCCGTACAGGATGCTGTACGCGGTTGCGACGATGGACACCGTGATGATATACGACACGCAGCAGGCGGGACCCGTCTGCCTCCTGACGAAGCTGCATTACGACGAGTTCACGGACATGTCCTGGTGAGTCTTCTCACCCCTAGCTCCACATGCCGCCGTCCCTGATACGAAACCCCCGCAGGTCGCCCGACGGCCAATGCCTCATGCTCTCTTCGCGCGACGGCTACTGCACGCTCGTCGTCTTCGACGAGATCCTCCCCGCCTACCACACGCAGCAGCACACCCTCCAGCTGCAGTCCATCGCGCACCACCACGCCCTGCCCCTCACCAACTCCGCGTCGTCGACAATGGCGACGCCGCTCTCCACCCCCTCCACGCACGCCGTGGGCCTCCCCACCCTCTCGCCTATCACCTCCCTCCCCATGCCCCTGCCGACCCCGTCCAGCTCGAGCGTGCTGGGCAAGCGTAGCGCCGAGCCACCGCTCACGCCTGCTGCGAGTGTCGACGAGAACGTGCTCGGAGGGGGGAGGACGGCAAGCGAGGCGCTCGAGGGCCCGTCCGCCGGCTCCGGGGACGCGTCTGGGCCCGCGCAGGGCGATGACGCGAAGGAACCCCCGAGGAAAAAACGGCGAGCTGCGCTCACGCGCGTGGGCGACCTCGGGTCGTGATGCCGACTCGGTCTCGCTCGTTCTCGCCCCGCTCAGAGGCCGGCGAAGAACCGAGGGTCGCGATTGTGCCCGTTTCACACCTGTCTTGCCGTCCCACCAGCTTGCTTATGCTGGTCTGAGTTATCTCTTGTGTATCATTTGTGAATACTGTTTCCTTTGCGTCTCATCCTATCCGCTCTTGGTCGCGCCTGTTCCTCTATCTCTCGTCTCCTGTCGTTGTCTCGTCTTGCCCAGCGGCCGCATACTGTAAACCGTTAAGTTAGCCGCAACACGCGTCCTGTCTAATCGCCCACATCCTGTCTACCGTTCCTGCTTGTGTCTTCTTGATATCCTCCTGAATTGAACCGTCCACGATCCACGTGAATGTCGTTGTCTCAATTCGTATTGCTATTACGCACGCACGCTTGCCTCTAGGTTCCTCTTGTGTAACAGCATGACCCTCATAGCAACCCGCACAAATCCCGTGTAACGAACTCGTCCTCCCCTTGAACAGGACAGAAATGCGTGGAAGCACCCCCATAGTGACGGCTGATATCATGTCGGATATGATTCGTGCGAACTTATGAGCGGCGGAAGCATGAAGTGCAGGAGACAAGATACAGTTCCAGTTGGACACACCGCGAAGCAGGTCTGTCGTCACCCATGGCATATTAGAATTTAGGCATGGATGTGATGGGGGCATGCGTCAGGCATGGACATGTGATATACATGTGGGGGTTTTGCGAACAGCACAACGAAGACAAAACAGAATCCACACAGATCAGAACTAGAAAGTGATGGTCAGCATCCCAGCCGCCAATACTCAAAGTCACAGAGAAAGAGCGGTGAACGAGACGGGGAGTAGTAATGAAAGAGATGTCAAGGCGTAGAAAAGTCGGAGTGACAGAGAGTTGAAGGGATGTGATGGAGAAGGGATACGTACCCTGAGAGGCTGGAAGAACCACTTGTTTTTCCCGCTCGTGTACCTGTCCTCCAGGAGCTTCTTGATCTGCTTCTTCGAGTCCTCTCGTTGCGAAACCTCCTTGAAGGTCTCCGAACCAACGACACCCTTGAGGCCCTCGAGCTCAAGTGCGTAACGCGTAGGGAAGAGGTGGGAGTAGTTGACAACCTGCACGCAAGGGCATACGTTCAGCCTCCGAATATACATCCTCTCCACGCGCAGAAACCCCGTAGAAAGTTGAGCAAGGAGTACAAACCTTGATGAAGGGCTTAATCTTGCTGCGCTTCGCAACCTTCTTCGCACCCATACGCTTCGTCACCTTGAGGGGGTAACGCTCGATGCCGGCAACGATCGCATGGGGGTAGGGCCGCTCCTTGGTGCCCTCGTCGAGCTGCTTGATGACAACAACCTTGTGGCCCGCCTGGCGGCCCTGGAGAACGATCGCAACCTGGGCCCGAGTCAATATACCATCCTACGTCCCGCAATTCCTGATTCCGCTTGGAAGCGTACGTACTTTGCCGGGCTTGTAGACTAGTCATCATGGACAGAATGTTAGCAAGAGTTCCACATACGAGCATAAGTTCCCGTAGGGACGTACTCTTGGGCATTTTGAAGAATTGAGGGAGAGGACGGAGCGGGCGGGACTTGCTACCTTGCTTGCTCTCTGCTCGCCCGCCTGAGCTACAGCGCCCGCAGCTGCTCAGCCACCCGGGGTATGCCGACTTTGCTGCTATACAGTTCTTTTGATAGAGGCATCAGGCGTCTTTCCTAATTTGAACAGGTGCTCATAAAGTGATGCGCCTGCGCCACGGCGTCAGTGATACCTATAATACTTACGGTCCCGGCTGGAAATACTTATCCTTGGCCAACGTGGCCAAGACTCTCCACACTCGATCGAGTTGAGTGCGTCATATCGGTTCATGAAACGCTAATGAATATAGTCTCGAGCATTAATCTGATGGGCAGCTTGGATTTGTGTCGACCTAGGGCTTCCTGGTAGCGGCAGAGGACCAGTGGTCATCCCATTTACGCTGCTCATCATGGCGGGCGGCCTTTCATCTGTCGTACTGCTTGCGACGGCGCCCGGATATCCTTGACCTTCTCACCTGCAGCCCGAATCAGTGCCGTGAAGAGGAACGTTTCCTGAAGGCAACGCACATACGGGGCAACAATCAGCTCTCAATGACCGCACAACACAAGACACGCGGCGATCCATGTTTTATGTGGGACTTATGCCTTCGATGCTCCCACAGCACCTCAAGTGACCGGCCAGTTCACGAATCGCAAGGCATGGCTAGATATACGAACTGATTGTCGCTCGGCGGTTGCGGTGTTAGGCCGCAGCTGCTCACACTAGTCACAAATGCAGGTCCCATTTCTCGCGGGATCGATGGAGCGATCGAGCAGGTCGACAGGAACCAATGCTTAGGCCGCCGTTGTCCATCAACGTTAGTCTCCACTTGCGTCATGTCGTCTCCCCACCGGCACGGAACGATGAACATGAAGCCTCCTCGTCCTCCTCGGCAGTCACACCGCTCCGTACCTTGTTTCGGAAGGATCGTCCAGTCACTGTGTTGTGCAAAGAGTCGGCTCGTCCGAGCCATGAGGCCCATGACACATCTTGTATCAATCACCGGCACTAACGCAAGCGGGAGCTCGGAGGCCCCGGTGAGCACGCCACCAAGGACTGTGATCGCCAACCAAGCATTCTGTCAGCTTCAAACAAGTCCGTCCAGGGTCGAATCCAGAGGCGATGACGGCAGCTGACCGCGAGCCGACCCTGGTACGCAACGCGCCGGTCGCTCGGTTCTGAAGTTCAACCCAAATGTTCGCGCTTCCGGCTCCAGTTTCGCTGTCGTTCCTGGCACACACCGCGCGGTCCCTAGACCGCTGCGTCTCTGGTACTTATACCCAGCTTCTTGTGAGTTGCTTCCCTTCGTGCTTGCGCGGGCTCTCTGACGTCGACACTGACAACCCACCTCTCTTCCGTGCCCTCTGTCCGACGCACAACCTCTCGCAGGCACACTAACCCCACATATCTGTTGCTCGTTAAAGTCGAGATGCGTCAATCGCTTGCGACCGCCACATTCGTTTTCTCCTCCCTGCTCTCGCTGGCTGTCGGGGAGAGCCTGCAGGCGCGTAGTCAATATGATAGCACCTGCAAGGAGATCGAGCAAGCCATCTCCTCCGCATCCGCCCTCTACTGGCCTGGTGGGTCTTCGTGGCGCCCGCTATATGCGCGCTGATGCACATACTTCGTGACGCAGGATTGGGCTCATACTACAAGGACATCGGCCACTGGGCCACATCCAGCTCTGCTCAGGCCGCATGCTCTGTCGAGCCCGGGACCGCCGAAGACGTCGGGAAGATCGTACGTCTTCCACTACTACGTGCATATGCTCGCACTCTAATATTATCTCCCTCTACAGCTTCAAATCCTTAGCGCAAACAACACGCCGTTCGCGGTACGTAACCCTCCGGCGTCCACACACAGCTTTTTGCCGTGTCCCTCATTCTTCCAAGGAAGCACGGACGGTGTGGTGCGGCTGAAGGAAACACATGCTGACTGACGTCCGACCCGCGGCGTTCTCACAGGTGAAGGGCGGAGGCCATGCGTCCAACCCCGGCTTCTCGTCGACGGAGGGCGTGCACATTGCTCTGTACCGTTTCAGTAGCGTGACGTACAACCAGGCCGCTCAGACCGCGGACGTCGGAGCCGGACTTATCTGGGACGACGTGTACTCGGACCTTGAGCCGTACTCCGTCAATATCATCGGTGGGCGCGTGACTGGGGTCGGTATAGCCGGCTTCACTCTTGGCGGAGGTGAGTACCATATCCGGTCTTGAGGTTTAGGTTTGGCGGGACCAGTAACTAGCCGCACGGATGCAGTGAGAAGAGATGCTGATGTCCTTGTGTGACGCACAGGGTTCTCGTGGAAGACGAACCAGTACGGGTTGACGGTTGACAACCTGACCGGCTTCGAGCTCGTGCTCCCTAACGGTACTGTCGCAGAGGTCACTCAGAGCTCGCACCCCGACCTCTTTTGGGGCCTGAAGGTGCGTGATAACCTCGTGATATACTGGCTCTGGCGCTTCTGCCGATCCTAACGACCGTCCCATCACCGCTTCTCGCGTTGTTGCATTGCTGTGCAGGGTGGCTTTAACAACTTCGTGAGTCTCCTCTTATTCGGGTCGCGTTGATGGCTTCCATTCGGCTCGACTTACGCGAGAGTCACAGGGGATCGTCACGAAGTTCACTCTGAAGACCTATGCACAGACCGAAGTCTGGGTGCGCGCGCGTTAATCCTTGCTCCGCGTGTTGCAAAGACTAACGTGCGGTCAATGTCTCTGGTTAACAGGGCGGTATCATCCTTGTTACCGAGGACCACCTCGACGACCTTACCGCGGCAACCCTCAAGTTCACACAGACCGTGACTGATCCGAAGGCCGCCATTCTGCCAACGTACAACTTCCTCATCGGCGAGGTACGTATCCTTCCTTCTTGCCCCAACCTGTTTCCAAGAATTACTGGTATCTGACCAAGTGGTACATGTTTCACGGTCGTAGCCTGGCGCAACGGTCATCCTCTTCTACGACTATCCGACAGCTCCTGAAGGCATCTTCGACGACTTCCTCGCCATCCCTGCCTTCTCGAAGGACATTGGGACCCGTACCTTCCTGGACCTCGTCCTGGCCTCGCCCTCGAACGCGACCAGCCCAGCCCGGTGAGTTTCACCATCGGTATCAGCGCTGCGCGTCGTCCTCATCCATTTTGCTGCTACTTCTCACAGTGGCATCTTCCACACCGTCTCCCTGCTCAAATATTCCCCTGCTATCATGGACGCCCTTGTCAACGAGACCAAGGTATGTTTTGCCTGCCCCCTCGACGGATGACACACACGCTAACACACTTCCTCTCTGGTGCAGTTCTGGGGCGAGCGCCTCTCTCTCAAGTCCGGCACGTTCATCTCCTACGACGTCGAGCCGTTCCTCCCGGATATCTTCTCCCACGCCCCCGAGAACTCGTCCGCGTACCCGTCCTCGCGCTCGTCGAGCCTCCTCCCGCTCAACATCTATTACGCGTACAGCGACGCGGGCCAGGACGAGACTTTCTGGGACGCCGCGCGGCAGAGCGCTGCGCAACTGACGGCGGTTGCGGTCGCCGACGGCCAAGACGTGGCCGACGCACCCCTGTACGGCAACTACGCGATCTTCGACACCCCGCTGGAGAGGATTTACGGGCAGAATGTGGACGCGCTGAAGGCGTTGAAGGCGAAGTACGATCCTGAGGGTGTCATGGCCCTTGCGGGCGGCTGGAAGTTCTGAGCGCGGACGGCAGAGAGAAACTACAGGACCATCTGCGTTATAACTTGCGTTATATATCGGACTTTCCAGGATTCCTTCAGGCCTAAGCCAACATAAACGGTCGCTTTCTTGTGTGCGTCATCCTCCACCTTCTTTTCGTGTTTCACAGTAGCGTATAGCTACTACTTTTTGTCCCGGATATTACCGTAACATGACTAGTAATCAATACGATGGTCGACCTGCGATGGCGGAGATTGGATGAGTAGGTCAACCAGTTCAAGACTCAGATATCCTTATTACCACGTTGAGACTGAATAGGATGCGTGGACTATATCTCACATACCTGGCACGTTGGCCAGCGTGACGGTACACGGTACTAGGATCTGCGTACGCCGGTTTTGGGGGTGAATGCTGGTGTATGTTGCTGGGGGCAACTTCCATTACCATCCCGTTTAGCTCAGTTGGTAGAGCGCGTCACTAGTAATGACGAGGTCAGTCGTTCGAGTCGGCTAATGGGAATTCTTTTATCTATTCCTGCTTCCATCTCATCCACGTACAGTGGCTAACTCATTAGAATCCGGTCTGCCTGGACAACGCCTAATTTCCAACAATGTCTGCGAGCTGCGTTTTCGGTATGGCTTCTGGGAACGCGAGTACCTTGAGACGGTTGTGCGTTGCCTGCTCATACGCAAAAGCGAACGTGATCAACTTGAATTCGCTAAATGCCGTCCCAACGAATGCGATTCCGAAAGGTTGGTTTGGTCCGCTGGAGCGTACTGGCTGGGCGGGCGCAAGGGTAGTGTTGGGAGGCAGGAATCCTAGAGGAACTGTATGATGCCCGCTGTTCAGTGCAAAACTTGCTTGAGATTCAGCTCCAGCCCACCTGTGACGATCGGGTATCCGACAATCGCAGCAGGTCCAGATGCCACACTACTTGGCATCAGGAGCGCGTCGACGCCGAACGTCTGCAAAGCCCCGTCGATCCCTCGCTTGCCTCCTAGGTCCTTGTCAGCTGCGATTGCGTTGAAATATGCCTGATCTACGGTAGTATTCTCTGAGGCGATGAATCTGTCAAGAAGCATTTAGTGGTCCATGCAAGTATGGGCGGGATCAGCGGCGATAGAGTGCTTGACGTACTCAGATTGATCCGTCCAGAACGGTTGGACGAGCTCTTCGTCTGCGTGCGCAATGTTGAATGCGATCAGGTCAGCGAGGTTCTTCACGCCCGTAGGGACCTCGAGAAGCTCCGAAATGTATTGATTGATGTCGACCTACAGGCATTCATTTGTCAGCTATGCCTCGTAACCCGATGTCAGTACTTTTCGGCCGACCTTGAAGTCAGTGTCGAGCACAATCGTCTCGTTGTTAGATGCTTCCAGTTCCGTGAAGTCCGGGAGGTCAGCAGGATCGACAATGGTGGCACCGAGGCCACGGATAGTGTCCAGCGAGGCGTTGAATGCAGCGACGACGTTGCTGTTGGTACGGGAAAAGAGTTTGCGAGGCACTCCGAGGCGGACGCCCTTGAGTCCGTCCGCCTTGAGGGCTTTGGTGAAGTCAGGGACGATCGGGGGTTGCGCGAAAGTGAAGTTGTCGCGGGGATCTCGACCCGCAATAGCGGAGAGGACGATAGCTGCGTCGGTCACAGAGCGAGCCATCGGACCAACGGTGTCTTGGTGCACGGAGATCGGGATGACTAGTTTGAAAGATGAGTCTGCCGACATCTCGCAGCCATTTAAAACACACGCACCTCCTGCTCTCGAAGTGAGTCCGACAGTCGGCTTAATGCCTACCAGATTGTTCTGATTGCTGGGAGAGATGATTGACCCGTCCGTCTCGGAACCTAGAGCGGCGGCCGCAAGGCCTATTGACGCGGAAATACCGCTGCCAGAGCTCGAGCCAGATGGATCCCCCAGTGGGACATACGCGCTCGAAGCCTGACCACCCCGACCGGAAAAGCCGTTTGGGACGTTACCACGGAAGTGAGCCCATTCGGAAAGATTCGCCTTCGCTAGGATGATGGCACCTGCGGCACGCAGCTTGCTGACGACATGCGCGTCGCGGGGTACGATAGATCCTAGTAGCGCGAAGGAACCTGCGTTGCATGCGACCTCAGCATGATGGTAACCGGGAGCGAAATGCACTCACCTGCGGTCGTGTTCATGCCTGTCCGACATACCCAGCTTGAACGCCACGTTTTAGACATGCAGAGAGGGTGGCATGCGTACCTTCGCTAGCGACTGTAGCGACGTTGTCCTTGACAATGATCGGTATTCCGTGCAGTGGTCCGCGTGAGCCTTGGAGACGCCTCTCGAGGTCGAGTTCAGCGGCTTGACTCAGCGCACTAGGGTTCGTCTCTATCACGGCGCGCAAGGTCGGCCCTTGCAAATTCACTTCCTCGATGCGTGCAAAATAGGCCTGGGGATTGGGTTTAGTAGCGCTCCGAATCAGTTGGACATATTGCTGAGATAGTTTGCCTTGACTAGGTCGACACTTGGGAAATGACCCTTCTCGAGGCCATCCTGCAGTTCGGCGATAGATGCCTCGTAGAGATCAGGGAACGTCACGGACTGTGCAGCTGTTGTGGGTCCCGACTGCTGAAGGCCGGCGGAAACGCAGACGAGGGCAAAGATCAGCACGAATGCCGAATACAGCTTCAGCTTCAGAGACAGCATATTGCGCGCCATCGGGGAGGTCCGAGATTCATCGCCTGGCATTTAGCTTATATGCGAGCAAAGACGTGCTCAAAGCTTATCATGATACCAGGGTGTAGCATGCGACGACCGTGAGTCGTTGGGAATTTGGACGGAGCACCGCATCCGTTCGACTGAGAACGAGAGGGAAGCGTCTCTTGCGCCTTCGAAGTTCCCATGATTACGATCATGTGGAATGGCTCGAGGCTCTAGTCTTGGTGCCCTTGTCCAATGCCACAAACGCTATAATTGATATCACGAAGAGGTATAAGCGACCATAGATGCACAGGCAAAATCCCGACAGCGTGAGATGAACGCAGAAAAAGAGAAATGCCATCGGGCACGCGATAGACACGTTACTGCAGCAACTGAGGAAAAGTCGAATGGAGTCATCGGGTACATATGTGCATACCTCCACGGGGATGAAGTATGATCGACTAGTTCCTGTTACTCCAGTCAACATGAGATTTGTTCGTGGCTAGCTTTCCAAATTCCAACCTTGATACACTTCGTCAACCATATATGACGTCAGAAGAGAGAAACGCTTCATTTATGCTGTCTACGACACCTGCCATCGCCCTCAACACGAGGCAGCTCGACACGACCGCTGATCTCCTTCGCGTAGGTCATTCAAGGACAGCTTGACGCCGCTTCCCCACGACATCCACCAGCTGAGTTTTGGGGATTGCGTCGGGGTAAGCGCGCATTTTCAAACGGGTATGAGTCGCCTGCTCGTACGCATACGCGTACGAGATCAGGTCAAATTCGCTGAAGGCCGTCCCCACGAAGGAGAGCCCAAAAGGCTGGTTCGGGCCAACGTCGCGGACTGGGGTCGCAGGCGAGAGTATCGCAGTAGCAGGGAGGAATCCAAGCGGCACTAGTGAAAAGGAACGTCAGGCGGTGGTCCAAGCCGAAAAAAAACCAAGAAAATGGACTGGAACAGCTTACCCGCTACAATGGGATAGCCAGCGACGGACGCAGGCGTAGAAGCCACCATGCTTGGCATAATGAGGGCGCTAAGATTGAGTGTTCGCAGCGTCGCGTCAATCCCTCGCTTGCCTCCGATGTCCCTGTTCATCACTATCGCGTCGAAGTAATCCTGGTCGACTGTGGCATTCAGCGCGGAGGTTAGTCTGGGTCCTAAGTCAGATTTCATATACAAAACATGGAGCTGGAAGAACCCACACAGATTGATCCGTCCAGTACGGTTCAACCAGCTCCTCATCTGCGTGTGCAATATTATACGCAACCAGGTCAGCAAGGTCCTTCACGCCCGAAGGTACCGCAAGCAATCCAGCGATGTAGCGTTTGAGATCCACCTATTTCGAGTACGAGCTTCAGCGTAAGCCATGCCGTGATGCGGCGAAAGCCTACCTTGAGGTCAGTGCGCATCACAGCTGTTTCGTTGGATTTGCTGTACATTTCGAACTCCTCGTGATTGACAAGCTCGGCCGGATCCACAATGGTAGCACCCAGTCTTCGCATCGTGTCGAGAGAGGCATTGAAGGCGACCGCCACAGCCTCGTTCAACCCCGCAAGCCGCCGCCGAGGCACGCCAAGACGCACACCCTTCAGTCCGTCCCGCTTAAGGGCGAGTGTATAGTCTGGCACTACGGAGGGCTGCGCGAGCGTATAGTTGTCGCGCTCATCTTGGCCGGCGAGTGCGGAGAGGAGTACTGCTGCATCTGCTACCGAGCGGGCCATCGGCCCCACCGTGTCCTGGTGCGAGGATATGGGAATGACTGACAAGGGCACGGCAATCAGTTAATCGCTAAGTGTACAGTGTCGGCATCGTTCACCTCCAGCCCTCGATGTCAACCCTACGGTAGGCTTTATTCCAACCAGATTGCCCCTGCTGCAAGGGAAAACGATCGACCCATCGGTCTCCGTGCCCAGAGCAGCTGCAGCGAGACCGATGGCGGTGGAGACAGCACTCCCAGAACTCGAGCCGGAAGGATCACCTTGCGGGACGTATGGGCTTGAGCATTGCCCACCTCGGGCGGACCACCCAGAAGGCAGGTCCCCACGTGCGTGCGACCATTCGGAGAGGTTCGCCTTGCCCAGGATGATAGCTCCCGCGGCCCGCAGCTTGGTCACCACGTGGGCGTCTCTAGGCACCACCGAGTTGAACAGAGCGAAAGACCCTAAAGCGGATGAATGTCATGTCAGATCAGCACTTGCTGCCAGGCGTTTCTGGAGGGACGGTTCACCAGCGGTCGTGTTCATTCCTTTGCGCTCATGGTGAGCATTACTACATACCATCTCAAGACAGTGCGTCTCACCTTCGCCTGCGACCGTCGCGATGTTGTCTTTGACAATTATGGGAATGCCGTGGAGTGGGCCTCGGGGCCCAGAAGCATACCGCTCAACGTCAAGTGCGCGAGCTATCGCCAATGCCATCGAGTTTGTTTCGATGATCGCTCGTAGCGCGGGTCCTTGGAGGTTCACTTCCTCAATCCTCGCGAGATAAGCCTGCAACTAGTCAACTATTGGGCTGATGCACAGCTATTGTCAACTTACCGTCACCAAATCGACACTGGTGAAGTGCCCTTGCTCAAGTCCCGCTTGCAGCTCGGCAATAGACGCTTCGTACAGATCTGGGAGGTTTGCTAGGCCCGGACTCCCACTCAACGGCAGCTGCGCACTATATGCGCCCCATGCTAGAGACAGGGCGAGGAATAAAACGGAGAAAAGACTCAATGACAATCTCAGCTTGCGAGTTTTCATGACTGAAGGCATTCCTGGTGCTGAACGCTCCGCGAGGACTGGGAGCTACGCACAGTACAAGAAACGATGGAGAAAGTGCCTTATCTCCGCAGTAGAATGCGTGGACACCAGAACAGCTACACATAGCGACAGGCGTGGTACCGTCTGAGTCATGCATATCAGATCCAGATCTGAACACAAAGGCATATGGACTGAGTTCGTGCTGACCTGGGCCAAGGCTCAACCTCATGTCATTCCTGCTTCGAGCCATGTTCCGACGATAGGGCTTCAATGGGGTCGGAACTTCGTTACTCAGGTCAGAGGTTCCCTGCGACTAGGATTGCCGGACTTGTTGCAACACATATCGGATGCACGTAGTTGCATGGTCGTGTCTAGTAGACGCAAAAGCTCGACGTACGCCAGGCGGAACAGCAAATCCAAAACCATCGATCGTGGCGTCAAGTCGGTAGGTAAATGACAAGTTCAGGTCGGGCGTCTCTTCAGTCGTGTCAAGTGGCTGCGGCCGGCAACCCTCTAGAGCTCCGAGCCTGATGTACCGTCGGATACAATATCGAGTTGGAGGAGATCACATAGTAGGGCAATCCCAGCTACTGCTATGATGTACCAGTACATTCATCATGCATCGCCCACACAGAGAAAAGCCCCAGATTAGCAGCGCTAGCTCGGCGGGGTAAGAGAGCGAAAGACTTGATCAACGCATTGGTGACTGCTACAACAAAGCGAGAATAACATGAGAGGCGGATGCGCGAAGTGCGTGCACAATGTGGCTGCATTGCGAGTGACTCAAGGGCTTTCACCCAGGCTCCAATATACATGAACATAGGTGTCCGCCCCACTCTCGGCAGCGTAGCCGTCGAACCGTATGTGAATCTGACTGTTACAGTGGAAAGATGGACGGGCTTGGATAGACTCAAAGGGTATAATATCACTGGTCCCCGAGGAGGGCTGTTCCGTCACCCATTGAATACGTTAGACCACACAACATGTTCTGGAATACTACGTTAAACGTGTCAGATGCTCGTCAGCACAGGCCATCCCTAGAGGTTCATCTAGCATGAGTACGGAGGACCATGTCGTCGACGGACAGCATATTCGCTCACCGAACTCCAATTGATTGCATTCAAGCCCAAGCTGGCGTACGTGTCGCTGTACGGCACAGGACTGTTGACAGGGATGTAGTGATAGACGAAGATGTCCTTTCCGCTCTTAGAGTCGGTGAAGATAGATTGCCCGCCGGGAGCATAAACGTTGCCGTGAGATGCCAGGACGAGTGTGCCCCCGGTATTGCGGAGATCCCGACCAGATGCATCTAGAAAGGGACCGTGCGCCGAGGAAGATCGTCCAACGAACACCTTGTACTCGTTTCCAGCCGGAGGGAGGGAAGACGCGCTGAATCCGCAGCAGAGTCCTGAAATACCGTTCAAGGCTTAAAAGACGCTACAGTTAAGTGAGATGGCGTACCGCTGCTGAAAAAGAGATAGTAGAAACTTCCGTGCTTCCAGACGAAAGATCCTTCCTCAGGTTGAGGTGAAGTCGAGTTGAATGATACCTGAACCGGTGAGCTCGTCGTGCTCTGGAAGTTGCTTCCCAGGTCGACTTGGAATATATCGCTCTACTCATTGATCAGCATACCCGTCGCCTCCCACGATCCCGAAGGGCATACCCAGAAAGAACCTGAAGGGATTGTTAGTACATAAGTAACATCCTACGATAGAGCTGTATAGTAAGAACTTACCGAAGGTCAAGACGGGGGAGCCGCCCTCATCAATTACCAAGTTTGGATCGATGGCATTGTATGCGTCGCCCGTTGTCGAGCGGAAGACTTGTCCAAGGTCTGTCCACGTCCCTGGGTCCATGCTAGGTGACGTCGCCAGTCCAATCGCGGATTCCTGGGAGCCGAACGTCGAAACAGAGTAGTACGCGTAGTACACTCCGTTATGCAACGACACGTCGGGCGCCCAAATGTCATCTCGACCCGCTACGAAGCAAGCCGTACCAGTCAGCACCATCGCTCTGCTTGCTCACAGCAACAATCACCTAAATTGATAGTGGAGTTATTCGGGAGAATAGACCCCACTGAAGTCCATGGCCTGAGGTAATGTGAGTGTGCAGCTTCCACCGGCATGGATAGACGTACCCAGCTAAGTTGGTAGCAGTGATTATACCGCCCTTATTATGGGTCGTAAACACGAAATACTTCCCATCACTAACACGCTGGACCAGACTGGGATCGTGTACGAAGAAAGAGTCGCCCGAGAGGGCTAAAGGGTCTGGAAACGCGGCAAGACTCCCTACAATGAGGGTCAAGCAGCTGATAAGTGCAGTCAGAGCGGTGAACATGGTGGGCGATAGCACCTCCCACCTGAACGAGTCAACATGCCCTATATAGTCTCCCACCTCCACTATAGCATGTTACGTCGTCGTGGAAGTCGCGGAGAAATGGTCATGGTTGTATGGCTGGTGACCATAAGGAAGGCGGAACGGGAGAGTGGGGTAGTCGTGCGGGCGGACCGGCGACAGTACACCTGACCGGACTGTCCTGCGGCGCTTACAAAAATTTGTCCCGAGAAAACGTCGTAGCTCTCATGCCGTCTCGGGAAAAGCTAACACGAGTATCCGGTCTTGAGCATTGTGTATATCACGCTTCCCGCGTGCTGTCGATTCGTAGTCAAGGAACAAGGAGTTCGTAGATTCATAGAAAGCGAACTATTCGAGTTCAACATGGCCATGATTTTCCTCAGAAAGCGAACGCGACAGTTCAATTCTCAGGGATGCACAAGGATTTTCACTGCAAGACATGTCAACCTCGCATCGCCAAGCTGAGATATCCTGTTTGGTCAGCGTACCGTGGTCGTGTTTCTCATGGACGAGCGCCATGATGCCCAACTCCACCAGATCCTCGAAGTCGATACGCCTGGTGATCAACGTCTGTAAGTCCGGGAAGCGTCCCTGTGCGAGAGCTTCAAGCATCTCAGGATGGTCATCTGCGTAACACATGCTATCTACAGGTGTTCACGTGAATTGATGTGTTCTGGTCAGAACAAAGGTTACTACGTACTGGCTATGACCACCTCCTTGATCAGTAGAATGTTCATGTCGATGGTAGGTTTCGTTGACCAGAGTGCAAGGTTCACGATTATTCCGCCGCGCCGGATGGCACCAATAGCCGTATCCATCGTCGCTTGGGAGCCGGCACAGTCGAAAACGACATCGACTCCGCGCTGATGTGTCGCCAGAAGCGTCTCCGAGAGTACATCGACTCCAATGGATGCCACGTCGAAGACTGCGGACGCGCCATGCTCTTGAGCAAACGCGCAGCGTTTGGCTGATCTTCCGGAAACGCCGACCCAACCAGCTCCGAATGCCCTTATTGTGCTGTCAGTCACTGCACGGACCAAGTATACTTGAATTGCTCGCCTCAGAACCTTGAGGAGAAGAATTCCGACCTGTAACATCGTCCGACATGAGAAGTCGCCAGCCAGAGAGGAGTTCAACTTACTGGTCCGGCACCAAGTATCAGCGCAGAGCACCCAGCGCTGACATTTGCTTTCTTGACAGCGTGCCATGCAACTGCCAAAGGTTCCATCATGGCACCAACTTCCACTGGAAAAGCAGTCAGAGATAGGGCAATCCACAAAAGGACGGTGTTCACGTGAAACTGCTGGCGGTAAGGGATGGACTAGCATTTGGTCTACCACAATGTATTCTGATAGACCTCCTCCTCCACCCGAAACCCCCTGAACCATGATGAGTCGGAGGGAGGCGTTGGTGGGCAAGATTACGTACTATGAACTTGATTTGACTGCACCAGTTTCGGGTTTTCGGTGAAGAGCAGTCCAGACACGTAGGCTGCATACAAGTGATCGTAGGTTCACTAGTGACATCACTTAGATACAATGCAGACCGACCACACCTGGGCAGGAAAGACGTACACGGTAACGTCCTGGCCCACAGACAAACGAGAGGCATTGACTGCAGGTCCTAGTTCGACGATCGTACCAGAAAATCTGGCATCCGCTGTTGTCATTATTACCTCAGCTCCGGCGATTGGATAACGTACTCATGCCCCATTACTACTGGAGGCTGTGATTCGGTGGCGTTAAGCGCGGTATCCAGTACTTTCTCATGATAGAGGTGCAAATCCGAGCCACAAACTGGGAGGTTCCGTCAGCATCATCGTACATAGCTTCTGTGTCCGACTTACTTCCACACCTATTTTGAACGAGCTCGAGTTCGACTTTGTGCTTGCCTGAAGTGCAGACAACAAGCACTCACCAAGCTATCTGCGATAAGCAGAGCTCAGATAGAATATCAAGCTAGTTGCGACTCGCAGTACAACTCACTTTTATCTTGACTTGTCCCAGACCGACAACAGGTTCTGGGATGTTGTCGAGCCGTATGTCGCCGGGACCATAATACCGCATAGCCCTCATATCAGGCAGCAGTGAATGAGAAAATGCGCAAGCGCGAGATCATCAGCTATCCCGCAGGACTCTTTAAATCGCTCCTGCCATCCATTGCTTCTCACGAACTCGGACCGGATGATACGTGAAGCCCAGCTTCTATCTGTGCGCGCGTTGAACCATGTAACGTTAGCCATGCGACACGTGGACGGCTATGTTACCACATACCTGAACTGACGGGAAACCTATCCGGTAAGGAATGGTCCTTCACAAACGCGAAGATGGAAAATATGCTATACGGGAGTCGCATATCCATACTGATATCCCAGACTAAGTAATGCCGCGCTACTATTGGAATCTCATTTGCGAAGAAAGGAACTGGGAAACTATTGTTACGAGAAGAACGTCAAAGAGACTCGATTGCCTAAACTGTCCGCAGCAACCTTCCCGGCACGACGTAGCATAGGAAGCACGTTCACTGTGATCCAGCCAGCTGGAAAACCTCATTCACCGCCCGAGCGACTAGCTGTTCATCTGGCCTCTCAGGAGGGGTGTACCTTGAGCCATATCGACGCTGCTGGTGAAGCGCGTACTCCTCGGCCCTCAGCATCTCGCGCGCTCGACTGATCTGCGCGGTCACTCGTACTCCCAAGCTCTCCGCCTCCGTATCATCGAGAGGCGTGGAACGCCGAACGAGCTCCGCGTACGCTGGACCCAGCCACGAAGGGATGTCGTGTTCTTTGGCTAGGAGGATTGCCTCAACAGGCACTAGGGACGCTCTCCTCGCCGAAAGCTCGCGGATGGCGTATTGTCGCATCTTCGTGAATTGGAGAAGGGTAGAGATACGCAGGATGCTGACCCAATCCGACAGTGAAACGGACGTTGGGTCGAAGACACTGAGATCCCACCGCCTCACGTCAGCCGACGATAGGACATATAAAGATGGAGGCGACGCACCCAGTATACATGAATCCCAAGAGACTGTCGAACGCCTGCTGAGTGATACTGTCTGGTAGGGGAATGGGACGATCGTCCGAGTGCCCCATAGCGTCAACTTCGTCCGATAACAACCCTCGGAAGAAGTCAGAGTGTTGCTCGAGCAAATACTTGTGCACTCTGTACAACGTGCCCTCAACCTTACATAATGTAAATGGTCAGTCTTGTTGACTGCGTAAGCATACGGCGCATAGGAATTTGCTCACCTTGAGAACGACCATGCCATCCTGCATGTAGAACTTCGACCGTTTCGTGCGATTTGTACTCCCGGAACTTGTGGACTCTGTTGATTGCGGCCGTGACCCCATTGCGGCGACGTTCTCCACCGATCGCCTCAAGGCCGGCAATCTAGGTCGTGAGGCGGGAGCGCCCTTCTTGCTGGGCGGAACCGGCATCTTGAGCTGGATATGGCCAGAGTTACGCACAGGGTGGGGGATGAGTGGCGGCGGCGGTGGAGGGGACGCGAAAGAAGGGAGAGCTGGGACACGGGAGACCGGCGCGGGGTTAGGTGTCCGAGCTGGGCTCGACTGGTTCGTGGTCGGAAGGCTCCGAACACCGAGCGCAGAGCTGCCGATGCTTGGGAGAGGGCGAGGACTTGAGAACAGTTCTGGAGAGGTGAAGCCAGAGCTCATGGGAAAGGGAACGGGTTTATTGTCGAGCTGTGGGTGCTGGACGACTTCCATGGATGACGATGGGCTGGATGGGCTGGGGGTGCGATTGCTGTAGTCGCCGCCTTGGATTATCAGGGGGTGCGACTGGAGGCCGCGTAAGAAATCAGGGTGCTCTGGGAGGGGCGAAAAAGTCGTGTTTGTGCGCAGCGCTGGATGCATGCCATTTGGAGGGATAAGCGGGAGGGAGCGCGCGTGAGTGGGTTCCTTGCGAGAACCAGGCGTCCACTCGTATGGCATCCAGTATGCGGGACTAGGAGGGGGCCCTGGAGAGGGAGCTGGGCTCGAGTCAGGTCCCCAGGGGGAAGGAAGTCGGCTGATTGGCTCCATTGACCCGCCAACGACGCGGGTAGCGAGATACTAGGGAATGAGAGGTCAGTAAGCGGGACAAGGGAGCCGGATGCCCACCGTGCTCATATGTAGGGAATGCAATGCAGGTGAGGCATGGTGGCTGCAAGTCGATCGTCGAGCGCCCGAACAGCGTCGCAGCGTTAGCGACTCCCCGCGACCCCCACTGCGTGTTCGCCTCACTGCGGAACAGAGGATCCGTTCACAGCATCGTGCGGAGAAGGTGCGCTTATAAGGCAGTCGTGAGGCAACCTAGACGAGCCTGCAGAAGAGGTAGCGACTACCAGGTTCATCGAGTCCGGATATACCGATTGAGGCGCCTGTACACCGTCAGCAATGAAACATCTCAACTGGAGAGCGCCGGATTATCTATCTCACCACGAACATCCTCTCATGTAGTTCTTAGAGACTTGGCTAGGGCCAGTCGAGCTAATCAACAGTGCCATGTCTTCTCGAACCTGAGTACCGAGTTGCCGCCTCCAGCGCCAATCCAGCGGGAACCACGACTTGACATGCCAATAATATCCGTACTTCCGACGTCACCGTGCAATCGCTGCCAACGCCAACGCAAACACTGTTCTGTATCATCCACTATGCCGAAACAGTATCGTTCAAGCAGGCTTCGTCTACCTCAAAAATCCCGAGACTCAGGCCGTCCCTCCATCCGATCTTGACCGCCTCGCCGATGTGATCCAAGTCAAGGTGTGGAAACACGCGATCACGTTCGTTCAGACAAGCCCGTGCGGCTTTTTCAAAGTCACCCATCGAGTGGAAGGGCGCGACGAGTAGGGTTGATAAAGATCTTGAAGTAGGATGGGGGCGCTGAAATCCTCCGATGACATTGTCACTAGGTGCACCGGCGAAGTCCAGGATTTCGACAGCCTTGGATGCATAATCTATCACAAATGAATGTCAGATTCGATGATCAAATCAGAACCGCAACTAACTATACCTGATTGTCGTACTGCCAAGAGGTGACGGGGCGGCATATACGTCTTCCAATAAATTATGCGGTAGTCTTGCGTTATCACCCCGGTGGCGCTGTCGTAAACGAGATCGTGCACTCGAAACAGAGACGGTACCACGCCTCCCTGATGCAGGACGCCAAAGAGTACAGCGAGGGTAAGGTTCGACACGATCCATGTGCTCTGCAAATGTACGTACGTCAATGAAGGTACATATACTGCGATGAATCAAGTTTTACCCAGAAGAGCTTGCCCGCGCGTAGGATACGACCGTTGCCAACCACGAGGGCTACCATTGGCGTGATGAGGGGGATCAAGAAACGAGGCTCCTGATGTGGCTGAACGGACAGCAACGTCGTTCCCGACCATCTGACCCAGACGAGCGCTGTGAGATGCGTTCAACATGGTCACAAACATGTCCAGACGATCTATGAACCTTTTTGCATTGTCTCCAGAACGCCGCGCTTGACTTTGTCTTCGCCTCTGCTCTTCTCAGCAGTGCGAGGGTATGATTGATCCCATTCGGTCCAGAACACGTAGAAGAGCAGGCCAGGAGTAGCGATCATAGGGAGATTCACGACGAGGTGTAACCAGCGCGGGTGCAGACCGTGTTCAGCGAGGTTGGAAGGAAGAAGATTATAGCGCAGGAAGTTGAGAGGGGTCAATTCGAACGATGCTATGCGCTGGGGGTAAGCGAAGTAATACGTGTCTGCACACACGAATCCCAGGCCTGTGAGCGTTGCTACGAGCACCGATGGAACAACGAGCTGTACCCAGGAGCCAAGTGAGAACCTCGACTGCCGCAGGCTCCACTTCAAAACCTCGAGGAAGACCGGCAAGAAAAACGCAACAAAGGTTATCCGGGTGAATAGGCCAGAGACCGTGACAAAAGCGAGTAATGCCAGGCTACCACTGCCTGTCTAATCCAAGGTGAGCGACACGAATCGGCTGTCAAAAATTCTCGTTCGAACCTTGGTAGGTGTCCTTGTGCTCTCATCCAGGAGCAGCTTTCGCAAGAGTAGGAGAGATAGAGCCACAAGGATACTTTCGATGGAGTTTGAGAACGGTCGGACCTGATAGGTATGCATGACGTAGGACGATCCCAGCAATACCAAAGCGAACGGGCGAGAGGATGGATGGATGAGGTGGTATATGGCATAGTCTGCAGCGTGTTTGAGATGTAAACCAAGGAGAAGTAAATGAGCACAAGAGAGGAACGTACCAAGTAGGAATGACAAGGAGAGCAATGATAGTCGCTCCGCCGCAAAGACTGCTCTTGGGGACGGTGGACCCCCTAAGTATCATGAGACATGGCCCTCATCGACATTTGTTCCTCCCGCACCTCGCGAGAGAGCCTCGACCATCTTGAACGGTATCCCAGTTGTCACCCAAGCCGGAACGATCGAACGACATGGGAAGAATGGGTCCCACTCCCACGTTGACCAGGTATGCAAGTCAAGAGTCTGGCCTAGATCATGATCTATGACTTATCTTAAAGATGTCGAGAACGCCGTACCAGCTACAGCTTCGCCATTCTGGAAGTACTCGTCCGGGTGAATGTAGCCAGTTCCAAACAGCGCAAAACCAATCCTCATGAATACAAGACTCAGGTAGACTGCCGGAAGCTTCCTTGATGATAAAAGCTTGGACATCCTGATAGTAGCATAAGAGATTCAAAGTATAGTCGTTGGTAGCCAAGAGTCCCGAGATGTGAGGTGAGGTGGTGGAGGTGGACACTTCACCATGACAAGTCCCGGCTACCTCAGGGCGCTTCGAAGGAACATGGGCGGCTATGTACCTGGATGGCCTACTAGGCGCCCATGAGTAAAGACTTTCGCCGCAACCACGACCACTTCAGTCCTTCCTTACTCTGCGATGGTGAATGTCTGATGATACGAGCGTGAAGGGACGTTAATGAGACAATTACTGACTCTCTGGCGCAGGCCTCTCTCCACTTCTGCTCCGAGTGCAACAACTTGCTCTACCCCAAGGCGGACCCGCAGCGCCGTATTATGGTCTACGCTTGCCGTATCTGCGCATATGACGAGATCGGGGAGAACCAGTGCGTGTATAGGAATGATTTGCTGACAGTGACGAGGTAAGTTGGCCATTCCCTCGTTCAACTCGAGAGGTATCTCCCATGTTCCCTGCGGGAGTATGTTTACCTGGACGCAGGGAGCAGGTTGGCGTGACGTCTGACCTTGGCTCGGATCCCACTCTGGTGCGTGCAGACCACAATTATCTCAGGGGCAGTAGCCGACCTATATGTCTCTAGGCCCACCAGAAGATGACCTGTCCAAAATGTAACAATGACGAGTATGTATCCTCCTTTCAAGGCGTACCTTACTATCCCTGACCCCCATGTAGTGCCGTGTTCTTCCAAGACCAATCCAAGCGCAAGGAAACCAGGATGATTCTCTTCTATGTTTGTACAAAATGCAATCATGCGTTCACAGACCCAAGTCTAGATCTAGAACACCAGCCAGAAATGTGATGGACGTTCTGGCCGTATCGGCAGGGCGGAAGCTACAACGCTACTTGTTATCCATCGGATTCCCACTTGTATGATAATTCTTGTATTGCTAATGCTATTCTGATGATATAGTCCAAGACCAATGCGCGTTGCCGCTTCTAACGCTAGGATGATCGGTGATGCTCCTGATGGTATGCTACAACAGGCTACGCAATACATAGTGAAACAAGAATCCCAAGGCCCGCCCGAGACACAAGATCACGCACAATTCCTTCTTCGCTCTGGAACAGACCTCTCACGCTTATCTTCACCGATCCGGCGCGAAGATCTCATCCACGACCCTCTCCACGAGCTTCGCCTCCCTCACCTGCATATCCTCCTTGCTCACCCCCTGGCCGTTCTCCATCCTCTCAACCGCCTTCTTCCACTCCGCAACCTTCTCTTCGAGAACCGCCTCCCTAGCACGCGCGAGCCGCGCGGTCGTCTGCAGGCCAAGCACCTCCGCTTCTGCGTCCTCAAGGGCGTGCGCGCGCGAGCAGAGCTCGACGTACGCCGGGCGGAGCCACGCGGGGATGCCGTACTTCTCCGCGAGGAAGACGCGCTCGACGGGGTCGAGCGGTGGAGATGCAGCGTCGAGAGCGGCGATGGCGTGCATGCGTGCTGCTGGGAAGGAGAGCTGGGACGCGGTGGAGAGCAGGAGGACGAGGTCGAGGATCGAGTCGTACTGCGGGCTGGATGCGCTGTAGGGGGTGTGGGAACAATGGTGAGCTACACGACCAACTCTCGTGGTGGAAATGATGTAATCAGACAAGACATACCCGTGGTACAAGAAGTAGAGGAGGCACTCGAACTCGCGCTTGGACACGTCGGGCAGGATGATCGCCGAGCGGTCCGTCTTTCCCGCCCCCATGACCAGCTCACGCTGGAAGAAGTCCTTGAAGTACGCCGAGTCGCGCTCCAAGAAGTAGCGGTGGATCCGGAACAGCGTGTTCTCGACCTGGCAGCGAGTGGCGCACTCTCAGTCTGGGCAACTAACATGAACCACAGTATATGGAGGTACTCACCCGAAGGATGATCAGCTCGTCTTCGATGTAGAACGTCGAGTGGCGGAGGGCAGGCTCGTCTACAGGCGACGGAGTACGCACGAACTGCTTGCTGCTGCCCGCATGAGGTTCCTTCACGGCAGTGCCCGGGGACGAACGCGGGTTTGATGAAGGAGACACGGGCCGTGTCTGCGCAAGTGTCGAGCCCGGGCTCAGCGGAATCGGAGCCGACATTGCAGTTGGGCTTGCCCGCCCGCCGCTCGAGCCACGCGACGGCGGACGGTGGCTGGTGTCCTCAGGCGCAGAACGCGGACTCTCCGCACGGGGCGAGAGTGGCTGCAGCGCGAGTGGCGACTGGGACGGGGAAGGGATGGGCGAGATGGTGGGGCGATGCGAGGAGTGCATCAAACGGTCTGGCGGGAAGAACAGTCGCTCGGCGTCGGACGCAGATTGGGGGATATCGGGGAGAGGGAGAGAGACAAGGGGACTGTGGCACAGAGGGGAGGCCCCGATGCCACTATCAGACGACATGGCCGCTGCGTCCATCAGGCGGCGCTGGGCCACACTCGTGCGCTTGACTTTATTCTTTGCAGACCTCCGCGGACTACCTCGCGAGATATGTCCGAGAGCAGGGAGTGGTGGAGGAGGCGATCGTGGCTCCTCCATATCTATGCGCTCGACGGCTGGCGTGCGCCACGGTGAGCGTGTTCCGGTGTTGTCGTCGCCCTCACTGTCAGTCTCGACTCGGGGACTGTGGTACTTCCGATACCCCTGTGCGCGCGAGGTCGGCGGCGATGCGGGGGAAGAGCGTGCCTTGGATGAGCTCCGCCGGCTAAGCGGGACGTCGCGCTCGAGGTCGTCCACAGGCGCCAACACAGTGGGACGAACTTGGGGCTCGTATGGGCCGCCATTCCGGTCCGCATATATCTCATCCCTCGTTTCCCGCGCCAAGCTGAGCATAGGGCCCAAGGCTTTTCGGAGAGGAGATGGCATCTCGGATTGCGGAGATGAGAGCGTCCAAGGGTCTGGAGATTGTGACCGAGGAGGCCGTTCAGGCTGCAGAGTGGGACTTGGAGGCGTACCCATCGTTGGAGTCGACATGGATGAGCTACCAGGGTAGGATCGCGAAGTATGGTCGTTGTCGCGAGTTCGATAGAGTTGCTGCGATGACGATGCAATGGGTGAGGCCTCGATGAGGAACTTGGTATCAGTTCGTGCGCGATGAGCAACAGAGCGGCCGGGGGAGTTCATATCGAGGTCGTCAATTGCGTATGCTCGGGATACGAGATGAGATGGACGACGCGGCACGAAGCGTGCTGCACAGTTTTATACCCTCCCTCGAGGCCTGGCCAAGGGCACGCTGTCGAGGCGTGGGCCCGCCGCATCACTGGAAGGCGCTTCCGGACGCGTGTTGTTGTCCGCCATTTCTGGGCCAGCGCCGAGCAATGCCAATTGTCCCGTGGATGGCAACAGCGGAACACTGTGGAAGGATGTATTGTGCCTTTCATCACAGCACAGTCAGAAAACGAGACGTACTGGATCGCATAACTTGATGTCGTGAACTCTGTGATGAACACAAGTCTGCGGTCGAACCTCTACATACGTGCGTCTATAAAAGGCTGGCAGTCCCAAGCGCCGACAAGCTTTGCTGGCACGCGACGGATGGAGAACTTGAAACCCAAGTGGTTCTCTGCAGTCCTTCATCAATGTTCCTCGTCCTCACCGAGTTTCTGCGGCGCTATGCATGCATGGTCCATACGTTCAACAATGAATAATACCTCCTAGATAAGTCACGAAACAATGAGCGCTTAGGCCTCTGGCGAAGCATGTCCGAGTCAACCATGCCTTCGGGCTCAACTAAGTTGTACGATAGGATCCAGTGCTCCTGCTCATAACTCGACCATGGCTACGACTATGGTGAGAACGTTGACTTCCTCGGTTCCAAAAGGCGACTCACAGGACCTCTTTCTCAGCTGCGCTAGATCTGGGAAAATTGGGGCCATTATTGTCACGGCACTCGAAGTCTGATCCCACGCGCGGTTGCATGCATATGCACAACGTCGATAAGAAGCCTGCGGCGATGCCTTCAGTCCAACGACGACCAGACGGGGGACGTGCTCGTCCTGCCGCGAACCCCCCAAGCAGCTCTGACATGTTTGTGATGCGACTGACCGTAGCTTCTCTTTTCACCCTCTTCATTGCCTTTGCGTGGGTTGGTTTCGGATTCACCAAAGAAGCGGCTCGTGCTCCAGCGACATCAGCAGCATTGGAGTTCCCTGATCTGTACGAGGCATCGATAACGGAATTGCAGGATGGGTTGCAGAAGGGCCTATTCACCAGCGTCGACCTTGTTAAGGTTGGTGGCACCACCTCTCGGCGGATTGAGCACAGCATTGATGAGGTTATCTGAATACAGGCATACTTCGCAAGGATCGAAGAAGTGAATCTTCAAGGCCCCACCCTGCGCGCAGTCATCGAGACCAATCCAAGCGCCCTCGAGCAAGCCGCCGCGCTCGACCTCGAACGACGCACGACTGGAGCCCGCGGTCCCCTCCATGGCATCCCCATTATTCTCAAAGACAACATCGCCACACTCGCCAGCGAAGGTACAGTCGCATTTACGCTGCTTAGTCCCCAAACGAGACGTGCTGACTCCACCGGACGGCGACAGGCATGAACACGACTGCAGGCTCCTTCGCCCTCCTCGGCTCCATCGTCCCGCGCGACGCACACGTCGCCGCCAAGCTCCGCGCCGCCGGCGCGATCCTCCTCGGGAAGGCCAACCTCTCTGAGTGGGCAAACTTCCGCGGGAACGTCCCCTCCGGCTTCTCCGGGCGCGGCGGGCAGGCGAGCAGCCCGTACGTGCCCCTCGGCGACCCGTGCGGCTCGAGCTCGGGCAGCGGGATCTCGAGCGCGATCGGGCTCGCGGCGGGCGCGCTGGGCTCGGAGACGGACGGCTCGATCGTGTGTCCGAGCGGGATGAACAACCTGGTGGGGATCAAGCCGACCGTGGGGCTAACCTCTAGGGACGGAGGTTCGTCCTCTGTGACAACTCATCTACGAATCTATGAGTGCGTAGAAGCATGACTGAAGTTGATGCATATATGCGCAGTGGTACCCATCTCGGAACACCAGGACACCGTCGGGCCCATGACGCGCTCCGTCACGGACGCCGCGATCATCCTCTCTGCCATCGCAGGGCGCGACCCGCGCGACAACTTCACGCTGGCCCAGCCGCCCGTCGTGCCCGACTACACCCAGGCGCTGCGCGCCGATGGCCTGAAAGGCCAGCGGCTTGGCGTACCACGCAAGTTCCTAGACGGACTCGACCCAGTGGTCGTCGGGGCGTTCAACGCGTCGCTCGAGACGATGAAGGGGCTCGGCGCGACCATCATCGACCCAGCGGACTTCCCGGACTTTGACGAGTTCGTGGCGTCGAACAACGAGACTGTCGTCTTGAATGTGGACTTCAAGGTCGGTATAGCTTGGATATATCTATTCGTCGGCCAACACACTGAAGTTTGGCTCGTGGTCAGGTGGACGTCAATCGGTACATCTCGGAGCTGGTCGAAGTCCCTACGGGAGTGAAGAATCTCGCCGATTTGATTGCGTTCAACATCGCCCATGCGGACGAAGAGCTCGTCCCTCCGTTCTGGACCGACCAGTCGCAGTAAGCCCGCCTCTCGTTCCTGTGCGCTTCGGCAAGCTCACCATTCCGATGTATGTAAACATCCAGATTCATCACTTCTGAGAACACAACCGTCGACCAGGCATTCTTCGACGCCGTAGCCGCCGACAAGGACCTCGGAGCGACCCGCGGCATCGACGCGACCTTGAAGGCGTTCAATCTCGACGCTCTCTTGCTTCCGACGGACGTCTCGTCCACTCCAGCCGCAATCGCTGGGTACCCCATCATCACCGGTGAGTGCCACCCGCATCTTGCGGCGTGGCAGGTGCCAGACGTTACGTCGTATTCGACTGACTTACGAGTACGACAGTTCCCCTCGGGTTCCTCCCGCCGAATACGACCTTGTCGCCCGCGGAGCCGACGCGCTCCGGCGGACCCAACCAGCCGTTCGGGCTGTCGTTCTTGGGGACGGCGTTCAGCGAGTTCCAGCTCGTCTCGCTCGCGTTCGCGTACGAGCAGGCGACGCACACGCGCCTCCAGGTTCTCGCGTTCCCGGCGGCGATCCCGAAGACGCAGCTTGCGGACGTGGTTTCCAAGTAGGTCCGACTATGGGATACGGGTAGAGACGGTGTGGGATACAGGAGGTGTAGTACGTAAGGTAGCGATGTAAAGTAGCATGAGGGTGCCGTCCGATCACCGATGTACCGACAGAGTGCGACTAGGAATGGCATACGTGATACAGCAGAGGTACAAGGGCGTGCTATGAAGTCCGGCAAACAAGTCCGTGGGCGAGGGCGAGTCCAACAATATGGAGTTAGATGCGACAGGTCTGTGAGTCCGAGAGCATTACAGTTCCGATAGTGTCGTGAGGATAGCGTGCGTGAGACATGAGCGGCATGATCTACCCGAATCGCAAGGTCAAATTCGTACATCTCAGTGTTGCGGGATAATTCGGGCGTACCTGATCTAAATCAGGTCGTGGAAGAGTCGTGGTGTCATGCGCTTATGGATGCGCCCGGGCGCGCCGCATATAGGTGTGCGGTCTCTGCGTAGGGATCACCGCAGGGCTATTGACGGCTACTAGGGGTTCCGCGCGTGCCACATGGTGGGAAGACACGTCAGTCAGCGGGACCGCGCCGGAGACTGTGGCCAGCGCGAGGAGTGCGACTGTTAGGAAGACGCTGAAGAGCTGCATCGCTAGATGTCTAAGTGGACACGAATCTTCAGTCAGATGGTGCTGGTAAGAAGAGTAGTTCGTGTGAGGCCATACCGGATGTACTAGACTGGGATGAGCAAAGGATGGGGGAGTAGTGCAACAGGGTCGGCGGGCAGGAAGATGGAGGAAGACGGCAGGGAGACACCGTGTAGCACGCTTGTCCGAGGTCGTATATATTGCCCTCCTGTGAAACTGGCAAACTGGCGTGGAGGCGCACCGGCAGACAAGACTTTCAAGTGCAGTAGCACTAGCGTCACGGCCACGGGCGAGCCGGAAGTGCGGGTATGGAGGGGACGCGCCGAGGGCTGCGCTCGAGGCTGTTCTTGACTCGAGCTCGGGAACACGTCGGCGTCACTGCACCGGCCTTAGACGGGCACGTTCCCAGTCGTCTCCGACACCCTGCGAGTGGCGGCGGCACGGTATGAGACAGGGTTGCTGGGAGACACGGATGAAGGAAGGACAAGCACTCAAGCCGGGAGACTCGGAGTTCGCATACAGAACGGCCGTGAGAATAACATACCGAATGGAGCGCCTCGAGTCCCGACACAGCGCGACGCCGAAAGCCCCTCGAGGTTCCGACTAACTCGTTGCTGCCCCAATCAGTGTCGAATATCTAGCATACACATATTCTAAAAGATGGTAAACGGTTATCGCATATCGGTGCTGCTCTCGTATATATGAGACTGTCGGATACAAGGCAGGGAAGGGGCGAGGTACAGAACAAGCAGGAATGATTCGTATAGGAGGTAGGGGATTATCAGTACCAGCCAAATACGTGCAACTCATTACGGATCACGTTCTCGATCAAATAACGGCACTCGAACATCAATTCGACACATTGGCCACCTGCGTGGTCTCCTGCCCCCTGAGGTTTCCTCATCGCCTAGTACGCCTGGATCGCCCATCATTCCATACCGCTGCCTCCAGCGCCGATGAGGGACGCCTCATCCTACCCATCCACATCGTCCTGCATCCGCTCGCCGCTGTCTGATGTAGAAGAATCAGAGGCCATGTAGCTGCTGTCCGATGAAACCACCCTTTGGCTTGTAGGATCGGGATCCTTGTAGTACTTGACAACCAGGGAGTAATGCGACGCCCATACGAAGTCCACGCCGAGCTTCAAGGCGAAACTCCGGTCTCCCGGGGCAGAAAATATGACCATCTGTTCGGAGAGCGACTGCCATGTTCGGAAGTCGGACCAAGTTATTGTGCTAGGATCTGCGCTATACGCCTCCTCGGGAGATGCGAGCAACGTGCTGGACACTAGTCCGATATGAGCGACAATGATCAATTGCCCCTCCACGAAGTTCTTCCGATCTAAGGTGTAATCATACCGTATGGAGATGGTGTGATCAGTGCTGGAGAGCGTGAGCAAGTGAGACCTCGGAGTGTCCTGGTCTGGCTCCTGTAGATTGACGAGATATCCGTGTCGCTGTAAGGCGTCGCGAGTGCTGGCAAGAACTCGAAAGCTGAGTGTTCGCGGAAACCAGGTGCGTGGTGCCCGTCCGGGTGTATCCGCGGGACGCTCAGGGTGAAACATGTACAATGTCCTGACCTCCAGATGAGGACGACATCGTGCGATGACTGCGGGGGACAAGGCGAATAGCCTCGGGTATCTTTCTGGAGAGGCTCGGTCTGCAACACAGACATAACCGCTAGACAAGACTTGAACGTCAGAGCTCACTGAATAGATGCGACAGACACGGCCGAGGAGATGACCTGGCTGATCGGCGTGTTCGCATCGTAGGATGGCCAGGTACCAGCCTTGGGGCACTTTGCGATCATATCTCGTCCAGGATGGGAGGTAAAGTGACAGGGGGATCACAGGGAGCTGAATGCGAATGCCATAGGAGGAGAAGGTGTAATCGAGGGCAGGGGGTATGTCGGAGAGCCCGATCGATCTCAAAAACTCTTCGTGAGCAATCGCCCGCGTCTTGGCCCCGTCCTCGAAAACATATGGAAGTTCGCCAAAGAAGGATGTGATGTTTTTGTTCTCCCAGTGCTGAGTGACGTATAGACGGGGATACTTCTTGGATGTGGTCGGCCGATGTTCCTGTAGCAATGTCTCCGGGCCTCTGTAGATTGATCCAGCAGCGAACAGACTTTGATCCGGGATACGCCTCATGATCTCCTCTTGTAGCCGTCGAAATGCACGCTCGTTGCCCTCCCCATAGAGCGCGGGCAGGTGTATGTCAAAGAGTCCCAGCAGCGAGTACGCCGTGTCCTCAGGCCTAGTCGCCTGTCGATTGGCGGCCCAGGAGAGCCGCTGGGCAACGGAAAACTCGTCGAGCGACTTCTCCCGGAGTAGAGCCTCGCGACTGATGCCAGTGATATCCTCGACAAGGTCGGCCAATCTATCCCGCGACCCAAGAACACTCCAGTCCTGGCACAGGAAAATCACTATCCGGGGCGCGATGAGCTCCTGGAGCGTCCACGTGCGCTCGAACCAGCGCGACTCGCGGAACCGCGAGTCTGGGGCCGCAGGGTCCTCTCCGGGCGGGACGTCGACGAGGAATGCATAGCACACGACCGCCCCCGCGTACCAGGAGTACATGGAGTTGATAGCCTCGGAAAGCTCCGAGCTGCTACTCTGGTCGATGCAGCAGGAGTCTATCCAGATGAACGCGATGCCGTTCGCTCGTGCGAAGGCACACGCCCCTCGGATTTTGGGTGAGAGGTCATGGTCGTCCCATATGGAAGGTGAATCTGCGGTCATGAAGTCATTTATGGATCGCGAGGAAATCGCGAATGGTTCCAGTACGAGGTGTGGGGAGTGTTGGGATCGAGGGGTGTATGGAGAGCTCGGATGTTGTGCTGCGGTTGGCTGGAGATCATCGGGGACGGGGTAAAGATAGAGATCGCAAAGGCAGCGAATGAGTCGCAGCACAGGCGAGAGGATGAGGAGGAGCGCTCGCCATAACCTCTTGAGCGACCGATCGAGTCGCAGTCGTTCCAGTGTTCGTGGAGTACAGGGAGATTCTGAAGGGATAGCGCCTTCTTCCAGCAAGCTCGTGCGATCACCGAGGAGCGCTGTGCGTTCGGTGGGGAAGAGCATCTCATGAGCAGAGGATGTCATTGACGATAGCACACCAGATGGGCTCGCAGCTACAGGTGCCGTGGAGAACCTTCCTGAAGGATCAATGAAGGACGAGGCAGGAGGCAGGACACCGGGATATTCCCCATCCCGTACCCATTGAGGTGTTTTGCCGGCAGGATAACGCTTCTGGATCTTCTTCAGCTCCTTGTACGTCTGCTCGCCCTCCTCTTGGTTCCATGTATGAGACAAGATTGCGTATACTGTGTATTCAGGTTCGCATCCAGAAACGAACTGTCCCGTCACGGTGTCTAACAGGCGCATCGTTTATAGATCTGTGGATCGATATCTAGTCAGAGGCCGTGACGTGCTATGAAAAGGCGGACAAAATGCTGGATAAGGGCATTGCCGTACGGACCAACGCATATAGTGTCTTAGCTCTGAGATACCATCCAGACGAGGAGACGATGTCAGACGGCAGCGAAGGAGTAGCGGGGGATTTGGAAAGAAGGTTGGATGACCTTTTGCTTGCAGCTCACATGGGAGGCACAGCTTCCGGTAAATACAAATGGGCAGGACCCAGGAGGGCGCACCTCTAGTCGGACTCGAGATGAACGTGAGAAGCATCATGATCGGTAAAAGGAACAGGTAGATGATGCGCCTAGTTTGCCCAGGTGTCGAATGAAAGATTATGTAATGGGGATATGCGTCCCTTGAATCCAGGTAGACAGGCGCGCGATAGGCGCGCGGTGAACTGAGCGAACGACAAGGTTTGAACGCCCTGTAGACTCTTGGTACGTTCCTGCAGTGGTCGTCCGTGCGAGGTACGGAGCCAGTACTGAGAGCTACTACTGTGGCGCTTAGGGGCGAGCAAGATGGTAGCAAGTCAAAGTGACGCCACTCACCTTGACTCATTGAAGACATAAAGAGGCATCCGGGCATGACTTGCTCAGTTAGACGAAGCGAGATTCGGATTCCGTACACAAATACAATACTATTACGCGCGTAGTGCTACAGATGTTACATTGATACTTGGATTGCTTTGCTTTGCGACAGCGGTCAAGAATGTGGCCCTTCATGCCCAATAACTTAAGCATGGTTGTTGGTCTGGACAACTCTAGTCAATGAACCAAATCCGAGAGCAACGAGGGTGAGAATACATACGTTGGCATCAGTCACGACCGGGACGTCGTACTTCGGCGACGTCGACAGTGCCGGTGCTGTGCGCGCGATAGACCCAAGGTCGGTGTTAGGCGACTTCAACGCCTTCTTGCGGAACTCGATACCCTGCTGAACCTCTTCCGGACTCAGAGAGCTCCCGTGTCGTTGAGGGGCCGGGCGCTCTGCATCGTTATTCACAGAGACTGCGCCTGAGATAGGATGGCCGCATTTAGTATTCCATGCGCCCATTCAACAGAGCGACGAGGGAAACAAGGGGAACGTACTTGTCGCCTCTTCAAACTCGGCCTCCTCATCTTGAAGAGCGGCTTGCTCGATCTCAAGCTCATCCTCGATACGACCCCAGTTGTGGGGGCCGGCACCCTTCTTGGGGATGCGCTTGTCCATGCCGTTCTTGGCCTGCGAACGGTCCTTGTTGACGGCGTCAGGGTAAGATGCGCGCTCGGTACGAGTCATGGTGATATGTGCGAGGTATACAAGTGTGTTGAAGGCGAGTGTAGAAGTGATAAGAGCGAGACAAGTAAACCCTAAAACGGTGATGGTGGTGTGAAAGCAGAGGGGCGGATAGTCGGGCGAGTTATATACTGAGTGGGGTCTGGTGCTGCGCCACCCCGGTCACCTTCGCGAGCATTCGCTCGCGTGACTACAGATGTCGCCAAAGAGGAGCGAGCCCGTGTCCGGGCGCGGTGTCACATTCTGGGACTTTCGAAGCTGCCGCCGCGCGCGAGGTGACACAAGTGTTCTAGTGGTCCCGCCCAGTCTAGTGCCCTCCATTCAGTTTTGGACCATCGCGTGAACACTCGACCTGCTCTGGGCTCCTACGCAGTCACGGTCGCTGCTTCCCCTGAACACGTCAATCACCCTTCTGTATGTTGCCCTGCTGCCGTATGTCATGTCGGCTATCTCCCTGCGGCTGAATGGATGCTGTAGTGGTGAAGGATGGCTGTCGAGTGCGGTGCGGACGCGGGTGAATGCGGTCACAATGGGGGCGAAGAATGGAGCCGTGCAAGGTCATCGTGACCCAACCGCGGCGATGACCTATGCGGGGAAACGTGGGAAGCCTCAACGTCGCCATCCGGCAGACGCCGCCCTCGTACCTGGAAACTCGGTAACCTGCGCTGAGGGACCCGGAACACCCCTCCTGCAGCAGGCTTCGCTGCTCGAGAACGTCTGTCTTCACTATTGTCGGCGAGTTCCTTAAGCTTCGTCTTCTCGGCTTGTGAACGATCCTATCCTTTAGGTCTTCTTGGTTTCGACGCTCTGACTGGGAACGACGACCTTGACGACCGCTATTGTCCACAACTATCCCGGACCGTGAAATTTGGCGAACTTGTACACGAATATGTCGAAGCCCGTAAGGAGCCCCACCGATGTTGCCCAGGACATCATCCGTCCCACCGAGGAGGTCAAGGTGGCGATCGACGCGCGGACGGCGCCCAGGGCCGACGCCGACTCGGAGACCTGGACGGTGTCCGAACACGAGCCTCCCGTGCCGAGGAGGAAGATCCTCGCCTTGGTCTCGCATCTACAGCCGAACGGCCAACACGAGCAGGGATGGTGAGTGTCTGCACATTTGCCTGAGTTGCGTTGGAATGTCGTTTGTGAACGGATGGAAGTACACCATGGGTCATGTGGCCGCACTGCGTGAGTAGAAGTGCAGAACTTGACCGTGAGGAGGGGGGACGGGGTTTCGCAGGGATGCGTCGTGTGCAGGTGTAGGTGCTCACAAGAGTATATTCAGAGGCTTGGGCCTCCTGGACCCGATCGCGCGCTGAACGATCTTCCGGACCTTGCGCGTACTCACACGTGCATATACCCGTCGTGCCCTCAACGTGGTCCTGTGAACGCTTGTTTGCCGTACAAGGCCACGCGTCAAACGCCCCCTCCTCAGACTCTTCACAATGAAACGGGCCACCCATCCGATCACAAGGCGCACAACTCGACAAGAACTTTGGGGATTTGTGCGCCTGGTGCTGTTTGACACCTACAGAAGCCCCCGGCGTGGCCGACGCTGGCGTCGCGTTTGAGATGTCCATGGGCGTGGCTGTCTGGGCGTATCGCTTCTCTGAATGTGGTTCGTACGCGATGCGATATTGAGCCGTGCTTCGCCAGGCTGCGGGCCTAGTCCGCATACAGTCGAGTACGTGGTGATGTCCTCGACGGGTTTCCTACGTGGAACTGGTCTGAGCGCAGAAGAGCAGGCGGTGGCCTTCACGACGGGTACGCAAGTGTGCGTACATCCGACGCTGTCGGCAAAACCGTTTGTCCGTGCTCGGAGCGCGCTGCGCGGACGGGCGACCTCCACAAGTTATAGCGTCGAGAGGTTAGCGATATGTGTTTCTCGAGTCCTGGTTGGGCAGATGGATGGGACGGTGAAACACTTATGGGCGTGCACGAAACGAGACGTCCTGTGCTTGTGTCCGAGAGCCACAGCTGCGTCGGAGGGCTTCTGTTGTCGGGGTCGCTCCTTCCATCGCAACCGGCTCAACATAGGTGCTGACGACAGACGAAAACGTGTGCTTGTGGTCCTTGTGGTTGTGCCTATTTGCATTTACGAACGTATCACCGACCATTTTGGGCTATCGGTAACTGACGCGTTTCCACTCGTAGCGTATTCGTATTGTTGCAGAGACCACCGCGCATACAGTCTATACCCGACGAATACGTTGTGGAGCACGCCTTCCCTGTGTTGCACAACTTCTCGATATCAATGGCTCAGCCTCGTCAGACCACAGTGGATCTGTCGTCGCCGCCGCCGGGAAGCACGTTTGCTTTGGACCAGCCGAAAACAGGTATGTCTATGTTCAAAGTCAATCAACACGGACCTCCTCGTCCTTGTGTCCGAGATGCTTCGGGACTGTCAGTTGGATCTTGGGGTGTCTCTCTCGCTAATTTAGCGAAGTAGACGTCTGTTGGTAGTGCTCGTAACGTTGTTCCGCCGTTGCCACATCTATTATCATCACAGGTGTACTGTGTAAGAGCTCATGAGCAGCATCAGTTCTCAACAGTCTCGTCATTTATTATGTTGAAACTCGTCCCAGAAGACAGTGGGTGGGCCTTCCACAGTACAATTACTCGCATTCACGCGAAGCGCTACGTTATGCGGCCTTGAGCTATCATCTGAGCTCGTATACACCTAGCCCCTTTCTCCATGCGCGCTTCATGTCTCATCATGCGCATAGGTAGCAAAGAGATGCCATTTTCCACGCGCATGCAGAACAGAGCGATACCCTGACGATGAACCTTGTGGCGAGTAGGGCGTGTCCGCGAACTTGAAAGCAACGCGAAGTGACAGGAATATATGGAGAGCTTCGTGGCGAGGACATATGGGACCCCGTGGGGAAGTCCTCACACCCTTTGGAGCATGCACGGAAAGTCCGGAAAGGGTCTCTGCGCGGTCTTTCCTCTCTTTCCCGTACGTGACAACGGGCACGCATCTACCTCAATGTTTAGTGACGAGAAGTACTAGTAGCCAACATTACACAAAGGACGTTTGGATAGCTTTGCAGACTATCTGACCAGAATCTCAGAGCTCACCGTTACTATTAACCCTGGAGAAGATACCCCATTTTCGTCCGTCACCCTTCACACAACCGATACCCAAGGACTTCGTCTCCTTCTGGATGAGTGCAGACGTCTGAAAGAAGCTATCAGTAAGTTGTCGCTCCCGCGGATTACGTGATGGGCTGACATCCTGCTCAGCGGCAGAAACGGATGATGATTACGACTTCGAACCTTTTGCTTGGATAGCGCCCTACGTCGCCGACCACGCTGTCCCGCCGCTTCGTATGTTTTTTGTCCGTTATAGAGATGAAGTTTTTGATGATCGGCTTGAACAGTTTCTTCAATACCTCCTGATTTGCGGAAGTTGCAGATACCCGTTCATGCCCGTTTGTCTCCTGCAAGCGCCGGCGTGCCCGGGAGCGATCTCTCCGACATTGAGGCGATTCGCGAAGATTGGCTCCGTGAAAGGATGCAGAAAGAGATTTTTGCTGTCGGGGAGAAGGCCAGGCTCAAGTACGTTCTACCTGACGCCGCATTCGCGAATATGAACCTAATTGCCATGCTTCGCAGGATCCGTATTGGCACGTTCAATGTCAATGGTAAACTCCCTTCGCAAGATTTATCGGCATGGGTCCGCGACCAGATCACCTTGCCAGCATCTGCTCTCATTCCGCCATTGAAGGAGATATCACCTTTGTCAATTGGCGAAGATCGAAAGAACCCTATAGAGGAGCAGCTGGGTTGGTGTTTACGTTCATGATCTCATGCGGTTGGCATCAACATCATCCCACTCCAGGTGTCATAGACCCTGGCAACACAATACCTTCGGGAATCATACCGCCGGATTCAAGCTCGTTGGCTGCCTCGTCAGACTCCAGTGCTTCTGGTGCTACTGTCGTGGACACAATATCTGAGGACACGACTGTTTCAGACCAACCTCCGGATGTCCCTGAAGACCCTAGTGATCCCGACATGCTGGTTTTAGGTTTCCAGGAACTGGACTTGTCAGCAGAGGCTCTGCTCTATTCAACCGGGACGGCTCGCGAGGACAATTGGTGCATGGCAGTGTTCGCGGGATTGGGCGAGAAAGCTGTCCTATACGAGAAGGTGAGCGCCCAGACACATTCCTGGCTGTGGCGATACTGGGGCTTCGGCCTAGCTTGTTCCGAGTCGCTGACACCGCTCTCACAGCTCGCATCTAAACAACTGGTCGGCATGTTGTTGGTTATAATCGTCAAGAAGCGCCTCCGGCCTAATTTCACTGATGTACGGACGGCCTCCGTAGGGGCGGGGATAATGGGGATAATGGTTATTCTTGTGCAGTGGTATTCTTCCCCACACGACCTGACCTTCCCCTTTCAGGGCAACAAAGGGGCGACAGCGATCCGCGTCTCGTTCACGCCGTCACCGTCACCGCCCGCTAGCTCGGGGTCGGAAAGCAGGCCGACCGCCCTCGCCTTCGTGAATGCGCATCTCGCGGCCTTTGATGAAATGTACGAGAAGCGCAACGTCGATTTTCACGATCTATGCAAGAGGCTTGTTTTCGATTATGCTAACTCCGGGGATGATATTGCTTCAACCGGGAGCTGGTACACTCCAGCGGCCGTGCCGCTTGGCATCTTCGATGCGGATGCTCTGTTCTGGCTAGTGAGTGCGCTCCGAAGTCCTGTGTTCCGTGTGCATGTCGGCGAGACGCTGACTGCATCCGATTGGGATTGCTGTAGGGTGGTAAGACCTTATTCTAATCCCGCTGAGTGCGACGGGGCGCTCAGACCTATCGACGCCTCCAGACTTGAACTACCGACTTCTGTTACCAGATGCAGATGTACGGAGCTTGCTGGCAGACTATGAGCTGCGGGACGAGAACTTCAGGGTCTTGCGAAGGTTTGATCAGGTCTCACTCGAAATTGTATTCAATGTGCGTCACTGCGCTAACGGATCTTGTTGGCCGCAGCTGACCACTGCGATGAGGAGCAAGAAGGCCTTTGATAGCTTTATTGAGCGTCCGATCACACATTTGCCGTAAGTTCTCCGGAGACGCTGTCGCGGATGTAGCGGTGGATTCAACAGCTTACTATTTGCTTGTTCCCAGTTCATATCGGTTCGGTTCGGGCATGCTCACCGATGGTTTGGGTTATGACATGAAGTGCGTCTTTCTGCCTACTGGCGGTTCTCGCACGGGTCTTAAATCTATACCCGTCGCATGACCATAGGCGCAAGCCTGCTTGGACAGATCGTATCCTCCACATGACCTCCAGGGCAGTGGTCGTGAAACAAGAATCATACACGAGCCATCCAGCCATCACTATGAGCGACCATCGACCAGTATCAGCAGCGTTCGAGCTCGAGGTGATATCCTATTCTTTCAGTCGCCGCAACCTTTCCGCTCCTTTGCCTGACATTTACATCCGAGGCTTCCCGATTGCAAATGCTGAACCGCTTGTGGTGTAGGGACCGGCCGTTAGCGTCGCCGAGTACGAGTCGTTTATGCAGCGCGTCTGGCGGGAAGTCTCAGGAATAGAGTACGCGGAAGAGCGACCACGACTCAGAGTAACACCCAATATAATCGACTTTGCACGGATAGGGTCAGTAACAATCTCGTCATCCGATGCCGGGCACATGGCAGTGCTGACAGAACCTTTTTTCAGCCACAAGCGCACTGTGACGAGGACCCTGGAAGTCGCAAACATTGGGAAGGTGTTAGAACCCGCGGTGTTACGCCCGCATCAGCTACTGACTGCCTCGCGCAGGTGCCATGTGCCTTCCGTTTCGTCTCTCAGAATTTTGCTGCGGATGCTTGTGAGTCCGCGCAGTGCCCTACTGAGATTTACGCCTGAACAGCTGCCCTTCTCAGGCCCGTCTTGGCTGCGCATCGAAGCAATGGCTGTTTGTATTCAACCCACTATATACCAAATCATACTTATCAAACACTATCCCATCTCTTCAGGGCCTTGTCCTACCTGGAAAGAAGACAGAAATAATTCTCACTGCGTATGTGGATGACGCAACAGCAGCACAGCTCAATCTCGGCAATGCGCGCCTTGAGGACACGCTTGTCCTGCATACTGCGCTCGGAAGAGACTATTTTGTGGCCGTATCGGGAGACTACGGTAACATCATGTTAACATTTTGCTCACGGCGTGCCCCTGATTTGCGGCTTCAGACCGTACTTGCTTTGCGACAAGTATCGCATGGCTCGTGCGTCTTCCGGGACCCGTTAGGGCACTCCAGGCTCCGAGCGACCTCCTTCCTGAGGATAAAAGCGTCAACGCGCCCCGGGAGATCATGCGGCTTATCAATTGGCTCATGAGTAATGGGACGCAGACGGTAAGGAGCTATGTAGCTTCTTGCCGTGTGACTTGGAGCCCCTTGCTCACTGACTGCGGATTCAGGACGGCTTGTTCCTGACGCCCGGCGATGAGGAACTTGTGCTACGAATCCGCGAGGTATGGATACAGCATTTGTGCGGTGCGCATCGGGTCTCTAAGAGTCACTCTAGGACCTCGATACAGGCGAAGAATTCAGCTTAGAAGTGACCCAGAATGACTCTAAAACTACGCTCGCGTTCGCGGATACGCTTCTTCGGCTCCTAGAGTCGTTGACAGACCCTGTCATACCTAGCTCCCTGCATGCGAAATGCGCGCAGATCACCAGCCGCGATGAAGCCTTTGAGGTATTCAAATTGCCTTTCTTTGTCATCCATAGCTCACTTCCCACCCGCAGATACTCGATCAATTCCCCGTCGTCAATATTAACGTAACCCTTCGCATTGTAGCATCCCATCGAATACTAACAAGGCCTTGCTTTGTCTCAAAAAGGTTTGGATATCGCTCACTGCATTCCTCCACTTCATCGGACAACGAGAGTCGTACCAAACAAAGATCGAACACCTTAGTAAGTCCGATTACCCCTGCCTCCCTGTCGTGGCCCCGATCATTAAGTGTTCCGCGAATCTCTCCAGTCGCTATCTTCACGTCGGTGCTCCTCCGCGACGATCTAAACTCCCTGATGCCGGTCTCGATAACCGGCAAAAGGAATTTCCTACGATACTTCATTGGGTGAGATCCAACCGGGTGATGAGATCTACTAGGCGGGGGCTTTGTGGCGCGGAGAAGAAATATGATATTATGCAACGCATTCGAGTCTTTTCGCTAGCATTTTTGAATCGGCGCCTCCCCCGTTCCCCACCAATGAGGAGCCCGGATCCCTTGCTCTAACTCGTCTGCGAAAGGATTCTATTAGGTGATTATCTATAGTACTGAGTTATGGCTCTTATAATCTCTATCGAAACTGTAGAAAGCAATGGTAGAAAGCGATGTAGACGCGAGTCAGGTTGGTTATTGTTTCGGACTGGTAGCAAGGATCGGGTTAGCCTGGACTGAGAAATCAACAACCGGAAGTTGGACTTGCATCGGGACATAGGTGCATGGAATCCCTCTTCTTTGGCAGTTGGCACAAGTTTGGCGTCCGTCGCATTTCAGTTTGCGGCCTAGTGACCACCCATGTCAGCTATTGCCAAACAAGCGAAGATCCCTTGTGTGGACCTCTGCAAAATTGACAGGCCATTGGAGTACGACGAGGTGTCCTGGGCATGTCGTAGACATCGTCATCGGATTCTTGATTCTGAGGCTGTTGACTCGTTCCCGCCTGCATAACAGTTAGATTTTGACACTTGAACATCATGGAAGCGGCGTGGCCCTCACCTGAGTGCTCATGGTGTTGATCTGAATGGAATAGAGCAGACGAAATCAAGTAGAGGGATAATGAGAGGTTGCAAGGCCTTGGGGCCTATATGTATAGAGCAGAAAGCGCTTCATTTGAGCGGCCGTAGCGAGCTTGACACACCCGCCTTCTGGTTTCTGTGTCCAGGCGTTAACATTCGGGATGCTAAGGAGCCAAAACGGTTCCGCTCATGCCTGTGCTCGGGCGTGTGCCAATCCTCGTCCCTGGCTATGGAGGAAATTTCAAGATCCGACGACGACGAAACAAAAGTGCCTGTTATGGTCAGCAAGCGAGGCGCATATGGTGATTAGTAGACCTACCAGACTCGTCAAGGAAGGAAACGATTTCAGATGGTGACGTTTGGCTCAAACTAGCGAGGGCAGGACTCACGGGACGCTTGTACCAACGTATTGTACTTCCTGACATATGTCGACTGAGTCATCGAAGCGAAGGATAAAGTCCTTCCCGAACTCAAAAGAAGCCTCCTAGATCTGCGGGAAGGAGCTTCGCCGTGATGAAGTCAAATGGCACGCTGAGGTCAGGGAAACGGACGCCGACAAGAGTCTTGCAACACCGCCCCATCACGGCGGCAAGGGATGCTCCGATACCGGCGAAACGTCATGTAATCTCATTGTGTATCCACAAAGACTGCTGTGAAAATAGTTGATGCTGGTCGTCAGGTAACCCTGGGAAGAACGTAGTCCACGAGGCTTAGTGTCACCCAGGAGGTATCGACGACAGGGCAAAGCAATGAGCTTTCGCGTGTCGGGCGTGCGAGGACTACCTCCGTGGGGATAGGCTTTCGTCGTGTCGTTGGAATGGAGCCATAATGTCTCATAGTCCCACCTGATATGACACCTCAGAGTGCATCGACTAAGTAGACGTAGAAGTAGAACAGACATCGTCCAAATTAGTAGTTGCCACGAAGCGTTCAAATCAGCCTGCCAAATCAGTCGGTTGAAGGTTCGTGCTCCTTACCTGCAAAATCTAACGCTTTGAACGCCTCCTTGGCGTCGCCCTGCACGCGCAGCTGCACGTCATGTCTCGAGTCACAGCGGTTTGCCTTACCGTAGGAGTCAGGCAGCTAGGCCGAGTAAGATCTCGTAGACGCGTGTTTGGTACGTTTCTTACCATAGACAATCCAAAACCCACTAAAAAAGTACAGTAGGAAGGCGGTATTTCATTACACATGCCTAAACTGCGGATTGGCAAGCACCATGGGCGCTACGATCAGCGGAAGATGAGAAATTCAGAAGCTCTTGAGCTGGCGTCGTCGTATGCTGGAGGCGAATAAATCCTTGGCCTGGGCCCTGCCGCGTACGCCGTCCCAATGACCACAGGTAGCTGCTGAAGAACCGCTTCAGCGTCACCATCCGGTTGGAACGCTACCGCCTTGGGCGCGTACACCGCGACCGAATACTGCGCCACAATGGCATGCGGGAAACCTTGGGTGAACGCGGGAGAATCCACTGGAGCAGATACACTCACGGTCAGCTCGAACTTGCCTAGGTGACAGGTCGGCTTGAGCATTGAAGGGAGATGGATCTCGCCATGTAGGACACGCTTGTGCGGGTTCCGCGAGCTGTCAGGCCGCCACACGGCGGTCGCGAGCCCCTGGACTGCGCGCTCGTAATCAAGGCCGGGAAGCCTCTTTCCGCCCAGTGGAGTCACAGAGAGGGAAGCTTCACCCGTCGCGATCTGCCGTAACAATCGGACAACGAGGCTACGCGGCGAGGAAAGCAGATCCAGGGCTTGGGGATCGGTCGTCTCCACGGTCATCAGGCATGGAATGACGCTCCCGCGCGTGTAGGTGAGCTGGAAGGGCGCGATCGGCCGTGTCAGGGTGCACCACGATCGCGTCTATAACGTGAAGGGCAGGCACGTACCGGCTTGGCTAATGCAAACTGCAGCCCAGATCGTTGCGGCGCGTGAACATGGGTACAGAAGACGCTCAGGAACGCATGGTACGGGGCCGTCTGTGAACGCACCGTGCATTTCGCATCGACCTCGCGCGTGGAGAAGACAGAGCCTCGAACTTGGAGCGGCTCAAGACAGTGCCATCCCTCTGGATCGGCTTCCGGTCCGGGCAATGGCGTATTCTCGAGGTAGGCAATCTGTCGCGCTATCGAAGGCGCCTCTGGCCTAATAATGGGGATATAGCCAATGATGGTGCTAATACTTCCGCGAGAGTCAGCAAGAAGGAGCGATGTGGGGAAGACGCTTGACAGAATACGTACCTGTTGTCTACGCGAAATCGGCTCCGGTGAACGGTTGCGATCACTTGATACTGTATGTGGACTCTTGCTAGCCGTTCGGAGAAGGAACCCGGAAGGGGAAAAGTCTCTGCTGTGGCAGTCGGCAGCCTCACTTGGCATACGGGAGGCAACGTCAATGAGAATGGCCAACTATGTTCCCCTACGAGCTTGCTAGCATTCTGGCTCCCGCTCGGGGATGACGGCTCTGGGGGCGCGGATGACTTCCACAGAGTTTCCGATACTTGCACAAAGTTCAGGATTTCTGTGACCGAGGACGTCATCTCACCGATGGCCTACATAGCACGTCGAGTCAGCCAAGGTGACAAGCATCCTTCTAAGGCCTACACGGGACCACTACCGCAGGCCGGCGCAATGTTTGACCCCAATGCCGATGCGGGCCCCCACGACATGTCTGAGGGCTCGTCTCACCTGTACAGAGATGGCTTTGATAGACTCTTCCTTCGTGAGGTCCAGCGTCACAGAACCCTTAATCGGCTCGCCTTCGTAGAAAGACGGAAGAAAGGTAGATGCCGGTGCATTGCTTATTACCTTGAGAGTCAACCAAGGGCGGCCCTTTGAGCTCGTGAGATGATATAAATGCTCCACCGGCGTGCGGGTAGACAGCGAGGGACTGGAGCTGAACGAATTCGCGCCCGCACTAGTCCGGCGGTCTCGGCGTAGTGTGGTAGAGTGTGTGCGGGCGTAGTGTGGGAGCTCTGGGTCCATCGTGGTACGGAGGCTAAGTGTGGTGCTGGAGCCCGGACAGATGTGCAACAGCTGTACATGTGGCGTTGAGGCTATATGAGGGACCGGGTGCTGCTCTCCGATCTGGTCTGTCGACTCGGGGTGTTGTCCATCTGTCTAGATAGTGGCGTGTGTTCCGGTCCCAGCGTATCTTCCCTTAACCACCACGAGGTTCCAAGAGCCAGGTGGACACAAAGTGAAGAACCTGGGAGGAAATAGTTTGCGTAAGAGAGGGCAGGGTTAGAGTTGGGGAACATGAAGTCCGGATGCGATGCCTACGGAGAGGTGGAACGATATCTCAATGCACTGGTCTGGGTTCTACACTGTCTCCACACAGACATCTTCGTCGGTCACTTCGGGCAAAAAGGACTACCTACCACATGGGTGGTTGATTGAGACATGGGCGCGAGGCCAGGTTGTGTTGTGATCGGTGCGCCACGCGCACTCTCACACAGATTTGGATATTTCTGTATTCAGTCGGATAGCTTTCCATGAAACTCTAATTCCTGTATTACATAAGATATTGCACTGAGTTTCGTACCAAATATGGAGATCAGCCCTCCCCGGCGCGGCGTGTTGACCTTCACATTTCCCGATGACTGCTCAGGCTCAGACCACAGGGACTGTTGCATGCGTGAGCATGAACACGCGGCCCACGATAGTGGGGTTGGACCGCATGGTGCACGTTTCGCCGACCTGATAGGGTAGGACGCTCTTTTGTTCGAATCATCCTCGAGGCGCGCGTTCTGCGGCAGGCGTCTCTCGGTATCAATACGCATTCTCAGTGAAGCACTCTTGGACACCGAGCTAAAATTGTAGCAATACTGGCCTGCTATGTAGGTTGATACTCTGCTATTTCGGTATGTGCTCGTTGAGTGGAGTTGGCATCGTCGAAGTCAGTTTGATGGATTTCATCTATGGTGGGCAATGTGGTTGAGCTGTCTCACTTGATGGGAGCGGACCCAACCACTAATAGTAATGAAATAGGCTTTCCAGGAAGTAGACGGTGTTCATGTGGAACTGGTGGTTCCCAACTTCACCGTGTGCAATGTGTCAAATTGCACATGTCCTGCGGTGTTGACGCCATTCACATTATAACTCAAGCGCTCGGGCACCAGGTCCCCTCCGATCTCCTCTCGCTATTAGCATGCGTTCTGTAGGACTGCTTGCTGCAAGACTTTGCGATCGTCCTCAAACCAAGCAGGATATGAAAGCATATGGGAGCATATCTTTCACTTCTGGGCGTGAGTCGCTGAGAGAGGGCCAAGGTAGAGATGCACTTCCCTACCTAAAAACCGAGGTTGAGGCCTGGAGGTCCAGATTAATGACCACTTGAAGAGGATGAGCCTAGCTTTCAGGCGGCCTAAGTCCCCTGCACAGCCCGGCTTGGCTCAGAGCCTACTCATGCAAACCAGCATCAGGCTCAAAAAATCGAACCAGCGTTCACAAGAGCTAGAGGCGATATTTTGAGCATAGTGATCTTCGTTGTACATTCTCCACAGTAATGCTAGTAGTGAGAGCTGTAGTCTGAGAGGTTTTCTTGCTGTACCTATCAAACGCACCCATTCACGCTCAAGTATCGTTGTGATCAGTTGGCAATGTCGAGCTCGAACTGTACGGCATCCCAGTTGGGAACCGGCCACCCGGGCCGAGAGATAGGTTCGAATATGGGAGCGCGCTCTGCCTCGTTCTCGCACCTTCTCGAAGTCGTCCGCACACCTCTCGTTCAAGTCTCAAATATGCTGTCTCTTGTAGCCTCTTTCTCCAGCACTATATCTCTGCTTCCTGGCTAGTAGACTGTGTACACTTGGTCTGAGTGCAGAAAATGGCGTCAGAAAGACCGTATGTTTTCTTTGACATCACCATCGGTGGCCGCCCCGCCGGCCGGATTATCATGCTACTATACCAGGACATCACTCCCAAGACCGTGGAGAACTTCCGTAAGTATCATGAGCCTTTTCGTCTTCAAGCCTGTGATCTCACCGAGTCTCGCAGGCGCACTGTGTACTGGCGAGAAGGGCGTTGGAAAAGCAGGAAAGCCCCTCCACTACAAAGGATGCACCTTCCACCGCGTAATCAAAGGGTACGCTCCTGCGTCCCCTGTGGCAGTGAGGAGAAGAAGGCGCTGACGCTCCTTCAAGCTTCATGATCCAGGGTGGTGACTTCACTGCTGGGAACGGAACGGGAGGAGAGTCTATCTATGGCGAGAAGTTCGAGGACGAGAAATTCGAGGTCAAGCACACGAAGCGCTTCCTTCTGTCCATGGTGCGTCTGCTCTCCTGAATTGCTACACGTCGTACCCACACAAGACGGACCGAATGTGGTTCTAACCGCTGCTTTCCCAATCCGGTCACAATAGGCGAACGCAGGCCCGAACACGAACGGCTCCCAGTTCTTCATCACCTGCAATGCCACGCCGCACCTCGATGGCAAGCACGTCGTTTTCGGAGAGGTCGTACGCGGCAAATCGGTCGTGCGCGCGGTCGAGAACACAGAAACTTCGAGTGGCGATGTTCCGGTGGAGCCATGTGTGATTGTGGATTGCGGACAGCTGTCGCCTGACGACCCATCGCTCTCTCAACCTGTAGCGGCCGATGGTGACGTGTACGAGGATTATCCCGAGGACCAGGATCCAATTGATGGCGAGGACGTGGCCGCGAAGCCCGAGCTCGCGCTCAAAATCGCGAAAGACGTGCGCGAGGTGGGCAACAAGCTCTTCAAGGAGGGCAAGTACGAAGAGGCGCTGCATAAGTATCAGAGTCAGTAATGTCGTCCTTGGCCGGTCTCTTGACCAATTCAGTCTCGGCGGTTTGTCTGACGCTGTACCACAGAGGCTATCCGCTACCTCGACTACCACGTTGACCTCCCCGAGGGCGCGCCGCCAGAGCTGCGGGACTCTTTCGATGCGCAGCTCGCGCCTCTCCTGCTCAACTCTGCGCTCGCAGCGCTTCGCGCAGGCGGTTCCGCCAACGCCCGTCTCGCGCTTCGCGTGACAGACCGCGCGATCGCGAACCTAAATTTGAACGATACCGATAAAGGTACGCCTCTCTTTCCATATTGAAATGAACTTCACTTCTTTCCAATGCCCGAGCGCTGACAAACGCACACGACTGCAGCCAAGGCGTATTACCGGGAGGGCCTCGCACACGTCGCGATCAACGAGGACGATGAGGCGGAGGAAGCGCTCGCCAAGGCGCACGCGCTGGTCAAGGACGACAAGGGGATTCTGCACGAGCTAGAACAGGTACGCGGCCGCCTGCGCGCGAAGCGTGACAAGGAGAAGAAGGCGTTCAAGAAGCTGTTCGCATGAGCTTCGTATCTCCCGCCCAGGGGCTGTTTGCTGACTTGGCCGGCGCGATCACTCGACGAGGCACCAGTCCGCACGGAGTGCGACAGACGCCAAAAACTTCGTGGGGACTGGAATCTTGGTTTCCGGTAGCGCGGACGTTTGATGGACACGAAAACAAGGCTTGCCTTGTAGAAAAGGAATGAACGGGACAGAAGAACCTGAAGTGTTATTCTCTTGTAGCATCTATCTAATCTGACAGCGCTTTTCTTGTATGCCTGGCGTTGTACGCACGCGCCCGGAGTTATAAGCACTCGGCCGGGAGCCCGATGTTTGCATTCGGGAAAGGCGTATGATACATGATGTTACAGGAGGTCGCAACTGGTAGAATGCGATGCAAGGGACGGATTTAGGCATAGGTGAGATACTACGCTGAGACTGCGTGACGGCGCGAGAGACTGATGCACAAAGGAGAGATTAGTAACAAATTGCCTGTGTCGCAGAATTGAATACGCCGTTAACGAAATTCTGGGGTAAGGACCCCGGCAGATCAAGTATGGCGGCTTCCTTGGCCTCGTCGTTGAACGCCTTTGACACGTTAGGCCGGAACGACGGACAATCTGGTTGCCCACCTCGGTCCGAAACGAACGTGACGTCTCTTAGAATCCGAAGTCCATCACAAGGAGTTCCTTGCGGGCCCGCGCCACCTCGTCGCTAATCCTCCGCCTGAACTCCAAACGGCGCCGGTCACGCGCCTCGGCCTTGGACTTGTCTGACATGTGCTTCGCACCTGTCAACGCCTCAAGCTCCCAGTCCCAGCACTTTCCGCGCCCAAAGTCGATTATGCGGAAGCTGGGGTGGTCGTAGGAGCGTTTGTCGGGCGGGAGCGTCAGCGGCCCCGGCTGGCACATGATGTTGCGGATGTAGAACGAGCCTTGGACGATGTCCATGTGATGGAGGCGTAAAATGAGCGAGAAGCATTCGGTGCTGCCAGCAAAGGTGAGTAAGTTTGGCAAGCGGTATACCTTACGGCTCGGAAGATTGCTTACCGTTGGTCGGCAGTGAACTCGGCCGGCTCCACGGGAGTTCCGCACTCCTCCATTAGCAGGATGGGAGAAGCCCATTCGACGGCGTGGGGCTCGTCCTCGGAGCAGCCCGCGTGCCGTTTCATCATGAACTTGCCCTCCTTGTCGACGGGGAGGTAGAATCCGAAGAATTTCGGGGTGATCGCGCCGACGGGCACGGGGAAACGACATTGCGGGACGACGTTGTAGCCGCACCAGTCCTCCTGCAGATGTTTCGGCAGGGTGTCGTATACGCGGGCTTCGTTGTGCAACAGCTCGTGGGCCGTACAACGGCTGTACGCGAGCTTCGCTGCGACTGTGACCTGGCCCGTGGGCGAACGCCCCGACAGAGGTGGAGGAAGGGTGAGCGGGGCGCGATAGACGAACGAGTGGTTTCCCGATCCAAAGCGGTTCTTCTTCCGCAGATAGAGGTGTGCAACATTCTCTTTCAGAGATGGAGTTGCCTCACTTTCTGCGGTTTCCTCTTCCCCATTGCCCTTAGGTTCTTCCGGCGAAGGAAAGTATCGTTTGTACATGACTGGCTTGTCGAGATCACCTTCAGAATTGTCGTCCTTCCTGGACTTGGTGGCGTTGTCCGGGTCATGAACCAACAGGACGTCGGGGAAGAATTTGTCAGGAATGAATTCCTCTAGCTTCGGGAGGCCTTCTGGGGAGTAGGGGTCGTGAGGCGCCGCTGGAGATTTCTCGTGGGAAGCCGTCACCCCTGGATCCCCAGTAGATGACACCTCTTCCGTAGCGGCAACTGCGTCGATGCCAGTGGTCTCCGACTCAGCCATCACGACGTCGACGGCGCTACTAGCAGAAGGCAGGTCATCTGTGGATGTCCCGTCGTTCTCTGCCGTGGCAGACTCCTTGCCTTTCCCTTTGAATGCCTCGGCGGAACGATCTGCACCTATCACGCGAACCCCGGTAGTGTCAGCGTCAAGGCAGGGGTTGCCCGTAGTCGCAACAGCGAACACAACCACGGACTGCGGGTCTGGCAACCCTAGAAGCAGTGTCTTGAAGTGCTCGCACCACACATAGCTGTAGGGCGTTCCCTCCGCGTCCTTCACGCCCTTCGCATTGAATAGCACAGGGCCGGTGCAGGTCTCGTAGGGGTCATAGGGGCACTCTCCCATGAGCGCCATGAAGGAGAGCGACTGCTTAGCCTCCTCGACTTGCGCCGCCTCGTTCTCTTCTTCCTCGGCTTTCTTGAGCCCTTTGTGCTCGTGGTCACATCCCTGGTCGACCGCGTTGAAGGTCGTGTCGGGGTTGGCGTCGGCGTCGCCATTTTGCGGCTCGAGTTTCAGAACAGGCCACGGGCGCAGAACGCGCGGGGGCACGAGTGTCTCCTTCCAGTCGCCGTCGTTGTAGCCCTCGCCGAACGCCTTGAGCATGCTACGCGACCAGACGGTGAGCGCGTTCGTGCCCGGGACGCGCGGCATCCAGAAGATGTGGTCGAGCCGGTGGCCCCATACGAAGCCGTTCGGGGTCCGCAGGCCAAACGGGGCCTTGTCTCTTTTGAGAATCGCGCCCTTGGGATCGCGGTGGAGGCGAAGGTAGATGTCGCGTTCGCGCTTCGGCATGCTGGTCGATGGCAAAGAGTTCGTCGTTCGTGGTTGGGATGCGGGAGAGATGTACGTTACGCACCACGTTGCAAGTGGCTCGTGGCGTGCTAATCGAACTCTCTTATGTGAATTTAAGGGTGACAAAGAATCACCAAATCGGACAGGACGGTGTCCTTCCTTTCCGGCCCGTGCTTCTTTGTTGGAGTACCTATGATCGCACAAAAGCAAGAGAGGCTTTTGTTGTCCAAATCGATTCGCTTTGGGCACAGCCACGGGGCTTAACCACGCGCGAGCCGTTCACAGAAGCACGCATATGGTCGACAACGGAAGTATTGTACAATAACTATCTACAACAAGCGGAAGGGACATCCAGGGAAGCTATGATACAGCTAATCTACAGCTGCGGACTCGGGTAGCTATGTTACATGTCGAATCTAATGGAACAACCCTCTAATTCTAGGGTGCGAAGCCCACGCGGCCATGCTAATCGTCGTCGGAAGAGTCAGAGTGCCCGACACGCAACTCGTCCATCGCCACGCACACGTCGATCTCGCGTCCCTTTTCGAACGCCCTCTTCGCGCCTAGCTGGCTTTCTTTCGGGAGCGGATGAGATAGGGCGCGCCAACGACCGAAGCTGACGAGCCGGAAACTCGGCGAGGCCATGGACCGCAGGGGCGGCGGAAGGGAGAGCGGGCCGGGCTGCACGAGCATGTTGCGCGGATGCGGGTGCCCGTGCGAGAACCCTTGACGGTGCATGCGCTGCACCAAGTCGAAACATTGCTCCCTAAGAGACAAAGCTGTCAGACACCAGGAAGCAAGGCACAGGATCTCAAACTCGCCGCACCTGTGCTTGTACGGCATCGTCGCAGGATCGATCGGCTCGCCACAATCCTCCATCAACAAGATCGACTTCGCCCAGTGCGGGACGTGACAGTCCGAGTTCGCGAAATCCTTGCAAGACGAGTGGCACTGCACCAGCGACTCTCCGTTCGGACCGATCGGCACGTAAAAGCCATAGAACTTGGGCGCTATCGGCGGGTCCATCTCCGCGGGCTCGGGCGACTTCGGGCGCATGGCAGCGCCCCAGCCGGGAAAAGCGCCTCGGGGACGCATGGCAGGAACGGGGGTGCGCAACGGCGCGCCCGCGGGCACGGGCTTGCACGGGGTGACGAATTCACGGGGGAACGCGGCGTAGCCCTTCGCCTCCTGGCGCAGGAGGTGGTGGGAACGACAGTCGTCTTTCGCGGTCTTGACGGCGACGGCGACTCGCTTGCGCGGCTCGCCTCTGGGGCCGAGCGTGGCGACGAGTGGCGCACGGTGGACGGTGGAGCGGCGGCCAGACGCGATCTCGTTCTCGTGGTCGAGGAAGAGGAAGCCGCGGCGTGGGTTGGTGGACTTGGAGAGTGCTTTCGGGTACGCGCGCCTGTAGATGAGAGGCTCGCGCTGGGGCCCGTGCGCGGAGCGGTTGGTGATGTTGGACTTGTCGTATACCATGAGGAGCTCGGGGAGGTCGTCCATATCGACGAAGTCCTCGAGCTTGGTCAAGCCCTCGGTGGCGAACGCGTGCAATCCGAGGAATGCCTTCCTTTTCCCACCCTTTGCACGGGATGACATAGCCAGATCCGCGCGCGGCGTGACGGTCTCCTTGCCCGAGTCTGAAGAAGACGAATTGTCTCCAAGAGATATACCTCGAACGGGCACAGGCATCTTGAGAGTGCGTATGTAATTTTAGAGGTCAAATTGAGGGACGTTGGATGAATGGAAATTGAATGTAGGTGGAACGAGCTTGAAAGGTTGGTGGTTAGGCGGTGGCACTGGGTGAATGCTATGGAGAATAAGACAGCCAGAAGCGCGTCAAACGCTGCATTGTTAGCCAAGCTTGAATTATGTGCTCAAATCTGGGACGTGCGTACAGATTTTGTGGCTTGTGGCGAGAGACGTCGCGTTCAAAGGCACGATGGTCGTGGTCAGTTGCAAAGGGGAATCGATGGATTAGCGCCCGATTGCCCCTCTCTCTTGTCCACATGGTGAAACATCTATCCCTCGTTCCCAAGGTCCAGGTTCTCTTTGTCAGTCTTCGACGGGCCTCGTGAACATCATGATCATCCTATGCTGCTGGGGAGATCGTCGGGAGATGTGGGGCCAGCGATTACACACGGCACAAGACGGCATATCATCGCATGAGTCATAATGAAGGGTACAGGATACGATATCGTATCGTGTTTCGTTACACGTAAACTACAGGTATATTACATACATCCATCCATCTCCTCCAACAGCAATTGAGAGTAGATCGAGAGGTGATACGACGATGTCTAGCATCAGTACAAATATTATGTGTTGAGCGGGGCAAACGGAGTGGCTGAGAGCGCTGGTATACAGAGCAGACAAAGACTTAGGAGGTATGATCGAGCTGCAGGGCCTCGAAGGCGCCATCCGACTCGTGATCGCACCATTCCTGCCAGAACTCCTCGAAGCCTTCCGGCTTGGAGATGGACCGCGCAAACCCGCGGCCGAAGTCGACGAGGCGAAAGCTCGGCGTTGCAAGGGAGCGTTCTGCACGCGGCGCGGTGAGCGGGCCGGGCTGGGCGAGCATCTTGTCTGTGGTCATGGCGGGCTGTCGCATGATGAACCCGGCGGCATGCAGGCTTTCCAGCAGGCGGTGGCACTCCCATCTACGGAGACAACATGCGGCGTTCAGTATCGTTGGATGCGTGAGAGGCGGATGACGTACCGCTGTGCGTCGCTGAAGAGCGCCGGCTGGATCGGACTCCCGCAATCTTCGATCAGCAGCATCGCGGGAGGCCACGCCACCTCGCACGTGCCGTCCTCGTCGCACTCGTCGTGCGTGTCGAAGTAGATCGTCCCGTCGGGCTTCAGCAGCAGGTAGTATCCGTAGAATTTGGGAACCACAGGCGCCACATCAGTAGTCGTGAGCTCGCGCACGATACCGCCTTGAGCTACGCTACGAGGTGCTCTGGCCAAGGACGCCTCCGAGCCGGCAGCCGTGGTGGACGACTTCTTGCCCGTCAACTTCAGCACCGGCCTCTTGAGCTTGAACTGCTCGCGCCACGAGAGCTTGCGCCTCCCGCCGCCCACGCGAATGGAGGGCTCATCGGAAGATTGAGAGGACGAGAGCGCGCTCGCCCCATCGCTAATGACAGCGTCGGCCGCTGCCGTGGGGACCGGGACGGGCTTCGCGACGTACTCCTGCTGCTTGTGCTGCTCGTAGAGCGTCCGCGGGAACGAATGGTACATCCTCGCCTCCTGATGCAGCTGGCGGTGCGAGCCGCAATCGGGCGCAGGAGTCTTCGCGACGACCCGCACACGCGTCGCCACCTCCGAGCCGGCCGCGAGAGGCAGGGTCAGCGGGGCGCGGAAGACGGTCGAGTGGGCGCCGTTCCCGATGTGGTTGTCGTTCGCCAGATGGAGCTGCGCAACGCGGCGGGGAGGGACGGCGTCCCTGGGGTCGCGGACGGGGAAGGCGAACTGGCGCGAGTACTTCGTCACGGGGTTGACGCGGACGTAGCGCACGGGATACGGCAGATCGTGGGGGTCGTGCACGATGAGCTCGTCAGGAAGGTTTTCGGCAGGGATGGAATCCTCCAGCACGGGGAGACCGGCGAGGGAATAGAGGTCCTCCGAGGGGATAGCGGTGGTTGGCGAGCCATCCTTGCTGTCGTGGTTAGGGATTGTGTTGGCTGAGCTTTGGCTATCCACGCGAACGCGTGATGGTTGGGTCCCAGAGGTGGACTCGTCGGCGGGTACGGCGAGAGCAGGCGAGAAGACCACCGGCGATGACGACGAATCAGAGCTTTGTCCGTCGCTGGTGCTCTCCGACGTAGGCGAGTCTTCGCTATCGACCGCGGAGGAGCTGACGTGCACGTGGTATGGAGTTTTGCTGTGGGGATTGTCGGCCTTCCTAACCACGAGGTTACCGAGGGAGCCAGGAGAGCCCGAATCGGATGGATCAAAATACAAACTGGAGTTAGATCGTGCGGACATCCTATAGATTGAGAATAATGAAGTGAAGAAAGCGGGTGGTGGATATGAAGGTTGCTTTGGTATATCAGGATGTGGTCTGAGAGCAAGCACAGAGGCGCGCGTACGCGGTCAACGAGAACATCCACAAGCGAGTTTTGACGCCTGTACATCGTTGAACAGCCCCACAGCAGCTGATGATGCCTATGCCGTATTAGTGCATCCGTAGTTATTACCAGGATCACATGGATAGACACCACGGCGAGCTCACGTACGTCGAACGGTACCTTCTTCAGGTACGGTCGGAGGTTTAAAGGGCTATCCGAAGCAGTCTAGTGACGGGGGACCTACTGCTCATATGCATTAGAGGACTTGGAACTTCCTCACCAAACAAACGTCTTACCTGGACGGTAGCCAACGAGCTAAAATTCACTTGAAATATGTCGACATTCGAATGGAAGCTCCCGAGCGCGATCGTGAACGTAAGATGACAAACCTGTGATGGATTATGTGGACTGGAGGACAGAACACTCATGCCCTGTTTCAAGTCCAGAACAGTCATGCGGCTGTGGACATCCAGCGTTTGGTCGCTCCTATGATTCACGCAGGGACGAGACATACTGAGATCCCGAAACCGTTGAATTTGCATAGACGTGTTCGATGAGCATCACAATTGAAGCAGCTCAGACTGAGCTTACCCATGGGGCAACTAACGAGGAGGGTTCAACATATTAATGGATTATATGATACAGGCTCAACACATACCTAGCACACTAGCAGTCTGGCTTCGGGGTCAGATCGTAGAAAACATCTGCTGAGCACACAGAAGTAGCATGTTTTTGCCGCTACCGCACCCGAAAGAATCCTGACTTGAGTACGATCCGATCCCACAGTTGATTTAGTACTTCGGGCAAAATGAATTCTAATGTACGTATAGTAAGCAAGACAAAGACGATAAATAGAGCAGCGGCGAGGGCACGAGGAGCCTTGCGAGCTTGCTGGAAAGGCGAAGCAGGTTTCCGACTACATCCGAACCTAAACAACAATAGAAGACGTTCGAGAAGATGTAATTAGCCATAGAGCTATGTCCGAAGGAACGAAGATGAGGGTGTTGCAATGATACAATGATCGGAACATCGACGACGGATACATGGGCAATACAGATGAATGTGTGGGTCGAGGGTGCGCGGTATTGATCACGCGAAGTACTCAGCGAGTCGTGAGCGAGGCGTTGTTTGCCGAGGCATTCCTGGAATACGTCGTTGTCTCGTTGGTCGTCGTTGCGACTGCATAACAAGATAGTTGTCAGCAACAGGAACACGGGCGAAGGGCGTGTGAACCGAGATGAATGGGAGATAAGGGGCATGTGCTACAAAACGCCAGTCATGCCACATGATCGTGCCCCGACATTAGTGCGGGGGCAGTCATATCTATCAGCACGCCAATAGGTGGAGGAAGTTCTAATATGCAACGAAGATCCAGAAGTGCAAGAGCCTTCGCTTGGTATTATAGCGCTTCCGTGGGCTTCCACGCCCGCGATTCAACCGGCATGCAAGCGCGCCTGGGTCACGAGACGAGACAAGACGAAATACTTACGTGGCGGGTCATAATGAGCTTCGCCATGGACATGGGGACTCGTGATTCGTACGGGGTTGTTACTAGTCGAGCGGAAGCCGTAAGGCGAGGTAGACATATTGGAACGCTGAACATACATACCTATACGTGGCCGAGCAGTGACCTGCCAATCCATCCTCGTCAGCTCTGTGCCGCCAACGTACCCTTGGGGCTCCTCATCCTCGCCGATGAGGGTGTCTAATGAAAAGGAGACGGGGAGGCCGCTCCAGTTCCAGATTGGGTGCTTTCCAGAGGTGATGCTCATGTCTGGAGCCGGGGCATCAACCCCGTGCTCAACTCTGTGCGCAAGACGGTGGAAAGAACCCGAGCCAACACAGACGACAGCGAGGACGGAAGTGAGGAAGGACAAGACCGATAGCAGCTGGAGCACGGAGAGCGAGAGGAAATCGCTCATGGTTGACAGATAACCGGGGACGGGTGAAAGCCGGGGTGACCTGCGTCGACGTCGGCTGAGCGACGGTGGTGTCAGCACTGGCGGACGCGGCGGGGAGAGGGGGCGACAAATGTCGTGGTGGTCGTTGGGGTGAGAGTGTCCACGCTGGATCCACCAGCTCAGCGTTGCTACCTCATCTGCGCCAATCCTCGGCGGCTGAGCCCGGCAGCGGGCGCCCGTCACCGCCTTGCTCTCCAGTCCTTCGTTACTCCCCTTCCCGCGTTCTCGTTCTCGTTACTCAACTATGTAACTGCTCTTGGAGTCTGCTTGCTTCGCTCTGTTTGTTGGATCAGCTGGACACACTCCCTTGTTGTCAGCCTCGCCGTCATACCGTCGACAAGCTTCTCACGGCTACGAAGCTTTCAGGCTCTTACGATGTTCTGAGCTGCTAAATCGGCGGCAAACCGACGTCCACACCGCTCATAAGCCGCGCCTCTCTTCAGACATGCTCACCGGCCCGACGGAGCAAGACTCGTGAGATTATAACGAGTCTGTTGACCGCACCAGTCTGAAGTCTACCCACTCCATCGAAATCGTGCAACGTGTTCGATGCCGTTAACCGTTCCTCTTTAGGTGCCTCATATAGCGAAGAGGCTTTTGACCGGTGAGTGCGCTGTTCTAGGTAAAACCGTGAACTTGTGGCATAGGTGTTTCAATAGTACTCTTTGTGCATATCGCGTCTGCTCATTAAAGGTGCTGGCCAATGCGTCCTGACAGAACTACGAACTTCTGATAGTGTCAATCTCAGCAATACGCCTCCCTTCTACACCATGCAGTCGTCGTTTGAGTCTTTCGCAGATGCTGCTGCTCTGCGCGAGCTCCCCTGCACGGCGCCCAGGCAGGGCGTTTTGTCCCCAAGCATCCTGACCCTGTGGCTTCTGCCGTATAGCCGGGCGATTCTGAGCCCCTCAATCCAAGTCTCCTTCTTGAGCTTCGGGTCTCGGTTCCTGACGACAGCTTCCCTGACACCTTCATGTGCACGACTAACACGATCTCGGCGGGGCACTTGGTACGTAAGTGTCTACATACCCCGTTCTTCCTCGCGATGTTAGCAACAACCCATGCCGGGAACGCGGCTGTACCGTCGAGAACTATAGCGGATCGCGACAGTGATGTTGCACCCCTCTTCTTTGGTGTCGCCGTCGGGTTGGTCAGTGAATTGTACACAACCACGTACCGCGCGCCACTCACGCTACCTTGCCACGGGCTCGATATCGCCTTCTACCACCTGTCATCGCGGAACGTGTTCGAGGTCGAAGCCGACTTGGTGGTTACCGACAGGGGGCACAATTGGCTCCAGGCCCGTTCTGCTACGTATTTTACTTGCCTGTCAGGAAGGACGGTTCGACACGCATGCGGACGCAAGGAGAACGTGGCGAGTATTGCGAGCGCGAGGTGTTGTAGACGACGGCCACCTTGCACATGAAGAGATGGATGGGCGTAGACTGGTGCGTTTCTCTACCCTTCGCGTTGACCAACGTGTGCTCGTACAGGATGTAGCCGGTTCGTGATATCCACGTATATACACTTGACTCGTAGCTTTGGACAACGTGGTTAGCCAAAACCGCACTCAATGACTCGGTGTGCGAAGTCATCTGCATCGAGGCAAGCGATCAGTCCGCCTAAGGACGGGGTCCGGGCTACTACTCGGCTCGTGCAACGGGCATGTCCCGGGGGCTCTGATGGGATCGATAATTGCTTGGGCAAACGTTTGAGTTTGATGCTTCGACAATGGGCGTTAGGACAATGGGCTACCAACTACGGTGCGTCTCCACGAGTTGGATGGCACTTCTACGGGGATCAAATACATCGCGTTTCATACACGATGTAATTCCTACCGTTCCCAGTAATGAGGCTGATCAGATTCCACTAGGCGATGCGGGCCTGGCGGTGTGCGGCCTGCGTCATCGCCTGCATGACTTTGGTGCACGGTGGTCGAAGCTTGCGCTTCGCGTCGGCTGTATATATAACTGGCGGGGGCCCATTGCATCTCCTGCGCCTCACACTCACCATGTCGACGGTGGAATTCATACCTTCACAATTCCCAGACGATGGCTCGACTGCTGATGCTCAACTTCTCAAAAACGACGTTACTCTGACATCCATAACCACCACTCACGCGCCGCTGGCCGGCGCAGACGAAGACGCCGCTTTCGAGGACGACGTAGCTCGCACTTTCATTGTCGAGCTTACTGTGCACGATGAGGACCCCGATGAGCCTCAGAGGGATGGCAAGAAGGGTACGTTGGCCGCCACCCATGACGGCGACGATGACTACCTCCCTCCCTCTTCGCTTGCACCACCTGAGAAGACACATCCTCCCCTTCCCATCACCATAACCACGAGCGATGCGCCGTCAGCGACCGACGACCGTGACTCTGACGGCCTCTGTACACCTATTGAACCCCCCGGCCTGTCTAAGCCTGACGACACCACTCCGGTACAGAACGAAGATCAGACCAGCTGCATTTTTCAGAACGCTGATGCTGCCTGTGCCGCCGTGGTTTCAAAGTCATCCGAGCCAACCCCCACAGAGCCGTCCAACGACATCTGCGACATCAGTCCCAAACCATCCGCTCGCGACTTCTCCTTGCATGGTCTTCAAAGTCTTCGTTCCTTCATCCCCGACGACCTCCTCCCAGATGACCTCCTCGTATACGACCGCGAGAACATCACCAAGCTCTGCGACGAGCCCGACGTGCCGGTCCGCTACGTACGCATCTTCCCTGAACTCCCGCGAGAGGGTGATACACCGGACGGCGCGCACGAGGGCGCTCCGCCTCCCGGGCCCAAGCGCATCGCGCATCTCTACCTCACGATCGTAAACAAGCTCGGTACGGGCCATCATTCCTGTGTCTACACTGCACCGCTGCGACTACGACTTGATGCAGAGTCCACAGAGCACAGTACGGTCCGTGTCGCTGCGAAGACTGCGTTCTCCGTTTGCGGAGCGCATGATATGCTGGATCGGGAGGCCCAGGCTTACGACGCCTTCCCGCGATATCTCATGGAGGATCGTCCGGGTGAGCCAGCGGCGGTGCCTAAGTTCTTTGGCTACTATGCTGCTGCGGAAGCGGACGGGAGTGTGATCGAAAAATGTCACCCTTCCTGCAATGAGGACGACACCTGTCCGGTGCAGTGGCCGACGCACATCCTCCTCGTCGAGGAATGCGGTGTGCCTATCATTCCCTGTCACTACACTCGCAAACAGCGGTATGTCCCTCGTCCCCGCATCTTCCCTCGTGCTAGCGCTGAACGTCGTCGGCAGGGAGAGCTGCTTGGAGCTTGTCGAGCGTTTGCACGCCGCGGGTTTCTACCAGGGCTCAATATACGTCCGCAACATTCTCGTCGAGGCTGGTCCGCTGTCTGTGCCTCCTGCGGAGCGGTCGCACGAGACACCTAGCTTCAGGATCATTGACTTTGGGCGTCGGGTGATGATGTCTCAGCAGAATAAGTCTAGATTTAGGAACTGGTGTGCGGACGAAATTCGTAGGACGAAGCATGAATTGGCGCTGTCATGAACGAAGTCGTCCACAGCCTAGTTCGCAATCTCCAGAAATATGTCTGATATTGTGGTGATCGGGAAGAGCGCGAATAGTATATGATACGTATTTTTAGACTATAGCAGATGACATCGACAAGACCATGACTGACCTCGAGCACCTTATAACATTGTACCAATCGTCTAGCCTAATGATTGAACATCGCGGACTCCATGCGCTATCAATGTGTTGACTCTCTAGATTGCATTCAAGTTCGCTGTTGACTGCCTGCATAGCAAGGTTATGTCTAGCATATCGCAGGTCCCGTGGAAACTCCAGTCGTAGAGTCGGGGCCCGAGCCAAACAGGATTGTACATGTATCTCCTATCACGGTGTTCATGTATGCTACGGTCGTAGGTTAGATGTCAAGATGCGCCGCGAGGCAAGAGGCGCAGACGGCAGTCAAGACATGCAACACGGCGGACAGAGGCTGAGGACGTATTCTAAAACGTAGTCCCGCTCAAGTAAGACGCCGCCTTCGTCCTCCGTTATCCAGCTTCGTGCTTGTTACTAATGCGCCCCTCTGGGTCCCCTTTGCGGGTCGCCTCCGATAGGTCCATGATGCCCCGTAGGCAGCGTATGCCTGAGAGTACGTTGGCTTGGGCATTGTTCTGTGTCGGCTCTGTACCTCTGACGCTCTCGGGTTGCTCTCTGCCACGACCTGATGAGGCCTCAGGTTATGTTGGTCTCGCCATGAGTCGCCAAGTCCTGCCCCGGCCTCACCAAACAATATTACACAGGGGGGTCAAGGCACATTGAACTTGTCAGTTACAGAGCAGTTGAGACCGTTCCTCATTCATCCCTTGTCCCCAGGATCAACTTGACGTGGATGATGGGCTCTCCGATGAGAATGTTTTGTCGCGATCCTTGAAAGTATGCTAATGCCCAGTGGGTGGTCGGGTGCTGTTGATCTGGACCTCGGAGTTAGGCGTTACAGCGCTAACACTGCATGTTCGGTAGCACCATGTCGTTCAACTCGTGTGGTTGAGAGAAGGTAATAGGATAGAACAAAATCTTCATATTGCGGAGGATCTCCTGACGAATATTTTGGCTTGCATCCGACAGCCGCATATGATCCTGGGACTTTCTACAGAAGCCAGGATTGTGTAGTCAGTGAGGCGTACTGACAACAGGCCCTGAGACATACAGATGGGAAATGTACCATGACAATGTTGGGATTCTCGCCTAGCCGGTACTATGTAGAAACGCATATGATACTTCTTACGACGTGACGCAACGCGGATCGCGCCTGCCAGTCTTTGGCGCCCACCATCAACCTCTCTCAACACTAGCCATGTCGTCCACACCAAAGCCGACGTCCAGCGAAAACATCGTCGCTCAAAAGGTGTGTATGCAGGTCTCCTATACTCTGAATCGTTCTCATGCCTCTTGCTCTTGTTGAACGCAGTTTGACCGCTGCTGTACGTGTCGAGCATTGCCGTGACCTTACAACCTCGTGATACTGACTTGCTTCGGAATGGACGGGCGTGCTTTGGGTGTGTGTAGTGGCGGACCTCATCGTGAAGTCGTGAGTACTTCCTCCCTCCCGCGTGCCACGACAGTTGCTCACAAGCGTGGTCGCCCGACGATAGCGGTGTCGGCTTCAGCGCAGGCGTGATCGCATCGGTTATCCTCTTCCGCCGTGCGTGTCCCTCTCTTTGTCCACCTACTCTACCTTCCTCTTCCTTCATTCTAAGCTAGCTGTGTGCAGGACGAGCGTGGCCTGTCGCACTCGGCACGGGTCTTGGTGCCGGCGCGGCGTACGCGGACTGCGACCGGTCGTTCAATCCGGCGAGGATACCTGGCACGCGCGTTATTCCCGCCACGGAGGCCAAGAAGGATTCGGCATAAACGAGCAAGGGAATATAAGTGTTCTGGCTGCGAAAGCGGGAGTCGCGTAGAGGAACATTGGCGGGCGATTGTCACTTGGTGGAGATGGTGCGACGTAGACTGTCCTGTGGACGATTCATGATGTATGTCTCGACTCTTCTTGTTTTCATTTCCCTCCCGCCGCTCCCTCACGTCATGAAGTGCGGATGTTACGCTTCGAGCAATGGATGGCAAATGGGAGCCACGCGGGCGCTGTGGTATGCGATACGCTTCGAACGTGCTAACTCGACTTCCCCTCCCCTCCAGAGATGTAGATATCTGCGACCTTCTCATGGCCATGCTTCTCCAAGTCTGTCGGCAGCGTGCGCCGAGGTTCTCCCAAAACGAGGCGTTTATACAGGACAACTGTCCATGTCTATGTGAGTACCTGTCCGATAACCCAGAGGCAAGGAAGCCGCACGTACAGCTCGTCACGCCAATGATGGGTAGCGTGAAGATGATGATGCGCCATCGTTGCGCCTGAGGGGGAAGCTTCGACCCCATGTCTCTGGTCCGCGATTGCGGTTACTTTCGACAGCGGGCTTGCTCGTCGCAGCGTGGCAGCACCGGGCGACGCGACTTCGGCAGGGAGCGGAAGGCTCTGGAAGCGCCCAAGATACCCATCACGTGCACGATATGAGCGCTACGGAGCCTTTTGCGGGCTCGATCGTGCGGCGGGGGGTGACGCCGGTGCGTACTCGATCGCCTCCCGCTGGGCGCGCCGCCGTCAGCATGGGGTCCGACCTCGGAGAGCACGTCGAGGCCAGGCCCGTCGCACAGGTTGTACATGATCCATCTTCTCTCTGTGCTAGCCCGCTGTCGTTCTACTTTGCACTCCGGTTGCGCAGCTCGTCTACGTCCAGTTGCAACCAGCCTGCCCTCGAATCTTCTCTCTACCAGTCACAATCCATTAGTGCTGTCTGCCATGGTCTCGAAGAGGAAGAGGACAATCGCGACCGTCGCAGAGACCGACAGCACTATCGCGTTAGATTCGCCTGTACCGGTCGTGCCTGCTACGGGCGCAGCTTTGGTGAGCACCCCAGAGGAGGCGCAAGATCTGATCCGCAGGGTGTCTACGCGGAAGAAGAAGACAGTGGTGTACACCGAAGACGTTACTCAGCAGGTGGACGACTCACTCGATAACGTCTTCGACGGCCCGCTGACCGACCTGGAGGAGGATGAGCTCGTCGACGAAGAGCCGTCGCCCAAGAAGAAGCGGAGGCGCAAGAAGGTGGAGGAGCCCATTGTCTATGACATACCTCCAGTTGAGACGAAAGAGACAAACTTCAAAGGTGAGCTTTCGGCCGAAGTGCTCAGGCCTGCAGAGTGGTAGATCATTATCTCATACGATGTACGCAGGTCGTCTTGGATATGCGTGCTTGAATACAGTCCTTCGTGCGCTCAAGCCCGATCCTGTCTTCTGCTCACGGACGCTTCGCATCGACACCATCCTCAAGCCCGACTACGGCATGGATTATTGCAAGGAACTGGGCAGGAAGAACGCGGAAGACTTGTCTCGGCTCATTGAAGTTGGGCTTAGACATGTATCTTCGCTTTCATTGGGGCTAATCACGCCATTCGAAAATAGTGGAACGAAGAGAACAACATCAAGTTCTTGCGGATCTCTTCGGAGATGTTCCCGTTCGCGTCGCACGACACGTACGGATACTCCCTGGACTATGCGGACAGGGAGCTCAAAGTGTGTCCAACCGTGCGTCGCTCCTCTAGATGGATTTTTACCCAGACGTAGGCTGCCGGAGACCTCGCAAGGAAATACGGGCATAGACTCACTTCGCATCCCGGTCAAGTGAGTGCTAGGAAAGGACGTGCACGAGTCTCGGACTGATAGTGATCAGTACACCCAACTCGGCTCTCCGCGAGAGGTTGTTGTCACAGCCGCCATCCGCGATCTTGCATGTGCGCTGCAACATATGATCGGCATCAATTTTCAACTGATATTCTTTGTAGACCACTGCCAGATGTTCCGTCTTATGGGTCTCGACCAAGACAGCGTCATGATCATCCACATGGGTGTATGCGCAAACCTTTCCTCCCATCCTTTTCCGTACGGCTGACGTGCACCTCTCGATAGGGCATGTTTGGGGACAAGCCGGCAACGATTGAGCGGTTCAAGGAAGCGTACCGGACTAGACTCACTGACGAGATGCGAGCGCGTCTCGTGCTTGAGAATGACGAGGTACGTCGATCGTGACTCCATTCCACTGACGTTGATCCAGGAAGTCGAACAGATGTGCTATAATCCGGACGATTTGCTCCCTGTATGCGAGGAACTCGATATTCCTTTGGTTGTAAGTCAGTTTGTTTCTCTAGTTCCAAATCGCCTCATCCACACTTCTTCTCGGCGGGAACAGTTCGATTACCATCATAACTGGATATACGTATGTCTAGCCTCTCCCCTATTTCGTGTATGCGCAACGATATAACACCTCCCTTTCCTGTATAGCCTTCAGAGAAGCCGATCCCTGAGCTCATCGAACAGATCAACGCGATCTGGCACCGCAGAGGCATCAAGCCTAAACAGCACCTCTCCGAGCCTTGTCCCGGCGCGGAGACAGTCATGGAGAAGCGGAAGCATGCAGACCGCTGTATGACGCTTCCCCCGGACCTGCCTGAAGATATGGATTTGATGATTGAGGTCGGTACTCAGCTCATGTCAATGTTGTCGCTTTTTGGCGAGCTGACATGGACCGCGGCCGCAGGCAAAGGACAAGGAGCAGGCGGTATTGCACCTTTACAGGGTATACAACTTGCAACCTGTGATACACGAGAACCTCCGTCCGGAGAAGCCCCCAAAGCCGTTCCCACGTGCGTGCGTCGGCGAGGATGGAGAGGGTGGGGAGAACGGCACGTCGAGTTCCCCACGCAAGCGGCGGACGAGGACGAAAGCCAAGCCAGAGGAAGACGCTGCAGGTACGGATTTCAACTTGGAGGTGGATCGTTTCAGTTTGACCTATGATTGCGTTCCTGCGGCTTTAAAAGAGCTCATCATCACTGGAGTCGCGGCTGAACCGAAGGACCTCGACGATACGGAGGAGCCAGACCCTGCTGCGATGATGCCGTCGAAGGGCAAGGGAAAAACGAAGACCAGGGTCAGGGCGCCGAAGAAGGAAGGGAAGAGCCCGCGCACGCCAAGGGGTGGGAAGCGTGGGAAGGGCGCTGCGGAGGGTAAGGGCGTGAAGGACGGGGACGAGAGCGGAGATCTTGGACAGGGCTCCCTGGTGGTTGGAAGTGGTGGACAATCGGGGGCGGAGGTGAATGAAGGTGTGTGATATGGTGACGTATACGCGGTGGTCACCTCTGACATCCTTGTAGTTGTTATGGACGAGCAGTCTTCGCTTGTTCGCTCGGATGAGTCGATTGTCAACCCTACTGCAATGGTTGTATAGCATGGACGATCCGGGCCCACTCAAGGAGCGTTGGAATTGGGGCTCAGGCACACGTCGAGCACGCCGCATCGAAGGCGAATTGGCGTTATATGAGTCAATCCGATTGGAGAGGGGTCAGCATTAATGCCAAGATGGCGAGTCGTACAAACGCGTGGTGGGATCCATAATAGTGTTCGCGATCGTTTGACACTATATCATGCAAAGTCGCGGAGCGATCGGGGCAACACCAAACAGGCCATAGACTGAAAGGTCAGGACCTTATAGACGGCCGTTACCATGGACCTGATCCCGTCTGTTGCAGCGTGTCTTCGATTCCCTGAACCGCCGATCTACGACATGAGGGAATAGCGCAGCACAGGCTGCGGCAAATTCCCGCGAAACGTGTTTGTGCTGCTGGGATGCAGAAGGGCGGCCCGTGCTGCATGAGGTTCTTACGTGCGAAAATGTCGAGGTTAAGGCTAGAAGCGCCGGAAGGTATACGTCGCGAAGGCCATTTGCATGCCCGATTGTGCCACCTCGGTGCTTGGCCTCCAGCGATGCATATAAGTTTGTCGAGCTCTGATTGAGTCCCCCTAACAGTTCCCCTCCCGTGTCCCGATTCCTTTCACGACCAACATGACAGTTGATGACAGTAACGCCTTCATCCCAGCCACTCCTGACGACAGCCGCTCTCCGTGCCCCGCTCTCAATGCACTCGCTAACCATGGTTACTTGTGAGTGCTCATTGTCTATTTCACCGAAGTAGACATCTCACGCCTAATGTCAGGCCACACGACGGATGCAATTTGACAGCGTCGCAGCTTGTCTCAGTCCTCAGAGCGAAGTACAAGATCAGCTGGATTCTCGCGGCATTGCTCTCATACGGAGGCGTAGCGCTCTGTGGCCACCGCGATGGCTGGTCGTGGAAGCTCGACCTCCACGAACTGGCCAAGCACGACGTCATAGAGCACAACGGCTCCCTCGTCCACGATGACGCCGCTCCGGGACACCCGTTCGCTCCCACGGACGTCGACCGCGTCCTCCTCCGACAGCTTCTCAGTGCCTCCTCCGAGTCCGACGCCCTGACCCTCCACGACCTCTGCAGAACACAAGTGCAGCGGCAGGCCAATTCGGGGCCCCTGAGCTCTGTGCGGGCGTCCATCGCGAAGGGCGAGGTGGCCCTCCTCCATCAGGCGTTCGCTGTCAGACGAGGCACGGGGCAGAGTGCCACAGCCGAAGAAGGGGAGCCTGTGGTGCCGAAGGGACGCCTGGAACAGTGGCTCGGGGACGAGAGGCTTCCGGCCGATTGGCCTGGTCCGGAGCAAGGGATCGGGCTGACCTCGATCTTCGGACTCGTGCGGAAGATCGGTGGGATGGAGACAAAGATCAAGGACAAAGAGAAGGGGTCGAATGGCGCGTGAACGTGTGACCATTCGATACGTGCTCTCTCGTATTGACTCACGATCAAGCTACGTTCTCTGCGCTGGCCAATGGTACTGATATGAATGATGTCTTCTACTATACCCAACGTTAATGTCCTTTGTCCACTGATCTCACACCGCGAACTTCCCGGGCTTGGGAATAGCCTACTATGATGTAGCCTCCTGCACCGTATGAGATCCTCTGCTACTCTTGAATGCTTTCAAAGCGCTAATACACCTCCGGCAGAGGCGTCATCGATGACGCTTCCGTCAAATATCCGTGTTATTGTTGCGCTGCCTTGGCTCGATACCTTGGTCCCTTGCGCACGAGCGCTTTGCTGCAACTTCTATCGAAACAAACGCCATCGATGCCTTGTGACTCTGGGGCAGATATGGTAATAACAATGAAGGTAGGCTGCCCAGGTTGGATAAACAGCATTAAGGCGCAAACGTCGAGCGCAGGTCGTTGGATGATAATATTGATGCACCGCCACCGCCACATTGGCAGCTGAGCCCGGCTATGGCTGCCACGATACGCTCCTCCCGTACTCTCGGCGAGGCGAACTAGATATTTGGGAAAACCCACTTACGACAGGCTGAAAACGCCATACAGTCTACGTAGGAGAATGCCGTCCCTCAACCTCGTCCAAGAACTTGAACGACGACGCCGACACCGCCGGGCTCGACATCTCCTCTTCCGCCTCCAAGTCGATTTCCGGAACCTCAACGAGCTCAAACTGGTCGACCACGCCTCCCTCCGAGTACTCGTCGGCCTCCGCCAGAGGCGCTCCTACACGCGCACTCGCCACCGCGCTGACGCTCGCTTCGCTGGGGGACCTGCCCGTCGCGTGCGTCATGGTACCGCTGGCACTGCCCGAGTACGTCGTCGACATGCTGTCCCTCCCGCCCTCGCCGAGCACCTGGACATCGAGGTACCCAAGCACGCTCGAGATGCGGTGCACCATAAAGAGAAGGGTGAGGTAGCGGCCCGACGACAGGAGCAGCCTGCACTCCTTCGCGTCGTAGTATTCTCCGAGACGGAGCCGCTTGGACGACGACGCCGCGGGGGCGTCTTCGGGGGAACGGCTTCCTAGACGAGCAGAGCGCCGCCGTGTGCTCGCGGATCTCGCATTCGTGCCCCCGCCCCCAGGGCTAGAACGCGCAGGGCCGGGCAGCGGGGAAACGACGACCAAAATCTCGGTCGACCACCCGGGCTCCGACGTGTCGCTGTACTCGAACTCGACCCCGACCGCATCCTCACCCTTTGCCAATGTGTACCGATGCACCCGGGGCCGCACACGCCCGCCCTCGACGATGTACCCGAGCTCGCGCAAGATTGCCGCGCTCCACCCCGCGAGCCGTATCTCCGTCTGCCTCCAGATCGGCCGCGCGACCCGCAGCCTTCGGGGGTCCTCGAGGGGGACGTAGAGCATCTCGGCAGAGAGGTGCGCCAGGCAGCGCTTGAGGAGCTCGGGCGGGAGCGCGGTGACGCGGAACGCGGTGTGCGCGCGCGCATGCCTCTCGCACTCTGCAGCTGACTTGACGACGGACCACGTTCCGCCCGTTGCGACGGTGAAGCTGGGGCCTGTGCGCGCACGCTCGAGGACGCACACGATGGACATGATGTGTCCTGGACGAGCGGACGGCTCGCACGCGAGGAGTGCGAAGTACACGTTGGAGTACGACTTGTCTCGGTCTGAGTTGGGTGCGAGCGCACTGCGCGGGAAGACTTTGTTGACCGGTAACAGGGGGATCTGCGTGCGCACGCCGTACGGAGTCATCGTATGCTTCCACGGACCGATTCGCGGGGGTGCTCCTGTACCAGAAGAGAGCCCAAGACGCTGCACCAATTCTTCATGCGAGAGTGCGCGGACGCCCCACGCATCACCAAACTTCCGCGGAGAATCTGCGAAAAGAACACTCGTCGCTCCTCCAGCGGAGGAAGCCTCAAATCGTATGCGGCGCGACGCTACGATCCTGGTATTGTCCGGAGCATGGTGTGCATCGAGGGCAGCTGTGGGGAGATACCGAGCGCTGCCCCACGTGAAGAGGCTCTGGTCCGGGATGCGCTTCATGATCTCCTCCTGCAGTCGGACGAACGCACGGCGTCCCTCGCCATACAGCGTTGGCATGTTGACATCGAAGATACCCAGCAGCGAGTACGCTTCGTCCTCCGCCCGCGTCGTGCGCCGCTCCGCCGCCCACGACATGCGCCTCGCGACGCTCACCTCGTCCAGGCGCATGCGGTGCAAGAGGACCGGGCGGTCGATCCCGGTGACGGCCTCGACGACGCGCGAGAGGCTCGCCTTCGTGCCGAGGAAACGCCAGTCGAGCGACAGAAACACGACGACGCGCGGCGCGATGAGCTCCTGGAGCGTCCACCCCCGCTTGAACCATCTGCTGTGGCGGAACGCCGAGTTCACCGCCCGCGGGTCCTCCGAGTCTGCGCCCTCCTGATCCCGCACGCCCTCCTCGCCCGCTTGCACATCTTCTGTCGCCTCCTGCGTGCGCGCCCCAGGGGAAGGCGGGACGTCCGCGAGGTAGGCATAGCACACCGATGCGTCGCGGTACCAGCGGAACATCGAATTGATCGCCTCGGAGAGCTCCGCGCTGCTCGTCCGGTCGACGCAAGACGCGTCGATCCAGATGAGCCGGTGCCCGTGGGCGCGCGCGACCGCGCACGCGCGGCGGGTCTTCTCCGATATGCGCGGGTCGTCCCAGAACTTGTTCGCGCGCGGGGGCGTCGCTGGGGGCGTCGGGAGCTCTGGGGGCGTGTCGGACGCGGGGGACTGGGCGCGCCCTCTGCGCGGGGGCTGTCTGTGCCGTGGGGGGCTGGGACTTGGGACTTTGGGGGGAGGCGTGGGTGGTCGGGAACGTGCTGGAGATGGGGTCTCGACACTCTCTTTACTCTCTTGGGACTGTGCGCGAGAAGCCGCCGCGAGATCGAGGGGAGGTGGCACGGCATACCTTCTGGGGGCTTTTGTCGGAAGTGCATATGGCCGGGCACGCGGAGCAGCCTGAGCACCAGAATTCGTGTTTGCGCTTGCGAACAGAGATGTGAATGCCGTTGTCTTAGAAGGATCCTGAACCCGCATCTGTGTTGGAGGTAGGGGGTTTGCGGACCTGTCTGGTCGCATCGGATACTGGGCTAGTGTGGCAGTAGGTGGGTATGTCGAGTACTGCGAAGACGACACGGGTGCTCTGTGCCACCTTGTTTGATGACGAGCGGGAATAGTGGGATACCGGTCGGGAACTGTCCTGAGAGGCTCTGAGTAGTGTACTCGAGTCGTCGGTGTCGTGGGCGAAACGGCTGGAGAGTCGAAGATCGGGTACGGATTCAGAACGACGGGATTGGCGGGCGGGGTGATGGGTGCAGCGTAGTACCGTGGTGCCCAGTGCTCGTACGGTGACTTCGCTGTCCTCGTACGCGTCCGTGTATACTCGAGGTCGTTGGGCTGCGGAATGAATGCCGACTGAGTTGTTGAGCCTTCTGGCGAGGCCAAGCTTGGACCGGATGTCGATTTGTGAGGGCCATAAGCAAGATCGTCGACTTGAGCAGGAAGCACGGGGACGAACGTGGGGCCAGGATTTTTGGGAGAGCGTCGTGGTTTGTTCGAAAAGTTAGTGAGGAACCGGATGATTGGGCGCAAGACAGTTTGGTACTTGCGTAGAAGCAACGGCGCCGATTTCCTGGGAGGTGGAGGTAAGGGCTGTCCCTCGACATCAACTGCATTCGAGTTCCCTCCATCCGGGGAGGAGACGTGATGAGTAAGTGGAGCGGTGTCTCTGTCGAAGAGGGAGTGAGCAGGGGATGAAATGGAGGGTATGGAGGCAGCATCGGGTGCGTCCAAGGAAGAGGGGCGAGGTGGGGGGACCTCAGATCCGGGACGGTAACATTCTTGAATCGCCTTCAGCTCTTGATAGGACTGCTCGCCATTTGGGTCCCAGGTATGCGAGAGTATGGCGTACTCGACTGCTGCAGGATCACTGACCTCCACGAACTGGCCGGTCACGGTGTCGAGCAGCCGCATGCCCAGGTGACCATGAAGCTATATGGGATGATGACGTCAACCATAAGCCAGGTCGTTATCAACCAAGGGTCCATACCTAGGAAGGTGTGTCTTAAGGAGGGGCGATGAACAGCCCTGAGGATGAGACGAGAGGAACACGGGGTGGGAAGCCAGACATCGATCTACCCGACTACCGCGGCGCCAATCGAAGCATGGAACAAACGTCAATTATAGACGAGGAAGCGTCGCAGACTTCAGACAGCACTAAGAGAAACAGATCTTCGTGGTCCATCCTCTCCGCACCGACGCAGATGACTGCCCTGACTGTCCTCCAGGGATGGAAGGCTGGTCGTACAGTGAAGGGTTGCTCTAACCTGCAGAACACCAACCACTGGTGAAGCTTGGAGCATGATCGAGTGATTCCCGAGTCGACCGTGCCAATCATCCTAAGCCTCACGTCTAGTAGAGATGAATGCTTAGAAGCCGGAGATGTGAAGGACTCACTAGGCACAGCGGCCTGGTTCGTCAATATGTGACCATAAAGGCACACAGCGGGGAAAGAACGGGGCGAGTAGATAGCTATCGATCAGACGGATGTAACAAGCTTTTGGCTCGTACATGTCGGTGGCCAAGTCAACAGCCATGAAATTATCGACGCGTCTACTCGGTTGGGTAACTCCCACGATTTCACCGATGTTAATCCGCCGGACATCGTTGCGGGTGACAGTGACCTCTACAGGCCATCTCATCCTCCACCTGTCTATTTCATACTCTAGTTCTACTCCCAACTCAATCCTGATACAGTCAAAATAATGTCCAGGAGTGTACTCAGATGTTATCTTGTTGCCCTGATTCAAGTTCTCCATCCTGGTCCGAAACCTAGTGCATTGTAGCTTCAGTCGCCTGCGGTACTTCTACTGATTTTGGTGAGAGTATCAGGCATGGTTCCGAGGGTTTGATTGCCCATGACATAAGTCTGTTATACTTTTCCAAGCACGAGATTGCACAAAAGCCGCAACGTCCCTCGCAGCAGTCGCCTCCATGCCCGGTGAACGATAGCTAGTGAAAGGGATGCAGAGACGAGAGCGAGAAGGCGTAGAGCAAGTTCGCGATTGCGTGAAGCCAAAACGAGGACCTTGTGGTGTTCAAAGCGGAGGGGTTACAAGGGGGCGCCATCATGTGGGACAGAGAACATCAACATGTTCCTCTACGCAATCGGGTGATCCACCCGGTCTCACCGGTTGCCACGGACGTGCGGGATGGGGAGAGAGAATAAGAGCATGAGTATACGAGTTAGTGTGAGGTTGGGTTGCGTGACGAAAGCGAAGTTCTTGTCTCTGTCAGGAATATTGCCATGGGTTGTCGCACACGGGTGGGCCTTGGATACCATCCGGTGTTCGTGTGTGGCTTGCACTACATAGCGGAACCGGGATATTTGGTCTACTACACGACCCGATCTATGGTATGAAGTCATCCGGAATGATGTCCTGTAGCCGACGACCCAAGACCGTTCCATCATCTGCAGCAGACCACAACATTGTCCCGTCGGGAGTAAACGCAACATGCGTGACCTCGTCACCGTGGTCGGAGAGCGTCGCCAAGCACGTTCCATTGTTCGCCCTCCATACCCTCACCGTCTTGTCACAAGACGCAGAGGCGACAAACTTCCCACATGGGGAGAAGCGCGCCATGTTGACCATTGACTCGTGTCCTTCGAACGACTGGACCATGGCACCAGTGCGCGCATTCCACATCTTCATCGTCTCGTCTGTCGAGGCCGAGAGCAGCAGCAGATCGTCCGGGGAAAACACCAGAACCATGACCTTATCATCGTGCGCATTCCAGAGCAGAGGCTCCTGTCTAGTCGTAAAGTCCCAAACGCGGACCTTCCCGTCTCCATATCCAACAGCGATGTGCGTACTCAAGCGAGTGAACGCGGCTCTGAGGGGAATGCCGTGCTTGTCATCTTGGGATTGGAGTGTCAGGCATGCGCCAGACGCCACATTCCAAGCGAAAAGACTGTCCCAGCCGTAAACCAGAAGCCAGCGGCTGTCAGGGGAGAACACGGGCTCGACAGGCGTGTGCTTGAGTCTGTCGAGCAGCTGGAATGTTCGTCCATCCCATAGTTGCATAGTGTAGTTGTGGTCTCGGAATGCGATGTAGTCACCGTCACTGGACCACGCGAATTCTCGGAACATGGAAGTGCGACGGGTACGACTGGCGCGACGTTGGGCCGTGAGCGTGGCGACTTGTTGCGAGCTGCCACTGATGTCCCATATGACCACCTTCCCATCTCCACCTGCGGACGCGAGTTGTTGACCGTTCGGTGAGAATGCGAGGTTCCAGACCTTTCGGTTGTCGTGGGCGAACCACTCTTGCGATATGCACGCATTCCGGGCGTCCCACAGGATGATCGTGGAATCGCCGGAGGCCGTCGCTACCCACCGCCCATCTGAGGAGACGACGAGCGCGTTGACATATGAGTCATGCCCAGGTTTACCAGCTACTCGAGTCAACATCAAATTCAGAATCGTTGCTAGTGAATGAGACTCACAGTATCTGACGTCTTCCGTCAGCGCCCATTTCTCGCCTAGTGGACGAAACAACCTGCTGAACTCGTCCGACCAGGAGATCGTCTTCCGCACATTCAGGACCGGGCCGCCAAGAGCCGTCCGTAGTACGCGATGGGTGGGATACCTGAGCAGGACATCCTTCAACAGTGTGCAGAGCTTCAGCTCGGCAGGTCGATGGCATCTCCCGTATAGACGCCCAACATCATAGTACCAGACGACTAGAGTGACGTCTCTTATCGCTGCTTGATCCAAGTACTGTAAGGCGTAGAAGGCATCTCCGAACTTCCCGGAATCGGCTGGTATCCACCATGTCAAGGAGGTTGGGCCATCCTTGCCTGATCGTTCTGATTTGAGTTATATGACTAGGATACGGCATGAAGTACGTACGGGGACGCTCCCCGATCGCAAGCGGGCGAGTGGTCTCCAATTGTGCTAACAGAAACAGCAGCTTTGTGAGTTGTTTGTCCACATCTCGAAGTATCTGGAAGAAAACGTAGAGAGTTACAATCGAAGAGCGCAATGATGGTGTTGACCCTCACGTTCAGTGTTCGCAGCTGCAATCGACGGGACGACAGTTCTTGCCTCGTTGGAGTATCTCCATGCATGTGAAAATCCAGACGCTCGCAGGTGAGGTTTTCGATGTTCGGGAATGCTGAAATGAAGTTGAGGAAAGCGGTTTGCATGGGGAACGAGGTCCCGCGAATCGTCAAGCTCCGGAGGCTTGCCGCGAAAGGCCTGCCGCCGATTTGAGCGAGCTGGCTGATTTGTCTACCGTCCGTATTGACTGAAGAAATTGTATCGAATGCGACATGACGGAGACCGGGGAGGATAGACAGCAGGGGGAATGGAGAGAAGTCGTTCCACGGAAATGACAGCGATTGCACGACAGGCTGAAGGCGTGGCTGGGCTCGAACGGCATGGTAGAACGCCGTGAGTTGTTCCGTGCTACGGAGGTGGACATCTGTAAAGAGAACAAAGAGGCTACGGGGATGGAGTTGGCTGCATGTGAGAGCGAAGGCGCACAGCGTGGTCTTATCGCCCGAGCAGTGGTCGATGGCTCTCTCGATGACCTCCCATGGAAGCATCGGGGAGTGCGGGGTGGATGAAGCCGAAGGCAAGGGATGCGGGTCGCCTATAGTAGCAGACATGGGTCGTATATGAGCTCAAAAGGGAGAAGGCCACAAGACGAGCCTAAGGCGTCTACACATGCAGGCGTCAATAGTGATTGTCATTTTGCCACTGCCGTTCTGCCTACGCTGGCAGATATTGCGGGCACCTATTCCAGTAGGGACTACGAACGCAAAGGGAACGTGCTGTAAGCAAGTACGGCTGTCCGCGGGGCAAGATATACACTCAAATACTTCCCAACCGCAAGCTCCAGAGCAACTCGACCGCCCTCCTCAAGGTAGCACGCGTGCTGGACGGCTGCTCCACCGGCGACGCGGGTCCAGCCGCCCCGCCCTCGTCAGGCTCCAGCAGCTCAACATCGACGACGTAGCTGAAGTCCCGCGCCGCCGCGCCCGCCGGGGACCCGCCCCACGGCGTCACAGTGAGCCTCACCGTGCCCCGCGCGTCGGCGAAGTCCATCGGGGCGTGCTTGAGGTGCCGCCGTGCGCACCCGCCCGACGGGCCGAGTGCCGCGCTCCACTTCTGGCGCAGCTGCCGCTGGTTCGCGCTGAGCGGCGCGTGCGCGACCTCGACCCAGAACGCGTCGAAGCCGCGCCGCTTGTGCGTCAGCTGGCAGATGCACCCGATGCCGAACGTAACGACGAAGCCGCCGCGCTCGTTGTCCGGCTGCGCGAAGACGGCCTGGGTGACGCGCGTGAGGTGGAACACCGCGCTGACGTCGAGCCCGGGGAGGACGGGCATGTCCAGGGTCAGCCCGTCGTCGCCTGCGCGCTTGTCCTGCGGAACGAAGCCGCCGACGGTTTGCAATCGGCTGAGGACCCATTCGGGGAAGAAGAAGCTGTAGTTGATGCGCTCGATGTGCTCCGTGTCAGCGAGGGTTCTGTGGGGTAAGTGGATGCGCATGGCGGGATGCACGCGGTTGTGGATGTAGACATCCCGGACGATGGTGGGCGATGAGAGATTTGGGGCTGACTTTGACAAGAAGGCGACGCGGAAGTACGCTCGTGTGAAGATTTCGGCGGAGTCACCGACATCGACGAAGTCGCCGACGTAGTACTCGCCGAGCGTGTTTTGCTTCCGGCGCAGGAACAGCAGGACCAGGCTGCCGTCTTCATGTTCGCAGGACAGCACCGCGATGGATACATTAGCAGGAGCCGTCAGCGATAGCCCTGAATTGGGCTCGTATGGGATGAATGGAAGTGGTATGCGAATGCCATAGCTGGTGATATGGTAGTGTGGACCGGCGATCTCGTCCTGCTGCAAGCCAAGCCTGCGATAAAGGTCCGCGACGTGGATGGGCCGGATCCGCCCAGCAGCGGCAAACTCGACCGGAGACGGCGCAAGCAAGGTCTGCATGTCGGTTGGAGAGACCCCAGTGTATGAGGAGGGCCAGTGCTGATCCTCGGAGTCCGTCGAGAAGCCTTTGCACGCGAACGGGTAGTCGTCCAGAATAGCGCCCCACGCGAAGATGCTCTGGTCTGGAATGTGCTTCAGGATCTCCTCCTGGAGGCGGAGGAAGGCGCGCGGCCCCTCGCCGTAGATGGTGGGGAGATTGACCCCAAAGATGCCCATCAGCGAGTACGCGCGGTCCTCCTCGCGCGTCGTGTGTCGGCGTGCGGCCCACGACATCCGTCGCGCGACGCTGATGTCGTCGAGGGCTCGCTCATGCACGAGCACCCCCCGATCGATGCCGGATATTTCCTCCACAAGGGAAGCGAGCGAATGTTTCGTGCCAATGAACCGCCATGACTTGGACAGGAAAATGACAACCTTGGGCGCGATGAGTTCCTGGAGCGTCCAGCCGCGCGTCCACCACCTGCTTTTGCGGAACGACGAGCGAGGGGTAGACGGGTTCTCGTTGTCGCGCGTGTCGTCGAGGAAGGCGTAGCAGACAGCTGCGTGAGCATACCACGCATACATTGAGTTGATAGCTTCGGATAGCTCCGCGCTGCTGGTTTTGTCGATGCAGCAAGTATCGACCCATACCCACTCGAAGCCGGCGCGCTCAGCGTATATGCAGCACTGACGTATCTTGGCTGACACGCGAGATCGCGGGGTGCCATCAGGGGAAAAATGTTGTGCGCGGAGTGTCTGGAGCTCTTGAAAAGTCTGTTCGTGGTCCCTCCAGCAGTGGGAAAGGATGGCGTATCGGAGGTCGGATGGAGTATGAAAGAACTTGAGCTCTGCTGTTTTCGTGTTGAGCAGCCACATCTGCTAGGGCGAAAGACCATGTGTCACCAATCAGGCGCATGGTCATCGGGAAGTTTCCATTGTCGATACGGACACATACCTCTGCTGAAGAATATTATGAACAGTCACTTTGTTAGGAGGATGCTCCGGACAGCTAGTGAACGATGGTAGATTACTAGGCTGAGGCACCGCTCCTGATAAGGGTTCCCGTTGTGAGCGGTTATATACCGTTGACATGCTGCCGTCATAGTACTTCCTGATGAACGCAAGGGACATGAGAACGCTGTCACGCATGCCAGCCGGTATCAATCTACAAAGTTGATCGGCAATGCTCCAACTTAGGCTTCGCACACATTAGGGCTAGTCAAAGATGGCGATTCGGTGGACGATTCGAGGGAACGATTCGGGAGACGATTCGAGAAGGGGGGAATCCGCGATTCTGGCAGAATCGCGTCGAATCGCCGGTGCGAGTCTGGAAGAGCACCGCCCACCCGAATCGCGATTCTCTGCACTCGATTCCCTCAGCCCAACCTCGGATAAGCCCTCTTAAAATAGGTTATATGTCCAAATTTTATTGGGGTTTGTCTTAGCACGTCTTACGAGCGACCATGGCCCTACTGCAAGCTTGCCGCTTCTCTACTTTTATCAGAATTGCCGGTCTACAGATTCCCTCCACCTTGAAATGTCCGATCAGACCGAAAACCCTACTTTCAGAAAGTCTGGCCGTCTCACTTGGCAACCTTCTGCTGGCTCTGGCACGAAGACCGGGAATCAAGTGCGCCGTGTGTCTTGTTGATGAAATGGATATATTTTCTCTGAGGTCCCAAGAGCTGTAACGAAGCATAGTAGGGGGAAGAGCAACGCGGCACACGGAGAGGAACC